TTCAAGAGTTGTGACGTTTTAAATGAGCCTCTGCAAATAAACATTTTGACCAAAAAATTGACATATGTCAAAAACTATGAAAGGTAAGTACTAACAACTAGGTACATTTGACTCAGTTTGGAGAAAAGAATTCAAAAATGCAATAAAAATAAGTAGTTACCATTTAAAATTTCAAAGTTGGCGCCAATTTCTCGTAGTTCCGGAAGTTTAGCCAGTTTGAAAATAATTTAATTGAACTTAGACAGGTCGATTTGGGCTGTGTACTAAATTTCAAATTCCTATCTGCATTAAAAGTTAAAAAGTTTCTAATGCAGGCCCTAAAAGAATCACCTTGTATATTGGCAAAAAGCCCATAAAAAATTGTCACACAATGATGCAATAAAATATACGGTGTTGTATGTAAAAAAGTCAAGTTATTGGCATTTGTAATTTGTCATTTTCAAAAAATTATAGTAGTTATGAATGAAAAATCATAGTGAAGTTATGAATTTTTCTGTGGGTCCATGTACGACGCTATTTTGACACATAAATTGACATAAGTCAAAAACTATTGCAGATAAATCTAAAAAACAGTATGCGTTATATGGACAATTTAGTGGTGAATTCAAAAATGTAACAAAAATTGGGAGTTTTCATTTAAAAAAACAGGACTTAGTTGTGTATCTTATTTTGGGACATCCTGTATTAAATAAAAATATTTTTGAAATGTGCTTCATTAGCGGACCCACCATTAAAAAAAATCAAGTTACCCCTGGGTCACCCTGTATGTATTAATGTCTGAATTAATCTACCACTCATAAGTTATTGGTTTTATTCAACATTACAAACTTAAAGAAAGCAGTAGGTCTCATTTTTAGGGAAATTAATTAAAAAAAATAACGGTCTGAGTTAATCTACGATCAATAAATTGTTTTAAACAGCTTAACAAGTCGTAAATTATTCTTGTAAAAAAGTGGAATTTTTCCAATTCTAGGGTTCAAAATCCGCAAATACGAGTATGAGGTCAAATTGTAATATTTGGCCCAAAGAGACGTATGAGCAAATCCACGTCCTCGTTTTGTCATGTTTCTCATATTTAGTTGATATTTGCACCAATTGTGTCAGATTTTGCAATTCAAAACATGATAAAAAGGAAAATTATTGTCCATAGTAGACAATTTATTACACGTAAACTGAAAGTCGTGAAAGCAAAAAAAATTAACTAGACTGTACATACGTAAATGTAGATGAAGGCCAAACCAAATTACTAAAGAAATTGACAATAAATTGTTATTTGAAAAAATAAAAACGAACCCTTTAACAACCGCATAGGTGAGTCCAACAGTCATTGAAACATTAAGAGCACCCATCCATACCATCGACATGACTAGAAAATCACTTGCAAAATTCTGAGTTTGCAAAAGAAACAGTCGAACTGTCACAAGATAAACTCATTAAGTTTTATATTAGCTCCCCACTATCGTCAAAATTGGAAGATTTAGAGTCAAGGATTTAAAAGACGTAACCACAACCTGCTTTATAATAATATTGTGACAAAAACTGTAAAAAATAATAAGTGGTGCGACTGAAATTATTGCACACTTTTCCACGTAATTAAATGAAAATTTGGTCCAAAAATAATTGATTGAAAAATGAAAAGTGAGTGGAAAAAGTTCATCGCCTTGGTCAAGTTCAGTCGCGACGTAATCATTCTTCCTTGGTTTCGTTCATTGACCAATTAAGATCAATGGAAATTTTATCGTTTTTTAACAAATGTGTTTATTGTTCGAGAATACTTGCCTAAAATGGCCCGCAAATGTCCTTCCAACGTCTGGAGTATCGTCGCTTTGATTTCCTTGACGGATTTTCCGAGAAACTGCTCCGAAGCGGTGTAGAGGAGTTCATCAGCTTTCATTATTTTGCATTGGGCCACTCCTGTCACCGTTAGAGGAACTCCTTGAGCAGTTTCGACGTTTCCGCACATGGGATTTAATGTCATCACTTCGAGGGAGAGACGTTGGACGTCGGTCACCAACCACCAGGCCCATGCCCAGCCGCCTACGATCGTCACGCGCTTGGTTGAACCGCAGCATCCTCCTACAAAAAGAAATAATAAATTATGTTATCAGTATTATTAATTAAACTGATAAACGTATAAATGATTTAGAATTATTAGACCTGAACCAATGAATCGATTTTGAACTGATTTTATGTCAAGTAGGAAAAAAAGTATGAAAACGTAGAATTAATTTCCGCTCTAGTACGATTATCATACAGTAAATCTGGTTTAGATTTGAAATAAATTTCCAAAATTAGTGAAATTAAGGACAAAAAATAGTTAAAGTCGGTTTACAGAACATTAATTGCACTCAAATGTAAAACTAAGTAAACAACTAATTCGAGTTACTAACATTGGACTCAAATTTTAATTTGCTTTCCGTAAGTATGCCCTCAATCTCAAAATCTAAATATAAGAATGTTTCAAAACCGATTTTGATTGTTAATTAAAACTTTTAAATAGCTTAGGAGGTCAAAGCACATAGAATAGTAAAAAAACTTAAAAATAAAGTTTTGTAACCCTAAACTTTAATAGTTATGAAAACATAGTCTAAAATTTAGTTTTAGGATTTGCTCATAATTATTCAAATGGTTAAGAAGTAAAAACATCGAAGTATCAAAAAAATAAAAAAGGAAAATTTTAAAAACAAAACAGAAGAAAATTAGGTATAACAACACATACAAAAATGTAAGACTATCAAAGAGAAAAAATTATCAAAAATTATGTTCGTCCTATGTAAAAAAATTAAAGAGTTAAAAAATAGGTAAGTGAAAGCTAAAAAAACGGGAACATAAAGGTGATTTAAAAAGCGTAAATACAAAATACAAATAATAATGGAAACGTATTTCCATCTACAAAATTTAGAATTCAAAACTTTGCCAAAAAAATAAGCAAAATTAGATATTAAAAGAAAAAAGAAACAAAAAAACCATTAAAAACCAAAAACAACAATCAAAATTTGAAACTACAAAAAAGTTTAACCAAAAAACTAAAACTGCTAATATCAATAAAGGATTTTTTTTAATTCAAAGGGTTTTATAAATCAATTATGATTTTAATTTTTTTATACTATGTAAAAGTAATTTTTTGATCTACAGGGTGTAACGAAAAGATGGGGATTTGGCGATTTAACCCAACATACCTCTATACCAAGTTGCACCGTTTAAAAGTTAGAGAACGCCAATGAAATTATGTTTTTTTTTGTTTAAATTAATAATTAATTACATTATTGTTAACTAATACCAACATACATAAAGAGATTAAAACCTAAATTTTATTACTACAATTTTAAAAACAATAATAATAAACAGCCAACGTAAAAACTTTTAACATATCTACTTAAATAATTTTTTTACTCGAAAACCAAGGTCGATACAAAAAATTTATAACATACAAAAGTTGTTTAAAAATAAGGTACCTTTCAAATAAAAAAAGAATTATGAAACTCGGATTACGTGTAACAAAGATATGGCTTAAAATGTGTCACTTTGTTAAAAAGAAAGTACCTTACAATAATAATAAAATAAAAGAAATAGCACCAAAAAATGTGGTTTTGATGGTAATTTGCCTGTACTAAATTTTATAAAAATCGATTAATTCATAAAGAAGTTATTAAAGAAAAACGAAAATAAGTTTTAAACTTTGGCGCCTTCTAACTCTTAAATAGTGCAACTTGGTATAAAGGTAAGTTAAATCGCTTTATTTTGACCTATCTTTTGTCCCTATCTTTTCGTTACACTCTGTATAAACAGAATACAATTTCGACAAAGGTCGAATAGGTAGAAAAGTAAAAAAGTTACTTTTTTGGCTTTTGAAACCTTAATTTAAAAGTAAACAACTAATAAATATGCATATACAGTATGTCCCCGGATCTTTGATTTTACGCTAAAACTGCAAAGGAAAAACATTTTTTGTTTTACCTGAAACGATCAAAACTGTAATTAAAACTTCATTATTCTAACTCAGTAAAAATAAAAGTTAATTTTTCTTTTGATTTTAGACTTAATATTTTTTTTCTGCTTATTAAATTCCAACACATTGGCGGTTTTATTTTTTTGACAATGATATCACTGACAATTAATGTGTTAACAGAATAATGATAGTTCTTGTTAAAAATAACTTTGTTTCTTATCTTAAAACTGTTTCTCTGAGTTGCCATTTATTAAAATTATGTTTTTCACAAACATTTTTGTTATTTAACTTGTGTAAACTCATTTGTGAAAGTGACATCATTGTCAAAAAGATAAAACCGCTAATGTGATGGGATTTAAAAAGCAGAGAAAAATTATTTTAAATCCAAAATCAAGAGAAAAATTAACTTCTCGTTTCAATGAATCAGACTAATGAAGTTTTAATTACAGATTTGCTCGTTTCAGGTAAAGCAAAAAATGTTTTTTTTGCAGTTTTGGGGTAAAATCAAAGATAAAAAAATTCCTCTTGTAAACACAATCCGGGGACATACTGTAAAATAATTAAAAAAAAAAAACATTCATAAACAAGTATAACGTTAACTATGAAAAATGGTTTCGAAAGTAATGATTTTCCAGAGTTCAAGAAATAAAATAAAAAAAAACAAATAAAAAATGATTCTGAACGTGTGGACACTTGTGCTTCATAATAATAAATCCATAGTAATAAATCCAAAACCTGTGTCAAAATAGGTCAATAAAAAAATAATGTAAAGCAAAATCTGAATGATTTCCCTGAAAAGTGTCCAAAAGGAGAAACCTGAAATCGAAATTTCTAGAACTGTGTTCACCCAAAAAACTCAATTAATTCCAAACCCCTTTCTTCACGCTACGTTCGCCGTCTCACGTACACCCATCAACATCTGAATGAAAATCACGCTCATCTTTCCCTCGAATCACCATCACCCATCTCTTACCATCAACCCAAGAGCCACACAACCGACGCGAAGAAATTCACAACGTTCCACATTGCGCTACATCATATTCCCGTTACACTTACCATATAAATGGTAAGAAAGTGACCAAATCGAGTCAATTTCAACACACGATTTGCTCAACGATGAAGAAACATTTGAGCGATTGGAAGAAATTCCGTTAACGTGAAATTCAGTCACACGAAGACATGAGAGGAAAATTAGGACTGAATAGTTCGATGGTACAAGTTCAAGGGGAGCGCGTGAGATGATGGTACAGATAAGTTCGTGCATCTTTATTATGGGTGGTTGAAAATTTTTTAGTGAAGTGAAGAAAAAAAGGGAATTTACAAAGGAGTGGTAAGTATTTGCAAGTTGTAGTTAAAAGGGCACTTAGAAGGCCGACAAGAAGTTAAAAAAAATCCATAGAATTCATGATACAATAAGAATAGAATTTAAGTCAGAAGAATTCATTTAATAAAACTCAAAATAATACTAGACAAATTTTAAAAACTTGCAGTTTCGCAATTTTTTGGCAAATAAACATACAAAACATTTTTTGTGCTACTAGAAAGAAAATACTCATAAAAATGAAAAGTATTCACACAAGGGAACTTAAAAAAAATAAAAATTTCCACTACAAATTTTCGGAAAAGTGAAAGTACTTCATGTACTCCAAATTACATAAAAATGTCTATTGTGACAAAACTCTCCCTTCTCTCATTGAAACAATTTGATGACGTACCGCCCTAGACATTTAAAATTCAACAAACGAATTTATTGAGTAAGTCACTTTCTCGTTCACTATTTCGTATTTTCATTTTCGGATTTTCCGATCAGTATACTCGACACCGACAAAAATGACACTTATCGGTACCTCCTCGCATTTTGCTTTTATTTAAATAATTTTATTTTATTTTTTCAGGAATTATGAGTACCCTTACAGCCCCATTACTGGGCTTAGGAGCTACGGCAGCTTCCAATTTAGCAGTTTTTATCCCAGCTTTAGCAGCAGCTATAGCTTATTTCCAGTACGACCTTCTTGACCCCGAGTCAAGACCAATAGATGTATCAACTGATGAATTATTGGAACGTTATGACTTTATAGTAGTTGGGGCGGGATCAGCAGGTAATTTTTCGATAATTTATGTAAAACATAATAAAAAAAAAATTATAGGGGCGGTTGTGGCAAATCGGTTAAGTGAAATAGAACAGTGGAATGTGCTACTTTTGGAGGCGGGGGGCGACGAAATGGAAATTTCGGACGTACCCCTCATGGCCGCCTATTTACAACTATCGCAAATCGACTGGAAGTACAAAAGTGAGCCTCAAGGACAAGCATGTCTTGGTAAGAAAAAAACCGACTCTAAATTCCACACTTAAAAAAAATTTTAGCTATGAAAAAGGGGCGGTGTAATTGGCCCCGAGGCAAAGTCATAGGTGGCTCATCAGTCCTCAATTACATGTTGTACCTCCGGGGAAACAAAAAGGATTACGACATTTGGGAATCCCTGGGGAACCCAGGTTGGGGAAGCCAGGACGCCCTCTACTACTTTAAAAAATCCGAAGACAACCAAAATCCCTATTTGTCCAAGACCCCCTACCACTCAACGGGAGGGTACTTGACAGTGTCCGAAGCCCCTTATCACACACCCCTCGTTGCAGCTTTCGTGGAAGGTGGCCGCCAACTCGGGTACGAAAACCGGGACATAAACGGCGAGTACCAATCCGGGTTCATGATGGCGCAAGGTACCACTCGGAGAGGTTCGCGTTGTTCGACCGGAAAAGCATTTTTACGTCCGGTACGACTCCGGAAGAACCTCCACGTTGCGATGCATGCCCATGTGACCAAGGTTATGGTGGACCCTACTAGTAAAGTGGCCTTCGGGGTTGAGTTTGTAAGGGATAAAAAGTTGTACCGGATTAGGGCCACTAAAGAGGTGGTACTGTCAGCCGGCGCGGTCAATTCGCCCCAATTGCTCATGTTATCAGGGATTGGCCCTAAGGAGGATTTGGAACGACTTAAAATCCCAGTTATCCAGGATTTGAGGGTTGGGCATAACTTACAGGATCATGTGGGGCTAGGAGGATTGACATTTTTGATCAATCGGCCACACTCGATTCTCCTCAATCGGTTGTATTCGGTTAGTTCGCTGATGCAATACGCCATATTTGGAGGAGGGCCTTTGACCATCATGGGAGGGGTGGAAGGATTGGCTTTCGTTAATACAAAATATGTCAACGCTTCTGATGATTTTCCCGATATTGAGTTACATTTTATCTCAGGATCGACCCATTCCGATGGTGGTACCCAACTCAGAAAAGCCCATGGTCTCACTGACACATTCTATGAACGGGTTTTTGGCCCTATAGCCGATAAGGATGCGTGGAGTGTCATCCCTATGCTCCTGAGACCCAAATCACGTGGTGTCATTAAATTACGAAGTAAAAACCCCTTAGACTACCCCTTAATCTACCCCAACTACTTTAAAGATGATTTCGATATGAAAACTTTGATCGAAGGAGCAAAACTCAGTGTGGCTTTAAGCAAAACGCCAGCTTTCCAGTATTACAAAAGTACCCTCCACAAATTCCCGGATTGTTCCGGGTACAAAGACTATTCGGATGAGTTTTACGAGTGTATGATTCGACTATACACTGTTACAATTTACCATCCCGTTGGGACATGCAAAATGGGCCCTTATTGGGACCAGGAAGCCGTCGTAGACCCACAATTGAGGGTTTACGGAATAAAGGGTCTAAGGGTCATCGATGCTTCAATAATGCCGAATCTAGTAAGCGGTAATACTAACGCCCCTGCTATTATGATAGGGGAAAAAGGGTCGGATTTAATAAAAGAATTTTGGATAAAAACGGCTCGTTATGGCCGATAATAATTGTGATATTTTAATAAATTATTATTACTACAAGTAGTTTTATTTTCCTGGTATTCAGTAGGCGTTGAATTTCTGCAAACGCGGCACTCTTGATGTCAAGACACTCAGTTGTAGTGTGAAAGCCGGCAAAATGTCGTCCCATGCCCAAATGAACCTTTTTTCCATCACCCGAATGGCCTTGACTCTTGGGCCAGGTCTGGGTTTCCTCCTATACCTTCATTCCTCAACCATGACCCATCGACCGGATATTCTCGACCGGGAGCACCGTGTCCATGACGTACCCATGTACCAGATTCAGCCATCGTACGATTTTATCATAGTTGGCGGGGGTAGTGCCGGTGCGGTGCTTGCGAATCGTTTAAGTGAAAATCCAGAGTGGGAAATACTACTTTTGGAAGCCGGTCCTGATGAAATTTCATTGACCGATCTTCCTTTGTTATTTCCTACTCTTCAATTGTCACCGTTCGATTGGCAGTTTAAGACACAACCGGGAGAGAAGTACTGTAAGGCAATGACAAAGGGGCAGTGCAACTGGCCTAGAGGGAAAGTCCTAGGGGGGAGTAGTGTCCTTAATGCCATGTTGTATGTCCGGGGGAATAAACGAGATTATGACAGATGGGAAATGGAGGGAAATCCGGGTTGGAGCTACGACGAGGTACTCCCATATTTCAAAAAATCGGAAGATATGAAAATTGAGGGGTACCAAGACGATTACTATCATGGTACCGGCGGGTACCTCTCTGTAGAACACTTCAAGTGAGTTATTACCGTATGTGTAGAAATACTCTAAATTTTCCCTTAGGTACCACTCCCCAATCGCCGATTGGTTCCTCCAAGCCGTTCAAGAATTCGGCTACGACATTAGAGACATAAATGGAGAGTACCAAACCGGTTTCACTCTAGCCCATGGTACTCTCAAGGATGGTCTTCGTTGCAGTACCGCCAAAGGTTTCCTCCGACCAGTCTCCAAACGCCCCAACCTCCACATCAGCCTCCACTCCCTCGTGGAGAAAATCATCATCGATGAAGTCACAAAGCAAGCACGTGGAGTCACTTTTAACAAATTTGGGGCCCGAAGAACTATCTATTCTGACCGGGAGACAATTCTAAGTGCTGGTGCACTCCAATCCCCCCAATTGCTAATGCTCTCAGGAGTCGGGCCCCAAGCCCATTTGGAAGAAATCGGAATTGAAACATTCGTAGACTCACCAGGAGTCGGCTCCAACTTACAAGATCACGTCGCCATGGGCGGTGTTACGTTCCTTTTTGAACCACCATCAGAGTACCGAAATAAAACTTGCGGGTTTATCCTCCCCAAAGTTTTTTCTCCCGAAACTATTAATGATTTCGCCCAAAAGAGACAAGGACCGGTTTATTGGTTACCCGAATGTGAGTTAATGGGATTTGTGAAAACCAAATATGAAGACCAAGACGATGATTGGCCAGACATTCAGTATTTTGTCACAGCCTACGCTGATAATACCGATGGGGGGCTTTTCGGGAAAAAAGCTGCAGGTCTCACCGATGAGTTCTATTCCGCTGTTTACGAAGAAGTCCTCTACAAGGACGCTTTCAATGTCATTATTTTATTACTAAGGCCGAAAAGTCGTGGCCGCCTATTTCTCAAAGATACCAATATCAATAGTCACGTGGTCATCGACCCCAATTATTTTGACGATCCCCAGGACATGAAAGTTTTGGTAATCTCAAAAATTAATAAAATTCATTTTTTTAATTATGTCTATTGCAGATTGAAGGTGCAAAAATCGCCTACGACCTATCAACAAAAACCCCAACCATGTCCCAATACAAAACCACTTTCAACCATTTCAAAATCCCCGGTTGCCACCATCTACCATTTCTCTCAGATGAGTACTGGGCTTGCCAAGCCAGTCATTACACTTTGACCATATACCACCCCGTTGGGACGGCCAAAATGGGTCCACCCAACGATACCATGGCCGTAGTTGATCCCAGACTTCGCGTTTATGGTGTCAATAATTTACGGGTGGTTGATGGGTCAATTATGCCGTATATTGTGAATGGAAACACCAATGCACCTATTATTATGATCGCAGAAAAAGCGGCTGATATGATCAAGGAGGATTGGGCCGCTTTTGAGGAACAGGAACAAGGTTTGAGGGAGTTTTGAGGCGACAAAAACTGAATTATTTGTTTTAGGGGAAGAATATGTTGTAGGATTTGAGGATCCCCAATTTGGGTTTGAAAGGGTGATGGAGAAGACGCCCAAAGTACAAGATTTGGATTATTGGTAGAAAAACTTGTTTTCTTTTTTAAAAATAAAATAATAGAAGGATAAGAATAATTTGTTTTACTGCAATCCTTATACAGAGTGTGTCAGAACTTGGCTCTCAAAGAAAAATTTCAAGTAACATAAGATACCAGGAACATAAAAAAAATTGACATTTATTTTTTGATTTTTTTATATCTATTTAATGATACAGATTGTACCGTGCCATCAAATAAAAAATAAATTAGAGTAGGCGTCGATTAAATTCTACAGTTGGCAACACATTGGCTGGGAATCTGGATTGGAAAATTTCCACACAAACTGAAAGTTAAAATGACCATTCACCGTTTTCGTCTTGTACAGTAATAAAAATTTTCTGCTCTAAAGTGAACATTATTTCACTCAAAAGGAATAAAACGCAAACTTGTCAAAGTTTCCGCTGACAAAAATCAGGATTGCCATCTGAAGGACTTCACCGCCTACTCTAATTTATTTTTATTTTGATCGCACGGTATGTTTTTTTTTATAATTATTTAGTGAAAGTACAAAAATTTTGCCAATAAAAGCCACAAATAACATTAAACAGAGTTACAATTTAGGACACAGCTTCCTTGTTTCCTCTTCTAGTAGCCTGTAGCAAAATTCAAATAATTTTCCAAAAAACTTGGAAAATTATTAATAAATTTTAAACTTTCATACCTTCGAAATTTTTATAGATAGAATTTTTTTAACATTTTTTCCATGTTTCTTACCTTAAATGGCATTTTTCTCAGGGGAGCGAGTTCTGGCGCACCCTGTATAGTCAACAGTTCGACTCTAGTTGTTAAAACAACTTAATCATCATCCTTATACTATCATTTTATTTTAGCTTACTACGTTTTATGATAACGAATTTTGTTTGTTAATGACCATGATTTTGCATTAATCGTCCAACTATTTTTATTCTAGTCTTACATTCTTCATGGTTCAGACACACCGTTACTGAGACGATTTTACGGTTTAATAAAACTGGTTTGTGGCAAGAAGTCTTAAACGTATCTGTGATGTTGGTGATGTAGACTGTCGGATCTTCTTTGAAATTTATTTATTTGAAGCAGGTAAATAACTCATTGTTACAAAAATCGGAAAACATATTTAAAACAAATTAGTATTTTTGAAATGCTAAGAAATGTCAAAACACTAATAATAATATGTGATAACACACGATACGTGAAAATTGTATAATGAGTTAAATTTGCATTGTAAATAAGTATGTCATAATTGCAGATACAATATTATCGAAGAAATTTACCAGAGAGAAACTTGATCGTGTCTAATTGTTCTTGAATGAATTAGAAAATAGATAAAATAAAATAGCAATTTCGCAACAAAATTAAATTGTGATCTACAAATGAAAAGTAACAAATTTTTAACTTGAAAGGCCGTTAAGGCACACATTCAAACTAACTTAGCGTAATTTTAAACACAAATTTATTTTATTTTTTCCTTCTTTTTTAACGTAGTGGTTAAAACCAGACAAAAATAAATTCCTCTTCTTTTTTAATTCTAATTTTTGTTAAGAAAAAGTGCAAAAAAGATTTGAGCTTTGATAATCTTTGGGAACAAGAAAAAAAGAAAAAAACATTTTTTTTAAATAAATTTTTCGACTCATTTTACCTTGACTTTGCACAGCAATTTGGAACAGAAATTTATTCTAATTGCAGATATCACACATATTTAATATTTTTTCGAAATTGTTAATCGAAGCTGAAACGAGTAATTTTTGAAATGTAGGTAAAGGGTATCGTATAAATAATACATATTTTGTATTTCTTCATGTCACATATTACATATTTTATAATTGATTTTAATGAATCTAAATAAAAACATCCAAGTTATGTAATTTTACCTCAACATTTTAAAAATAAAACCAAAAATTGTACAAAAACGACGCAATTTAAATACGTAAATATTTCAATGATTAGTTATAAACTTATAAATAACAGAAAAAAATTGCATTATCGGTTGTACAACAATATATTTTCTCGTCCGAAGGCCGCCAATCAAATGTTTTTCCAACTTGAGTAATTGGTGTGGTTATTACTCAAAATGGATAAAAAGTGCCTTATTACCGTAATAGCGTAACCTCTTTTTAAGTCAACAATTTAATTACCGAAGAATATGTTACTTTTCCGTTTCACAACTCTCCCCAAACAAGATTTTTTAATTCACACGTTGATAATTTCCAGAAACAATGGACCACGCCATCGACCCATGCCCCTCCTCAACTTCGGGCGTCTCCGCCCACCTCTTTCTCACCCTCATCAACACCCTCCTCGCCTCCAAATGCCGCATCAGTTCACCCTCCAATTATCCTCCAAACCGCGCTTCCACCCTCTCCGACAACGACGAATTCGATTTTATAATCGTCGGTTCCGGAACTTCCGGATCGGTGGTCACCAATCAACTGTCCCAGAATCGAAACTGGAAAATCCTAGTCCTCGAATCCGGAAATCTTCCGACACCCGATAGTGAAGTAAGTAAAACAAAAGCAAACCACGCAACTAACTTGATTTCTAACCCAGATACCCAGCCTACTATTCAGCCTTCAAGGAACGGAAAGTGATTGGCAATACACAACCGAACCCAATCAAAATTCCTGTCAAGGGTTCATCGAGAGGAAATGTCGTTGGCCTAGAGGAAAATGTTTGGGTGGCAGCAGTGCAATCAATGCCAATCTGTACATCCGAGGAAACAAACGAGATTATGACAAGTGGGCGGAGCTAGGGAACGAAGGCTGGGACTACAATTCAGTTATGAAATACTACAAAATCCTAGAAAATGTTGATGGGTTTGATGGGTATGGACGAGGTGGTTATGTCCCATTGAATGTGTACCAATCCAACGAACCCGTGGGTGAAGCCCTTAAGGCCTCGGCTCGGGTCCTGGGAACCCCCACCACCCAACAAGAGGCTAATTTCGGCTACTTTGAAGCCTTACAAACCGTCGAGAAGGGAATCAGGGCTAATGCGGGCAAAATTTTCCTGGGACAAGCCAAAGACAGGGAAAATCTAGTCGTGGCTTTGGACTCTACTGTAGAAAAAATTTTGCTCAACGGGAAAAAAACTGAAGGAGTTGTAATCAACATTGGAGGCAAACAAATCACAATCAAGGCGCGTAAAGAGGTGATTTTGTCAGCAGGGGCTATAAATAGTCCCAAAATTTTGATGTTGAGTGGCATAGGACCGAAAAAACACCTACAAGACTTGGGAATTGAACCAATCGAGGACCTACAAGTCGGAGAAAACCTACAAGACCATATTTTTTACCTTGGTTTACTTGTAGCAGTTGACGAGAAAGTCGCACAAGTCAAAACTAACGTAATTGATGACATTTACAAATATTTCATGTATAATGAGGGAGCCGTGGGTCAAATTGGGATTACCAACTTGGTCGGTTTTGTGAATTCTCGAAACGATTCCGATTATCCCAATTTACAATTCCACCACATTTTATTTATTAAAGGAGACAACTACCTTCTTCCGGAAACTTTAAGAGTCATGGGACTTGGCCCGGAAGTGGCCTCAATCGAATTAGAAACCAATCAAAAATCCCCAATGTTCAAAATAGCCCCAACTCTTCTCAATCCAAAATCACGCGGAAAAATCCTTTTGAAATCCAAAAATCCACATGACAAACCCTTGATTTTCGCCAACTACTTGGACGACCCCCAAGACGTTGAAATTTTACTCGAAGGGATCAAATTCGGGTTGAAACAAATCGAAAGTGAGCCCTTTGCAAAGTTTCAACCAAAATTGATTGATTATAAATTGAAAAATTGTCAAAAATTCGAGTTTAAGTCAGATGATTACTGGAGATGTGCCATTAGATGGCTTACGTCAACGGTATACCATCCCGTGGGAACGTGTAAAATGGGTCCAAGGAGCGACCCAGGAGCCGTGCTTGACTCCAGATTGAGGGTGCACGGGATTGACGGTTTGAGGGTGATTGATGCCTCAATTATGCCTTTGATTATCAGCGGGAATACCAATGCCCCGAGTTTAATGATTGGGTTAAAGGGAGGGATGATGATTTCGGAGGATTGGGGGGGTAACCATGACGAGTTATAAGAAATAAATTGATTGCAATACCCAAAATCGTATTTATTTACCCAAAAAATACAAAAGACACATTTTTGAGACGATTCCCTTCATCTCCTCGGGGATACACTACGTTTCCTTCCTCTGCGTCTCCTCTTTCTCCCTTTGCGCCGTCTCCTTGCCTCCACAATTTGAAATTGGCTCTTCTGTTTCTCAGACATGTCTCTCCAAATCTGCCCCCCGATTTTGGCCAACTGGGCTCCACTCATCTTGATCGAGGGGGTAATCTTCTTGAACTCCATCAAAAAATTCAAGAAGGGGTTCTTGCATGTAACCACTTTGTTGTCCTTCAAATCGGCGATTAGCGCTTTGGGTATACTTCTCGCGCGACTTTTTCTCGCCGATTCTGCGCTATTTTCCCCGTTATTTGAGGCTTCTTTCGGCCAACCCATCCTGACGAAAATTTTGGCTTAATGACACTGACAGTAAATAACTCGGTCACTAGGAAACTTTATTTAGAAACTTTGGTTATCTAAGGTGGCCATTAGGATGACACGACCATTAACTAAATTACCATACAATTAGATGAAAAATTGCTCTTTTGCTAAATCCCCACTTACGAGGGTTTTACTTATACATCGCTGAACTTCTGAATTCTTCGAGTAAATGTAAGCGAGTGTCAAGAAACATTATCTGAACTTTCACTGGTCAATGTTGGCGATTCAGTAGTGCTCGAGACCTTATAGTAGTGACTTAAGACGATCTATTTACACACGTGCCACTTTTTTCACAAATGGATTTACACGAAAATTTTTTAAACGGATTGGAATGGTGAGGTATTTGTCAAAGTGTGTCGAACATGTTTGTAAATATTATTACATTATTTTACTATTATATTGAAAGGAGGCTTTCCAAATTTCGTAACACTATTGTGGAAATTTTTCTTTCATTGTACGAGGAAGTCAAGAAATACCATTTTTCGGAAAATTGCGCTTTTACCTGGTAATCACTTCTGGAAAATGTAAATTATGAGCGAACTTCCTGAAATTAACGCCGATTGACCGGAAGAAAGCGATTCTCGATAATTTACGCGATATTTAAATAAAATAAGAAAAACAAATTAATTTGTTGTTTATAATAAATAAACGTACAACACAAAAAAATTATGTTTGTAAAAAGTACAATTTCAAAAAACTATTTGTTTATATCCCTAAAAAATTTTCGTCATTTTCTAAAAGAAAAAAATCGGTGTCACTACACAATATTTTGAAAAAACAAGCTTCTAGTAAATATATTTATTTTTAAATAAAAAATTCTTGTTTCAATTGTCAAAAAACAAAAATGCTATATTTTTTACTCAACTTTTGAAATACAAATAAAAATTTTAAAATTTTATTGTGGCACATGCTTGAGTACTAAAAAAACTATTACAATACTCACTAAGTCTATTCCATTTTTTTTGCATTGGTAAATCTTGTAAAAATCAACAAACGTTAAAAATAACAGTACATGATAAAGCAAAAAATCGTTTCCAACCATAAAATTTAATTAAATTAATTAAATAAATTCTTCTAAATAGTACCTATGTATTTTATTTTGTAGTTTTTTTATACTTATACTTTATTACAAAATTTTGAGTTCTTACAAATGTTTAATTTTTATTTTGTTTGCATATTTACCAAATCAAACTGTGTTGTAAGTAAAAATGCTCTACTAATCTAAATTTATGAATTTTCTGGGCACCGGTTCTAAACAAGTTTCGCCCTAGTTGAGTAAGACAGAAAATCTATTTCGTAAAAAAGAATTAATTTTTTGAAAATGAAATTATGCATTAGAATTAATCAATTTCAATATTCGTACCTCACGCTTTTTATTTTTCAGTTTATTTTTTACGATTAAGTGAATGCGTTAAGGAATTCGTGTAGTTGTCATTCATAAATTCGTTTCTCTTCAGTAAAAGCACGTTTAGAACTTAATAATCTTGTTCATAAAAGCGTTAAAGTTGAATATACGCAAAAGAAAAAGCGACCAAAAGGTGCCAATAAACTTGATCAAAATGCCAAATTTCGATGCAACGTTTATTTAATTAAGTCGATCTGCAATCTTTCACGTAACTCACAAAAATCTTATATAACATATAATTATAAAATACATATAACACTCGTCTCATTACGAAAATACTTTCCACTTGAAAGCATAATAATGTCATAATTGTTACAGATTTCAAGAATCAATTTTTGAATGTCACCATTTTTGATTCATTTATGAAGATATGAGTCCGAAATCACGTACTCACTTCACTTTCATCCTTACGCAATTTTAGAGATTTGAGAGAAATGGGAGCCTTGAAAAAACTCGCCATGACATCACCGAAATTTCCTTTCCGCAAATCATTAAAATCATGACAAAATCCCCCTGAAATTGGGCACCCATCTCAAATGTATTGTAACAAAATCCATAAACGCGTTCTGGTCGAACAAGCTTATATAATACGCAAAATTCGGTTTACTTTCTCCTCCCCAGTCAAAAATGTAAACAGGTGCAGCAATCACCATATTTCAGGCTGAAAAATCCCAAATTACCAACAATCGAAGTGAACGTAACCCAAATTACTTCATTTTCAATTTCAGACTGAAGGAATGGCCCTGAAGCAGTCGCACCAATAATGGCCATCATCTTACCCACTGTTTTGGCATCGATTAAAGCCGGCGTTGGAATCATCGGTGCCGGAAAAGTCGCCATATTGCCATTTCTACTCGCTGCTTTAGCTTATTTCCATTATGACCAATTCGATCCCGAAAATCGGCCAGTTGATCGAAAAGTAGTCGATAAAGAGTATGATTTCGTCGTAGTCGGGGGCGGCTCTGCCGGATCAGTTGTTGCCAACCGTTTAACAGAAATCCCCAGCTGGAAAGTCCTCCTACTTGAAGCGGGAGGACATGAAACCGAAATTTCCGATGTACCAGTCCTGAGTCTTTATTTACACAAAAGTAAACTGGACTGGGGCTACAAGTAAGAACCACCAACTAATTAGACACAAAATTACTATTTTTTTTTATAGGACTGAGCCACAAACTGAAGCTTGTCAAGCTATGATAGAAAATAGATCATCCTGGACTCGTGGTAAAGTCTTAGGAGGGTCAAGTGTCCTCAATACCATGCTATACGTCCGTGGTAATCGCCGAGATTTTGACCATTGGGTGCGGCAAGGTAACCCAGGATGGTCCTATGAAGAAATCCTCCCATACTTCCTCAAATCTCAAGACCAGAGAAACCCGTATTTGGCCCGGACCAAGTACCATGCGACTGGTGGGTACCAGACGGTCCAAGATAACCCATACTCGACCCCATTGGGTGTTGCGTTCCTCCAAGCCGGTCAGGAAATGGGTTATGACATTCGGGACATCAATGGTGAAAAACAAACCGGTTTTGCCTTTTTCCAATTCACTATGAGACGTGGTACTAGATGTAGTACCTCCAAGGCTTTTCTTCGGCCCATAAGACTCCGGAAAAACCTCCATATCTCACTATGGTCCCATGTGACTAAAGTTTTGATCGATCCAGAGTCACGACGAGCCTACGGAGTCGAATTCATCAAAAATGGGAAAAAACAAGTCGTTCTAGCACGAAAGGAAGTGATTTTATCGGCCGGTGCAATCAACTCGCCCCAATTGTTAATGTTAAGTGGAGTTGGACCAGCTGAACATCTCCAAGAAAAAGGAATTCGAGTCATCCATGACTCACCCGGAGTTGGGCAAAACCTCCAAGACCACATCGCAGTGGGAGGATTAACCTTTTTGATTGACCCTCCAGTTAGTTTGCTTGTAAACCGATTAGTTAACCTCAACACCGCCCTTCGGTACGCCATAAAAGAGGACGGCCCTTTGACCTCCAGTATCGGATTGGAGGCTGTAGGTTTCATCCCCACAAAATACACCAATCAAAGCGACGATTGGCCAGATATCGAATTCATGATCACGAGTACCTCGACCCCTGCCGATGGTGGTACTCAAGTCAAACACGCCCATGGCCTTACAGACGAATTCTATAAGGAGTACTTTTCCGAAATCAACTACAAAGACACTTTCGCCGTTTTCCCCATGTTGCTCCGCCCTAAAAGCCGTGGCGAGATTAAACTCCGGTCAAAAAACCCCCTCGATTATCCCATCCTCCAACCCAACTACCTCACCGACTTACACGACGTCTGGGTGATGAGAGAGGGGGCAAAAGCCGCTGTCGCATTCGCCCAAACCGAATCGATGAAACGATTCGGAACGCGGTACTACTCGAAGCCCCTCCCTAATTGCAAGCACCTCCCACTTTTCACCGATGAGTATTGGGATTGTGCAGTCAGGCAATACACCCTCTCGATTTATCATTACTCGTGTACTGCGAAAATGGGGCCGGCGAATGACCCATACGCCGTTGTTGACCCTGAATTGAGGGTGTATGGAGTGGCGGGGTTAAGGGTAATCGACGCGTCGATCATGCCCACGGTCACGAATGGCAATATAAATGCGCCCACGATCATGATAGGGGAAAAAGGGGCCGATTTAGTCAAATACTATTGGTTACAACCCTCCACGAGAAGGAGGAGGGACTTAAGGGCGATTTATAATGTGAGATTAGGAGCGACGTGTCCTAACATCACGAGTATTTAGTCATTTCATTGCTCACTAGGATTATTAAATAAATTATATTATTTTTCTAATAAATATTTGTTTGGAAATTGGGTTTTTTTGAAAGTTGAAAGTGACAGACCTTTTTTAGATTTGAATTAAAGTGAAATTCAAGTACGTTAAAAAATGTACAGTCAAATTTCACTCCAAGTACCTCCAATTATTTCTATTGTCACTAATTAATTGACATAGTTAGGTTCCTTGTAATAGCAATGACAAAACTGTGTCACGTGTGGATTTAATTTTTTGAAATTTTATTGCCGATTTCTACATACGTATGGTGTTTTTGTCGTTTTTTAATTGACTGCTTCAACTTACAAGTTTCTAACCACGATTTAATTGATGAAATAAAGAAAATACGAGGATTTTATTAATTTAAGCAAAAAAAAAAACAAATTTTTGAAAAATATAACTGATTAGTGTCAGACGTGATTGAACTACGAGTCGCTAAATTATCTCCTGACTTGACCTTAATTCTTGAAATTCTTTTAAATGGCAAAACTGCATCTCAAAGTAAAAATGCTATACTTTCCTAATAAGAAAACATAAAAATTAAAAAAATTAAAATAAACCTGAACAAATTTTTTTAAATTAATGGTACAAATTCGAAAAAATTGCCTTTCATAACTTACCAAAAAAACTTATAATACAAAAAAATAATTTTCCAAAATTTAAATTTTATTAACCTTTAAAAAAAAACGTTGAAAAATTGTTTCCGTAAAACAAACATTTTTTTTATTTCTTCAGAAAGGAAAAAATCTTTCAGGAAGGACAAAACCGCACGCAATGTTGGCAAATTCCGTCATTTTTCTCTCAATGACGCAACTCTTACACCTTTAACCTGACATTTAGCCACAAGTCCCACTTTTTCCGTATAGAAATTTTCCCAAAACCTGCCACAAAGTATCCAATGCAAATGAAATATGTTACGTTAGGAAATCTCGAATCCGTAATGGATTTCATTACTTTCACTCTTTTGCCCGAGAAAGGAAGTACCAGTTTCTTAACATTGTACATTGACCTTCGTGGTATTTGTGGTCACTCAATTCCTCACTTCCCATCAAGCCCAGATCCCAAATCTGGGAAAAATAAGCGTCCCCCAAGGCTCTCCAAGCGACTCAATCTTTCCCCGCTAGGTACCACTTCCGGTTTATGTAATCGACATCTGCCAAATTCCTTCGAGTCGCTTCTATTACAATTAGATAACGAGAAAGCATGTAAAAAATAAGAACAGAGCTTTCATTTTTATCGATGGTACTACCGAAGAACGGCGATTTCACCCGACCATGTCCCATGCACATTTCGCCGATTGCTGGGATCCATAACACAGATATACGTTGCCTTGCACGTTCCGAATTTCTTGTATTGTTTCGTGTGCAGTGTGGTGCAGTGACTGGGTTTTTACTAATTAAGTTAGATAATTTGGAGCAAGATGGCGACGATTTTGATATTTCTTGAAAATCAGGTGAGAATTTTTGGCAATTTTGACCACATGTTGAAATATTTCGTTACTTTTAAAATGGTACTTCAAACAGAAGAAAATTGTTGTAAACATTATGAAGATTTGTAATGATGCAAATGAAGAAGTGAAAGCAATACTATTACATTCTTCTTTTAAAATGACTTGAAAATTGTATACAGTGAAAGCCTTTGCGATTTAAAGATTCACGGGTCAGAATTTCCCAAAAATTATGATTCATTTAATTAAAGTTTAATTTAATTATTTATTTATTTGTTTCAAGTGTAACTGCCAGTACCCTAATTTCGTAATAAAGAAATAATTAACATAAATCTTAAAGAGAAAGGTTCAAAACCAAGCCCTTGGTACATGAAAAATTACATACTTTATTGAATTAATCGTTAACCAGAATCCTAAAGTATCCTCCACAATCATTCATTCCGTCCTAATTATTTTGCAATTTTAAATAACAATTTCACAATCGTTGCAACTCTACTAATGACTGTATTTTCCCAGGTTGCCAGCTAAGGAAATGGGAAAACCTGACCCATTTCCAAAAAAACACAAAGGTGCCAAAACCAAAGAAAAGTATCTCACCGAGTACCACAATCGCGAGAAGAAAACTCGCGAAAATTTCTACAACACAACTCCCAATGAGAAACACTCCCAGAACGACTATTTAAGAAACAACCTCCATATCAAGACTTGCGTTTGCGGAAACCGCGAAATTCTCAAATTCCAAACTAAGAAAACCAATTTCCGGAATTACACTCCGAAAATTTTGAACCAAGAGGTCAATATGGGCATGTGGATGTGACCATTGGGTCGAGATGTCTATGCTTGCGACCATAGGACAAGTGGCCCATTTTGCCGGAAGTTTGACCGGAAATCCGTTGGCCATAATTGGATTAGTGCCCATTTTTGCCGCCGGACTTGCTTTCATGCGATATGTCTCCATAGACCCGGAGTCGCATCCGGTTAATGTCCGCCATGTAAGTTCCGGAAAACTTCTTTGACTATTTTCTAATAAGATTTTAGGTCAGACCTGAGTATGATTTTATTGTGGTTGGGGGCGGCTCCGCGGGGGCGGTTGTGGCCTCCCGACTTTCCGAAATTGCCAATTGGACTGTCCTCCTCTTGGAGGCGGGAGGAGACGAAAATGAAATTTCGGATATTCCGGCCCTGAGTGGCTACACACAAATGAGTCAATTCGATTGGATGTACCAAACTTCCCCTCCGGGGGATTCCCCGTATTGTTTGGCCATGATTGGAGACCGCTGTAACTGGCCAAGGGGGAAGGTACCACATTTATGACTTTTTGACCCAAAATATTAACTCCGAACTTTCCAGGTACTTGGAGGTTCAAGTGTCCTTAATGCCATGATCTACATTAGGGGAAATCGTCACGATTATGACCAATGGGCAGCTATGGGCAACACGGGATGGTCTTATCCTGAAGTACTCCCATATTTCCTCAAATCTGAAGATAACAGAAACCCATATTTAGCCCGAACAAAGTACCACAATACCGGAGGGTACCTCACGGTGCAAGAATCCCCCTGGAGGACCCCCTTATCCATAGCGTTCCTCCAAGCTGGCCGAGAACTCGGATATGAAATCCGGGACCTCAATGGAGAAAAACAAACCGGGTTTATGCTATCCCAAGGTACCATTCGGCGTGGTTCCCGCTGTAGTACCTCCAAAGCCTTCCTACGCCCTGTCAAATCTCGTCAAAACCTCCACATAGCTATGTACTCCCAAGTAACCAAAGTTATGATCGACCCTAAAACCAAAACCGCATATGGGGTCAAATTTACCCGAAATAACCGACCCCAAACCGTGCGAGCACGCCGTGAAGTCATACTTTCAGCTGGTGCCATTGGCACCCCACATATCCTCATGTTATCAGGAGTTGGCGAAAAATCCCATTTAGAATCGTTCAAAATTCCGGTTATGTCCGACCTTAAAGTCGGTTATAACCTTCAAGATCATATCGGGTTAGGAGGACTTACTTTTGTGATAGACGACCCCATCACTTTTACCAAAACTCGCTATCAGACCTTTGCCGTCGCCATGGAGTACATAGTGAATGAAAGGGGTCCAATGACGTCATTAGGGGGTGTGGAGGGACTGGCGTTCGTTAACACGAAATATGCCCCAAAATCGGGGTCTTGGCCCGACATCCAATTCCATTTTGCCCCCTCCAGTATAAATTCAGATGGAGAACAAGTGAAAAAAATCACAGGATTGCGAGATAGTGTATACAACACTGTATATAAACCCCTGAAAAATTCAGAAACTTGGACAATCCTACCCCTTTTACTCAGACCCAAAAGCACGGGTTGGGTACGTCTCAAATCAAAAGACCCCAATATTTACCCCGATATAAATCCCAATTACTTCACCCATAAAGAGGATATCTTGACACTTACAGAAGGCATCAGGATTGCCCTAAACGTCTCAAACACTCAATCCTTCCAACGGTTCAATTCCCGACCCCATAAAATCCCATTCCCTAAATGTCGTCAGTACGACTGGGATTCAGAGGAGTATTGGGAATGTTCCTTGCGTCACTTCACTTTTACAATATATCATCCCACTTCGACGGCCAAAATGGGGCCGGCGAGTGACCCCGACGCTGTTGTCGACCCCCGATTAAGGGTATATGGGGTCAAGGGATTGCGAGTGATCGATGCATCCATCATGCCGACTATTGTCAGCGGAAATACAAATGCCCCAACGATCATGATTGGTGAAAAAGGGTCGGACATGATCAAGGAGGATTGGGGTATCCGAATCCTTTAAGAATTTGATCGTCAAAAATTACTAGTCAAAAAATTTGTAAATATTTTATTTGTACTGTTGTAATTATTTTTTTATTAAAATTTTATACTTAAAACAGGTTTATTTCTTTATTCATAAATTTGGCAACTTAATTGGCGTGAAAAAACCTATTCTGATGCAATTCGAAACCTCTACACTAATTGGCATCAATTGTGCTAAAATCTCTTGCATAAAAAGTCAATTTCAGTAATCTGTTTAAATATTGTGCAATACAAGATAATAAAATTTCAGTTGCAACAATTGTGTTACGAGTCTTTCGAAAGGTCATTTATTTTAATTTTAATAATTTAGAGAGTGAACACTTGTTTGAAGTTGCTTTCGAGATCAATTAAGCAAATGTAGGGTAGTGAGTTAATGAGAACTAAATCAAGGACATTGGAAGTGAATTAATCAAGTGAAGTGACTGAAATGACAAACTAATTTAATTGATAACCGGAAGAAAATATTTCTCTAAAATGTGAAATTTAAACTTGGTGAATATACCAATTTAATGTAACTTTATTGGACATGAAATTAAAAAAAATCAAAGTATAACCTGCTTCAATACTAAAAAAACAGTTTCTCAAATTTGGTGCCAAAAGTATCTTTCTTTCGAAAAACCGTTTAATTAACCCCAAAAAGACAACTTAAAAAAAAAATATTCTTTTTTGTCATTTTTGACACACGCTTTCCCCCATAACTCCTCCTGTTTGCAAAAAATCCCCGACATAAAATCGCAATAAATGGTTCTAGTCGAGCAAACAATTGCAGTGAAAGCAGCGCCACCGTCGATTCCTCATCCGACTTCCTTCACACTTTCTCCAGGAGGACCCCACTCACCCCCCATTTTACGTAATTCCAGCCCCCAGACTTTCTCTCGGGTCTTGAGGAACGTGCTGAAGACCACGTGCCCACCGGAAGAACAAACACTCTTACTTTCGGTTCTGTTTCCCATTGGTATGGGTGCCCCATGGTTTTGGATGTCGAAACCATCATGAGAAAAAAATTATTTCGGGATGGTTTGGTGTCGAAATTAAACAATAGAGTGAGAATCTTGATTTCGTGGCCTTTAACACGTAGGTATACGATTTATGGCTTGGTACTCGATCAACTTTCTTGATTACATAGCAGTGAAAGTATTAGGTAACTGTGGCATTGTAAACAGAAGGAATTCTTTGCTGTTTTGCTCCTGAATGGTTTCACATGACCGTTACGGCGACCTAGACGAATCGATTTTACTTTTTTCAAATGGAAATGGTACCATTCTGGTGCCACTGGACTTGAGCCATTGTTTGGAGGTGCAAAGAAACCAAAATTTCATTAACAAAGTGAAAATATAATAAATTAAATGAAGGAAGTATTTATTTTGTGGCTATTTAGCAAAAAGTCCTTTTTATTTTTGAAAACTAAATATACACAAGTAATTTCTTTAATTCTTTTACCAATACTCCTCTAAATGTCCCTCAAATCAATTAACACCCCCACAGCTTTTAGATTAAAAAAAAGTCTTATCCCCTTAAAAAAGTTAGATTTTCAGTTATAATACAACGAGTAGTCAAAAATTGTCGAATACTGAATGAACACCATGAGTGCGCAGCACGAAGTTACAAGTGTAATGACTAAGGCTCGGTTTATATGCAAGATGCATATTTGTTATTAAGAGGTATATCAACAAAATTGTAAGTTTTCTATGCATATCTAAAGTTTTTTGATTAAAATAAGCCATTAAAAAATGCATATTTAGGCACCTTCGTGCATATATTTTAGGAAATATTGCATATTTGTGCATATTTTTTTCAAATCACAAATTTCCATTAAAAATTTCAGTTCAAGTTAAAAATTGGGCAGTTTATGAAAAATGATTCTATTACAAAATATGTTAAAAAGAAAACAACGGATAATTCGTAAGCCCGACTCAAAGAATTAGTATCCTGCTGAGTGCTTTCTTTTTAAATTCGTTTTATACAAGGTGAATATAAAGTATAGAACCAAGCGGTTTTTTTTAAATCATTTGTCTCCAGAAAATAACAATTAATATAAATTAAAGTAAAATAAAACATTTTGTTTTGTTTTTGAGTTATGCGATTTTATTTGTGAAAATTGCAATTTATGTCAATTTTTTTTAAAGTGAAACTTTTATTCCATCGCTGTGTTTCCTTTTTAAATTCGTTTTATACAGGGTGAATAGAAAGTATGGAACTAAGCAGTTTTTTTTTTAATTATTTGCCTCCAAAAAATAATACTTAATGTAAATTAAAGTACTTAATACAAAAAAATATGAACGTATTTTGAGAACGAAATTTTGTTTTGTTTTTGAGTTATGTGATTTTTTTTTCTTTAAATTGCAATTTAAGTATGTAAAAAAGTAAAAAAAAATTAATTCGATATAAAGTAGATAGTTGTAATTCTTAGATCATAATCTTCATGAGACAAATGTTATTTTAATGGGTTTCTATTTAAAAAAAATATGGTAAAAAATAAATTGTAGAACTCAAAAATAAAACAAAAATTCGAAAAATTTTGTTCTTGATAAAACATTACTTTTTTTATAGTACGTTATCATTCATCAATTAGTTTTTTCAAAAAATAATTAGTAGCAAAAAACGTTTCATGCTTTTTATTCACCTGGTATGGCTATAATCCTAAGTAGTTGCCTGCAAATGAATTTTAAACCAACTTATTTTTTTTTCTTTCGTTTATCATGTGCAGTTCAAGATGCCGAAAATACAAAGTTTAGTGTACTCGAGGATAAGAATTTATCCAAACTTAGATTTTTTGTTCTTAAAAGTTTTGTATATCGATGCATATTTGGCACAAATTGGAGCATATTTCTTTGTATCTTGTGCATAATTTTGTGAAAAAACATGCATCTATATGCGCATATTTTACGGATTTTTTGTGCATACAATCCAAGTCTTATTAATAATGACCATGAATAAAAATATTCTACAATCATTCAATGAACCAAATGGCTTTGCGTTACACATGATTTCATTTTCATAGCAACCGGTAAATAATCAAGTTAGTTTAAAATATTCATTGCAACCTCTCGTGGAATATTCAGTTATATTTTCACTTGAATTTGCTGTTGCTGGGATATAAAAGTAAATATCTGCTATTTTATTGGTTAATATTTGAAAAAAAGAGGTAAATTGAATAGTCACAAAAGTACCACCTCAAACAAACATCCCCTTCAACCCACAACAATATTTTAGATTACAAAAACGCTCTTTGGTGGCACAAAAAAGATGATTTAGAGTCATAAAAAATCCAATCCAAAGCCCTTCTTAAGATTTGTTTCTATTTTTGAATAAAAAAATAAAAAAAGAAATAGGCAAAAATATTATTGTAGTGTAGATATAAAAATAAAAGAAAATATACGAAAAAATCAAATGTTAATAAAAGCCATACTTCCAATTTCGGCGTTTTTTAGGCATTGAAATTTTTCTAATTAGTTGTAAAAAAAACTCAGTGAAATTTAACACTTTTAATCAGATACATCCTCAAGCACTTAAAAAGCCAAAAATATTACTGTAGTGTAAATATAAAAATAAAATAAAATATAAGAAAAAATCAAATGTTAATAAAAGCCATACTTCCAATTTCGGCGTTTTTAGGCATTGAAATGTTTCTAATTAGTTGCAAAAAAAAACTCAGTAAAATTTAACACTTTTAATTAGACACATCCTCAAGCACTCAAAGCCATAAATTATGAAGTGCGTCTTCAGCACTTTGCAATAAATTTAAATAATTAAGAGAACAACTAGCCCCCAGTTGTAGCGAAAGTACTTCCACTTACATAAGTCGCACACTTCCGAAATAATTCAAGTGAAAAAAAATTATGATGCCTACAAGAATTTCCTTTCAGTCAGAGTGCCAAAAAGAGGTAACACACATCCCCACTTGGCTAAGAACAAGACAGTAAAGCTTTACAAGTGACTGGAGAGTCATTGTGGTAGAAATCTGTTAGCGATATAGTGCACATTCTAGTATTAAGACTGAACTATTTTTTTAAGTGATGTGATTTTGATTCTAGGAGGTTTTTAAAATAATTTTTCATTAATTTAGTGAGTGGAAAGACGACGAAAGATGGAAGATCAGGTCACAAAAAATGTAAGTGCTACTCGGTGCAACTTTTTTTTAATTTTATTTAATTACGATTAAACGAAGTGAATTTTTTCAACTACTCGCTTTAATTGCTGGTAAAAACCGCTCGAGATTACAGAAAATTACCGAAATTTCGTAACAGCAAGACCTCGAAGAGCGCTCGATTGCGTATTAGTTACATAACAACTTTCTTCGCCGGAATCTCCAAGATAAAGAGTTGTTTTTTTGGCGCCGCGTCTCACAATTTCCCCATTATTTAGGTCACTTAATTACCATTCTCGTCGTCTATTGACGGAATCGGAAGTTATTATGACATTTGAAATTGATTCACATTCTTCAAGCGGTCGGAAGTAAAGGAAGAAAGTGTTCCATGATTACATCAGCACTGATAGCCGGTTATCTTTTCGGAGAAGAAAGCATGACGTCATAAATTACACCCACGAATGTAATTTCTGAAGAGTTAATCTCCATATCTTCGGTTGATGATCGCCTTAATTGTATGGTTTGAGTTGAAGGAAAAAAAAAACAGAGAAATCTGATGACTACATAGTGATACACAACAGCTGTAATGTTTTTAATTGTTGATTCAATAATAAAAATTAATAGAAATCACTCAAGTGAAAAACGTCAATGTATTTTTAAATAACGAGAATTAAGCTAAACGGTGGCTGGGAACGGAAGCAAAAAAATTTTTGATGCGGAAAGTGCCAAGACTTTTTCTAGAACCGTTTGAATTGTTTCAAAGCAATATTTTGCTACACGTTTTGACTTGTTTTAATTGACTTCAACAACTCAGAATTTAAGACTAGAAAATCCTGAATGAAAGGGTAAAAAAATGTTAATATTTAACTAATAACTATATAATAACTAATCTAAGATTTTTTATATTTTACAAGTCATTTCACCTATCCGGGGACAAACTGCACCATGTGAATAAAAAGTATGGAATCAAACGTTTTTTGCTTGATCTATTTATTTTTTGGAAAAACTAATTGATAAATGATAAAGTACTATGAAAATGTGATGTTTTATCAAGAATAAATTTTTCGAAATTTTTATTTTCGAGTTCTACAAAATTTTTAATTTTTTTAAATGGCACCCACTATTAAACCATTTTCTCATGAAGATTATGATCTATTTATTTAAAAAAAAAACACATAAATTGCAGTTTTGACAAAAAAATCGCATAACTCAAAAACAAAATAAAATTTCGTTCTCAAAATACGACCACATTTTTTATATTACTTTAATTTATATTAATTGTTATTATCTGGAGGCAAATGATTAAAAAAAAACGCTTGGTTTCGTACATTATATTCACCCTGTATATCAATTAACAAAAAAAATCCCTTCACAACATTTTAAAACTCATAAAACTAACACCGTCATAAAATTCAACTTTCTTAAAAATAACATTCAGTGTTAACGATCTAGTAGCAACACCTTCAATATTTGCAGTTTCTCTCTTTAAATATTTCTTATTTTAGATCGCCACCTGAGCGTCAGTCATGTCTCCCCGGACTAAAATGAAAATCCTGAAAAATGGTAGTCGAAACCCTGTTCATATCAACCGCCCTTAAAACCATCGGAATTGTCGGTTCAACCCTCTGGATCATCCCTTTGATTTTCGCTGGAATTTCCTATTACCACTACGACAAACTCGATCCGGAATCGCCCATCATCAACCGGAAAACACTCTACAAAGAGTACGACTTTGTAGTCGTTGGGGGTGGCTCAGCGGGGGCGGTTGTAGCCTCGCGCCTATCCGAAATCCCTTCCTGGAATGTTCTCCTCCTTGAAGCCGGTCCGGACGAGAATGAAATTTCAGACGTTCCCTCATTGGCTGCTTATCTCCAATTGTCGAAACTTGATTGGACGTATAAAACGGAACCTACAGGAAGGGCGTGTCTCGGGATGAAAAATGGGCGGTGCAATTGGCCCAGAGGCAAGGTTTTGGGCGGGTCGAGTGTACTAAACTATATGTTATATGTTCGGGGGAATCGACACGATTATGACCAATGGGAGGCAATGGGTGAGTCGATTTTTATTATTTAAGGATTAATCCCTCATTTGTGATCTTCTGACAGGAAATCATGGCTGGAATTACGAAAATGTCCTCCATTATTTCAAAAAATCGGAAGATAACAGAAACCCGTATTTGGCACGTACCAAATATCACAATCAAGGGGGGTTATTAACGGTTCAGGAATCTCCATGGAGGACTCCCTTAGTCCTGGCCTTTGTCCAAGCGGGTACCGAGCTTGGGTACCCCAATAGAGACATAAATGGTGCCGAGCAAGCTGGTTTTATGGTTGCTCAAGGTACCATAAGACGTGGTTCCCGCTGCTCTACCGCCAAGGCTTTCCTCCGGCCTGTCAGACTCCGGAAAAACATCCACATCGCTCTAAACTCACACGTGACTCGAGTCCTAATCAACCCATCAACCATGCGAGCCTTCGGGGTCGAATTTGTCCGAAATGGTCATAAACAAATCGTTTTAGCCCGGAAAGAAGTCATAATGAGTGCTGGCGCTATTAACACTCCTCAAATCCTCATGTTATCAGGGATCGGCCCTCAACCCCAACTCTCAAAGTTCGGAATCCCAGTCCTGAGGGATCTCCCTGTTGGGGAGAACCTCCAGGACCATGTTGGTATGGGAGGATTCACTTTTCTAGTCGACAAATCCGTTTCCATAGTCCAGGACAGATTCCAGGCCTTCGCTATGACCATGCAATACGTCATGAACGCCAAAGGCCCAATGACGACTCTTGGAGGTGTCGAAGGCCTCGCGTTCATAAATACCAAATATGGTAACCGTTCCTGGCCCGATGTCCAATTCCACATGGCACCTGCGAGTATCAATTCGGACGCTGGAGTCCGAGTCCGGAAAGTTTTAGGCCTCACGGACCACCTCTACAACACTGTATACCGCCCTATAGCCAATAAGGACGTCTTCACGCTTATGCCCCTCCTCCTGAGGCCTAAATCCCGCGGTTGGGTACGCCTCCAAAGCAAAAATCCCTTCGTCCCGCCTGTAATCAACGCCAACTATTTCGATGATCCCATCGATATTAAAATATTAGTTGAAGGGGCCAAAATGGCAATAAAAATTGGAGAAGCTCAAGCTTTTAAGCAATTTGGAGCAAGGGTGCATAGAATCAAGTTTCCAAACTGTAGGGATTTCGAGTTTGGAAGTGATGAGTATTTGGAGTGCCATATAAGGACTATTTCGATGACGATTTATCATCCAGTAGGGACGTGCAAGATGGGGCCAAGTTGGGACAAGGAAGCTGTGGTCGATCCCAGATTGAAGGTGTATGGAGTGGAGGGATTGAGGGTGATCGATGCGTCTATCATGCCAACGATTCCGAGCGGAAATACAAACGCACCGGCTATTATGGTGGGGGAAAAAGGGGCGGATTTGGTCAAAGAGGATTGGTTGCAACGATAGACTTTTAAAAAGTGATAATCTAGTTTTTGGTATTATTTATACATCGTTTTTCATCCGTTCATTCATTTCACGCATGTGCTATACATAATTTTTTTCTACAACTACCTCAATATACAGAGTGGAATTTTTATCTGGAATAAAATTCATAATTTGAATATAAGCGATTTTTGTAAAAAATCCTGAAACAGGTCGGTTTTAATTTTTCCTTGCACATCATTTGACACATATGGTTTTTGTTTATCTGCTTTCTGAAATGCACAGCCACCTATAACTTTTTTTTTCACGTGTAATGGTATGAGAAGTGACACCTCGTTTGAAAGGGGAATTTTATGTACTATTTATTTTCTGATTATTTTCAAAGCCGACGTGATAAAAAGTAAAACCAATCTTATAAGATGAATACTATTTAATGCAACAGATATTAAAAATGGATATCGTCCTTTCCTGAGAAACTGCAAAATTTTGCATTTTGCAACATTTCGAGTGTGATTTGCGACAAAATCGAATAACATTGAGGACCTTAGGGAACGTTTTAGGAATAAAATTATGCAAATCACCCGAAATGTTGCAAAAGGTAAAAAATGCGTGTTACTTTTGATTTGCAATTTGCCCGGAAAGGAACGTTGCCAATTTTGGACATTTATTGCATTAATAGTATTCAAGTTAAGAATGTGTTCTTATTGTTTTATTACGTAGGCTTAGGAAATATTCAGAAAACAAATGGTACGTTGTATTGCTTGTGACGTGGGCTTTCAAATGAGGTGTCACTTGTCATCCCATTACATTTGAAAAAAAAAGTTATAGGTGGCTATGCATTTCAGAGAGCAGATAAACAAAAACCATATGTGTTAAATGATGCGCATGGAAAAATAAAAATCGACCTGTTTCAGGATTTTTCACAAAAATCGCTTATATTTAAATTATAAATTTTATTCCAGTTAAAAATTACACTTTGTATGCTAAAAATTATATAAGAGTACTTATGAGATGTTTTTCTGCTTTTGAGTAATTAAACATAGATTTTATTCGACAAATATTCAAAATGTCACAATGTAAACGGCTCTAGGATGTTATTATATGATATTTTTTCTACAACTGCATAACTATATTTTTGAGCTTCGCATTTGAACTTGTAATTAAAAGTAATTGGCTCTTTTTTAAAATCTGCAACTATAATATCTATTTTTTTCTACGACTGACTTAAGTAGTCAATGTAAATACTTAAACAACTCATAAATCATGCAAATGCTTCTGAATTCTTACGTTAAAGATTATTTCAACGTTATTCACAAATCTACAGGGTGTTAGAACTTGCGTCCCAGAGAAAAATTTCAAGGAATGTAAGATACCAAGAGCATAGAAAAAATGTTTAAAAAATTCTGTCAAAAAATTTTGACTTTTTTTGACATTTGACTATGTTTTATGTCTATTTAATGATACTGATGATCTTGTATATGTTTTTTATAATTATTTAGTAAAGTTACAAAATTTTTGCCAATGAAAGCCACAAATAACATTAAACAGAGTTACAATTTAGGATACAGCTTTCTTGTTTTTGTAAAATGCAAAATTTAAAGTCTCATAATTTCAAAATTTTTATAGATAGAATTTTAACATTTTTTACATGTTTCTGGTATCTTTTTCTCTGGGGCACGAGTTCTGGCGCACCTGTAGTTACATTGTTTGTAAAAAACAAAGATAAAGCCACACAAAAATGCCACTTTTTGTGGCATTGAATATAAGTTGTAGAGAAATTTTCTCTTAATATTAAGTGTCTTTTATTCATTTTTTAACTGTCAAAGTCTGGTCTTAGATATGTATTAAAATTTTCTCTTCGTGCCAAATTAGGTAAAAAGCATGATAGTGATTAAAATCCAGGTGATGTACAATTTTTGAATCACCGATTAATAAACGAGTTACAAAAAAATAATCTTAAAGGTATGATTGTATGTAATGACGCGGATTAATGAATATTTTTTTCGCTAATGTACAATTAAATGTTTTCCCAAGTAAAGCAATTGGGAGAAAAGAAAAAAGTGCTCAATCATGTCTATTTTTATTTTATCATTTTTTATTTAATATCTGTAATTTTAGTTTTAATTAAAACAGAATTAAATAAGTCATTTAAATGTTAATTCATAATTTAATAATTTGCGACTTATGCTGCGTGTATTGTTAAAGTTGTATTGTTGGTTATTTAAATTAAATGAACTAGAAAAACGTTTTGTTTTTTTTATTAATTTCCAAATTAAATACTAATAAGGAGACGACGATTAGGGAACAAAAGGTAATAAAATGTGATCAATAATGCTTTTTTATTACTTTTATTTATAATTAATTAAATTACAATAAATTATTACCAACACAAGAGTATAATTGGTTGCCTATCCACCATATAAAAATTATTGTGTTTAGTGTTGTATTCTCTTAACAGGGAATAAATTGACGCTTTATTCCTTAATAATCTGTATTGCCCCGAGAATAAAATAAAGAAAATAGCAAGTTTTACTCTTAAAACAAACTGAAATCGAATGAATTGAATCTTTTGGGTGTTCCTTGACATAAACAAACCCCTTGATATCGATTTTTCTTTTAAAATTGAGTAACTAAATGAAATGAATATCAATAAATTATTTCGCATTTGACGAATTTTTCATTTTATTATGTCCTCTGTCATTTCCTACATTCTCGGGATTAAAACAGTAGTTTATTCCCTTGGTGCATAAATAATTATTATATTGACAGACTAAAAATAAACACACAAACGAATTTTTTATTTTTATTAGTGTAGTAATAATTTGTTTTTTTTTGGCTCATCTCACAAGCTTCATTTACATATCATTTACATAATTTTTAAATTATTATTATTGTCCACAGTGTTTGTTCTTTTTTATTCTGCGTTTAGGTTCGCCGTGAAAAATTGTTTTTTTTTCTCATTTCTGTTATTATTAATATTATATTAGGTACCTATGTTATAACGGTGAATAAAACTAATAAAAAATACGTGATTTGAACTTCGCTTTAATGGTATTCAAAACTATTGTTTTGGGTATTTGGGTCTAGAAAAAAATCAGTGTCAAGTTCAAGACCGTCCGAATATTCACTCTCTTGACTTTCGATTTCATCACCGAAATTTCGTCAAAGCAGTAGCCTTCATTTTCTCGTTTCTTTTGAGCAATCTGCTCCGTATTCGGCACTCGTGTGCATTATTGAGAAAAAAGTTTGTTTTAAAATATCGAAAGTGTAAAAGAAAAACGAGAACGAAAAATATTGCACATATTTGAAACGTTGTTTCATTTCGAAACGAATGTGCTCGGAACTAAAACATTAGAAAGTAAAACGGACAAGGACGTCTTCTAATCTGTAAAAATTCATATCTAATTGCGTACAATACGGCTGTATGATTGGCGTAAGGTTCGATCACCTTCTAATATGTTAATAGACCGAAGTGGTATTTTGTCGCTTTAAAATGACCCAAATCGTGAATAATTTGAACTCTGTTGAAATGTGCAGAATTTTGAAACGGAGTGTAATTTAATCGAAAGTGGATAAACAATAAACGACAAATCACGAGTTGATGAAACTTGACATCAATTAATCTTAAATATCACTGGACCTGTGTAAAAACGTGAACAACTAACCCAAAGCAAACGTCTTCTTTAGTAATTCAAAATTAAAATGTTTTCACTTCATTTAATTTTTAGCGAAAAATAGTAAATCAAGCAAAAAATTAATCCCAAAGTTAACTTCATAATAAATTTAAAAAACTTAAAAAAATCAGTTTTTAAATTAAAGAAATATGTTAACTGATTTATTTTATGCCAGAAACAATTCATGACAATTTTTTAAAAATAAAAATTTTGAATTCATTGGAACAACCAAAATTCTAAATTTTTGGAAAACAGTTTCAAATAATTTTTATTTTCATTAATCTAAAAAAAAAAATCCAGGTGCGTCAGAACTCGCGCCCCAGAGAAAAATTTTAAGTAAGATAAGATACAAGGAAAAAATGTTTAAAAAATTCAATCAGTCAAAAAAATTTGATATTTATTTTTCGACATTTGACATTTTTTATGTCTATTTACTGATACTGATGATCTTGTATATGTTTTTTACAATTATTTAATAAAAGTATAAAAATTTTGCACACACAGTTACAATTTAGGCTACGGATTTCTTGTTTCCTCTTCTAATAGCCTGAAACAAAAAAACTTGGAAAACTATTTTTCCAATAAAAAAAAAACTAGAGAAAGTGCAAAATTGAAACTCTCGTAATTTCGAAATTTTTATAGATATTATTTTTTACATTTTTTCCATATTCCTGGTATCTTACCTTATTTGGTATTTTTCTCTGGAGCCTGTATAAAAATTTCGATGTTATGAGAGTTTAAATTTTGCACTTTAACTCTTTATTTCTGTTGAAAAAATAATTTTACAAGTTTTTTTGCTACAGGCTATTAGGAGAAGAAACAAGGAAGCTGTATCCTAAATTTTAACTCTGTTTAATGTCATTTGTGGCTTTTATTAACAACATTTTTGTTCCTTTATTAAATAATAATTTTGACACAACATTTTTTCCATGTTCCTGGTATCTTATCTTACTTGAAATTTTTTTATGGGGTGCGAGTTCTAACACACCCTGTATACCTTTAAAAAATATAAAAAAGACGAATGCGACAACTTGTTTTCTTCTTTGCAAAAATCAAAAAAATTAAAAATTTATACCAAAGCCAAATTCTTCTGTTAAATAATTGTAAAATCATTTCAATCGTTTTTTTTAATAACAAAATTCAGGCATTTTTTGCTTAGTTTAAATAAAAAGAATAAAAAACATTAAAAATTTCTCAAATTTAAGCCAATTAAATTACAGCTAATTATTTTTCAGTTTCAAATTCACCACAAACATTACTAAGTTATAAAATGTATTTCAATTTTTTTTTATCATAAATAAATCTGAACCAATTTCAATCCAAATCAAATCAGAAACTAATTTTCTTAAATTGAAAAAATTTTTGAATTTTAATTCAATTATACACTTAAATCAAAAAAATATTTATTAACACAGCACACATTGACACATCTCAATTCTCTCAAACCCGCACAAAATTCTCGAAAAAAAATTTTTTCACCAAAATCACAAAACTCTCAAACTTCGGCTAAAAACCGACAAAATTGCTCATTTTCACATTTATATAAAATCCAACCGAACACTTCAAAAGCTACAATACAAGTGGCTTTATCTGTGCATTTTAATAGTTAAAAAGTTGAAAATTACCGATTGCAGCAACATTCAATACCCCAGAAAGCCCGAATGACGTATTAGAAGGTAGATACAACCTGAAGGACGAAATGTGAAACAGATTCGAATTAAAAGAGGGAGACAAGAGCAAGATTGCAAAATTTGTCGAAATTGTCACATTTTTGCCACTTCTCTGTGAAACTACTAAAATTTACGTTTTTCGGCAACATTCACCTGACCAATCCAACATCTATTTTGAAAAAAATCGCAAAATTTTGCAATTTTAATGCAATGTACTTTCATGCAGTATGACTACTGGCGAGCTTACTCAACTGATCGAAACCGAGACAGAATTATTAGAACACGGGATATTTAGCAATAAATGCTCTTGCGGCCTGTGAAGAAAAAAAGTTGCACCGGTTTGACCGATGTTCTCTCCATTGAGAAATTCTTAAATTTTCTTTAAATGATTTGTGTAAAAATTTACTACTCAAGGTAAAAATAATTCATGATTAAAATCTTTACGTTGCGTAATAATAAAAAAAAATCTTAACAAATGTAGTTATTAAATATAAACATTATGCTAATTGCTTCACACAAAAAAATTGAGAAATCACCACACAGATTCTATTCTTAAAGTCCAAGGATTAAACAAGAATAAAAAATTCAATTTCCTGATACAACTACACATTTGCAAAATTAGGTGGAATTTCCGGTCAGTGTGTCTCTAAGTTATAAGAAAAATTATAGTAATGTATACAATTTTATTGCTTGTAAATTACATTGAATTAACTTCATGGACGACCAGACTTCCAATATATCATCATTATTGCAAGTAAGGTGCTTGAAGACGATTAAAATTTTCCTCGCTATTGTTGAGATGAGATGAGATTTTAGGAAAAACCCCCAACGTCACACACAATCATAATTCATAGATATTAATTTAAAAAAAAAACAAGATTTTTATACGCAAAAAATTAAACAAAATACCCAGATTTTGAGTTAAAATAAACGAGACAAAAGTCACGTTCACACAATACACTAATGAGGCTTTAGCTGGAAAAAATAAACAAAAATGCCCAAAAATGGTCTTAACACTTAGAATTAATTAATTAATTTATTCCATGAACAAGTCTTTAACTAATGACAAAAAAACTAATTTAATTTAAAATAGCACTAATCGGACTTTAAAGATAAAATAATTATTGTGACAATTTTAATTTTCAAATAACTTTTATATTCAAAATTAAAACAAAATTTCGAAAAATTAGAAAAAAGCCTTGCTCACTTCATTATTTTTCAGTGTGTAATAAATTAGTCAAAATATTTTTTTTTATATTCTTGTAACTTTAGCAATATTCAAGGATACCGGGAACCGAATCCCAGCCTTGCACAAACAAACGTCGTCCTTTTCACAAATCAATATTTCCTCTTACCGAATATTTTTTTTTACCCAAAAAAACAAAGTTCAAGGTATGCCAACAAACTATATACCAAATGTTCATTGACGGATTTTAGCGACCTTTGTCTCCTAAAAAAACGAATACGTGACAAGAAAAAACTTTATTAATCTTCTTTTTTATTGTATAAAATCAAATTAATTTCTATTGTTTGACGTTGGCATATAATAATTGCAATTATCTTGAATTGACCAAACGGAAAATTTGACTATTTTGGTGTTTTTCCTTCATTATGAGAGTCGTTATCAGAAAAAAATTCTAGAAAAATCAGGACAAAAATCAATAAAGGACGCAAAAGACGTGTTTTAATAAATCACTTAATTACATGCTTACATTCGTCATTACACAAGATATAATAAAATAAAACAATAACACCATAATTGACCTGCATATTCAAAAAATAAAAAAATTCTAAACAATCATTTAACTACAAAATTCAAATGAATTTGCGTCAACTTACAATTATTCCCAGTACATTACAAAAAAAAAAAAAAACTTGAAACAATAACATGAAATGACAGCTATCATTACTAAAAGTGATGTCAATGAAGTATTGAAAACAATAATTCCATTAATAGTTTATAAGAAAAAAATAATTAAAAAAGGAATATTTTTATTCCCACTTTGTTTATTTCCTGATTACATAAAAAACTGACGGAAACGTTTCCTAAATCCTCAACTCATGACAATCCCATTGTCAAATTAAATCACTCAAGAAAGTTTCACTGTAATAAAATCCCGTTACTGACCTGTGGCAAGCGTGCACTGATTAATTTTTCTAATTGTCGAGTTGAATTCAATAATTTTTGCAAAATTATTTAAAATGTCGATGAAAGTCTAACCGAATAAAACAAGAAAGAAATGCGTTTCGTCAGTTGTAAAGTGGGGGGAAAATCCAAATAAAATACAGAAATCCAAGGTATCACAGAAGAGGGAGGCAAAAACAACCTTGTTGTGGCATAAAGAAGAACGTTTTCAAGTGTACGAGTGATCAGAAAGCGGCCATTTCATTTGATAGGTCGGTGGTGAAATGATGAGTTTTTTGTGATACGGATCTGATAAATTAATTTATTTTGTAAGTAATTAAAATCACTTTATTTAACATTTTTTTGATAAAAATAATAAAATTGCGTTCCATATTTGCGTAATTTAATTGTCACACAAGAAGGCGATGAAATGAAGAAGACCTTGCGACTCAATTGTTAATTAAAATCAAATTATTTTTCAATTTTTCCAAAACTAAATTTGATTTTCACACCTATATTGTTGAGTGTTAGGAAAATATAAATATTACGGCATGACCGTGGCCTTGTTACAACTTTCACTAACTTCAGATCGTTGCAGTTTCATGAATTATAAGTATATCGAAATGGAATTTTCGCAAAGAGTTAAATTTAATTACAAAATTTCAACCACGCAACCACATTTAACACTTGCAAGGTTTTTATTATTCGTCGCCAAAGTACCTACCACCTGTTAATCCAGACTTAGCACCAACAACAAAAATTTGCAATCTCGCTTGAATTTCAAAACAGATTAAACAATATTAGAAAAATCGAAACAATTTTCTTCAATTAGTTGCAGTATTATAAAAAGTGTGTCATAATATTAAATTTCTCCTTTCGAAAATACAATTTTTGTCCGGAAAAATAACTTCGCGTCTTAACATTCAAATAAGGTCACCCGGAATATCGATTGCATCCAACCTTCAAAACTGCAATTACACCATAATTTAATATTTTCCTGATTTTCAGTGTTCATTTGACGTCAAATTGTTCAAAAATGTTAAAAACTGTAATTTTCCTAACTATCATTGCCAACACCTACCAACAAAGTGTTTTGGAGGGAATCATCAACATCCTCGAGGAGGGCGAAGCCCAGTTTAATCTCGAACCTGAAGATGTGCGAAATCTCCTCCCAGAGTATGATTTTATCGTAGTAGGCGCGGGGAGTGCCGGTTGTGTCGTTGCCAACCGACTCTCCGAAAACCCCAACTGGAAGGTTCTACTAATTGAAGCAGGTGCTACATATTATTTTTTTTTTAAATCAAAAATCTTGATTTTGATTATTTAGGCCGAACCGAGAATTACCTAATGGACATGCCCATCCTGGCCAACTATCTCCAATTCACCGATTCAAATTGGAAGTACAAAACCACCCCCAGTGGACGTTTTTGTATGGGGATGGACAACCAGCAGTGCAATTGGCCTAGGGGTAAAGTCGTAGGAGGGTCAAGTGTCCTGAATTACATGATCTACACCCGAGGGAATCACCGGGATTACGACCATTGGGCCGCTTTGGGAAACACAGGATGGTCCTTCAAGGAGGTCCTCCCCTATTTCAAAAAAGTTGAAAATTTCTCGGTTCCCGACTCCCCCCACACCGAGTACCACTCAAAAGATGGGTACCTCTCAGTCAGTTACGCTCCCTTTAAAACCAAAATCGCAGATGCCATAATTGAAGCTAGTAACCAAAACGGTATTAAATCCGTTGATTATAACGGCCCTATCCAAGTTGGCGTATCTCGTCTCCAAGTCTCCATGCGAGATGGAGTACGGGAGAGTGCCAGTAGGGCATACCTCCATCCTATACGAAACCGACCCAACCTCCATGTTAAAAAACTTGCCATGGTCAGTAAGATTTTAATCGACCCTAAAACGAAGCAAACAGTAGGCGTTGAATTCTTCCGGGATGGTACTCGGTACCAAATCCGGGCCTCGAAGGAGGTCATCGTCTCAGCAGGTGCCATAAATTCGCCACAACTTCTCATGTTGAGCGGAATCGGACCCCGGAAACACCTTACCCAGAAAGGTATTCCGGTACTGTCAAACCTTAAGGTTGGCTACAACCTCATGGATCATATTGCCTTGGGTGGCCTCACCTTCATCATTAACAAACCTTACTCACTCAATACCGAAAAAATGATAACAACAGAAAACATGAGACAGTACTTGAACTACCATAAAGGCCCATTGTCTGTCCCTGGAGGTTGCGAAGTATTAGTTTTCCACGATTTGAAAAACCCAACAGACCCAGATGGGTACCCCGACATCGAGCTTTTGTTCCAAGGCGGTTCCATCGTTTCCGACCCTCTCCTTCGTAAAGACTTTGGCATTACCAACGAAATCTATGACGCAGTATACAAACCCATCGAAGATCTCGATACCTTCATGGTATTCCCCATGTTGATGAGACCCAAAAGCAAAGGTCGAATCATGCTCAAAAATAACAACTACCGATCAAAACCATACATTTTCCCCAATTATTTCGCATATGAGGAAGATATGGACACCATCATGGGTGGCGTCCATTTGATCCTAAATATTACCCAACAACCCGCATTGCAAAAACTTGGAACTCGCCTCCACGACATCCCCATCCCCCAGTGTGCCAAATACGGATTCGCCTCCGACGATTACTTCAAATGTATGGCTCGACACTTCACTTTTACCATCTACCATCAGAGTGGTACTTGCAAAATGGGCCCACCCAGCGATAAAAAAGCAGTGGTTGACCCACGATTAAGAGTTTATGGTATCAATGGGTTGCGAGTCATCGATGCCTCGATTATGCCCGAAGTACCAGCGGCGCACACAAATTCGCCCACTTTTATGATCGCAGAAAAAGGGGCCGATATGATCAAAGAAGACTGGGCGAACAAAAGCTGATATTTACTGTGATTATTTTTTTTAGTTATAATTATTTTTAGCTGTAAACTAATTAAACTGTTAATAAATAATTTAAATAAATTTGTTTATTTTAATTTCTTACGAAACACGCGACCACCTAAATAATGGAAAGTTGCTTAATCGGTTAAAATAAAAGATTCCCAAGTAAATTATTCAACAGTTATGTAACTAAAAAAATGACAAAAATCCCCAAGGTCAGGCGCGAATGTGGGTTTTTTCACCCAATCTAGCTTATAGACAACACAAAATACTTACAGGTCAATAGACGACGCCACGTACCTGAAACAAAAAAATATTAATAGCCACCAATCCGACCGGATTTGAGTTAATTGAAAAGAATTAAAATTAACCGAAAACCACAATTGAGGAGCAGACTTTCAAAAAGCAGTTTGTCCAAATTTGCATTTTTGCAGGAGAGATCAAAAACTGTCCTTCTCTTAATATATAATTTTATTTTTTATATCAGTGACAATAAATGTGAAAAAATATGTACAAATTGGACACTAATTTTACGGCTAAAGTACTTAGGTATTTTACAAAAAAAACTTTAAAAACCTTTGTCTCAATTCATAAAAACATAGACAAACTGCATTTTGAAAGTTTGCTCCTCAATTGGAAAGTTAAAAACTACGACAAAATGACTTGTTAATTACTTGTCCCCTCGAGAATCTTCAAAAACAAAACGATTTAAATTCCTGTCAAATTTTTCGATTTTGTGATACCAAATCAGGTATATAAACCCAAAACATGTCCACAAAGCCATTTACAAACAACACAATGCAACTGGTAAGTCACATTTTTCAAAAAAACACATTTTCAAGTCTCCCTTTAAGGCCGTTTTCCTACTTTTGGTGGCTTTGGCAAACGCCCTTCCGACTCACCCAAGCACAGTTCGTAATTATACACCCAATGAGTACGAATTAGAGCAAAACAGGGCTGCGAGATACAAATTTTCCTCAAATATTGAAGACCACATCAATGATTTGATGCATCAAAGGGATGAAGTTAGAGAAGGGTTGAATGTGAAAGGGTCGTACTCGTATAGTGATGGTTATGTGAAAAGGACAGTACACTACGAAGCTGACGATAAGGGTTATAGGATTACAGGGTGAGTTTGGTTCGTGTTTTGTTTATTTTTTGAAGGGTTTTTCGGGTTTAGACAAGAAGAGACGCCTCTAGATGGGCCTAAAATTGACTTGTCTGGAACAGCGGCGGTTAGTAATGCCGCCCATGGGACCCATATACAATACAGAGTGCAGAGTATACCAGTACCAGGGCCAGTCGCCAAAATTATTGATTAAAATTGTAAAAATAAATGATTAATTTTTCATTATGTGTTGATTTGCCATCAGTTTGTCCTGATTTAGACCCAATAGAATTAACAGTGTAAATAAATTCTCCAATCTCATTTGAATTTCAAAACATGAAATAAAACAAAAAAACCCATTTGATTTCCCAAACATTGTTTTGTTTACAAATAAAATCATGAATACAAATTTAAATAAAATAAATGTTGACACTAGCTTGTTAAAAAAAAAGCTCTGACCTAACATTAGAAAATTCCGCTATTGGTATTCGAAAAATCGAACAATAATTTTCAACTCTGAAGGTGAAGGTAATCTCCTAATGAGTTCTTTGACCTAACTTGCAATTCCCCAAGCAAAAACCAAAAACAAAAAGTAACGATATACAGTTATTCGAAACGGCCAAAGATGGTACCAGTTTTTGAGTCTTTACAACGGGTGGGGTTATGAACTTGTCGATTATTGTGAGACTGGCGTCGAAACTGTGATGTGCATATGTGTGTAAAAAATTAACTTGTTTTAAAAATTTTCTATTCTTTTTGGAAAATGTTAAAGGTAAGATTTTTTACAGAATTAATAATCAAAAAACGTAGCGCATCTAATATTTATAAAGGAAAGAATGAGAATAAAAATTTGATGTAAATATAGTGACGTCAATAGAATAACATTTTTTCACTACGCCCTATTCATGTAAATTAGATGGAAAATTTTTATAAACAAATCTATTAGAATTTCAAAAAATTCCATTCACTACAATCTGCTTCAAGAAACACTCCTATTTTTTAAATTCAACTACACAGTTTTAAAAAAGTGATTACAAAAATTTTAATTTATGTTAGTTATATTTTTTCATTTAATACTTAATTAATGACGTTTTTTCATTATTTTAATCAAATTCCACATTTTGTGATAAAAAATGACGTTTTTCTTATTATTTTCAGAATATCTTCATTTTGACATTCATTGTTAGTACCATAGTACCCACACACACCGAAACCGTCGATGAATTCCTCACTAGAGTTAAGAAAAATTACGACAATGCCAGAAGGTCAAAACGCTTTATTGACCCATATGAATACCCCGCCGCTGGTAAAACTCCTCTTTTTTTTTTTTCGCTAATTTAATTTATAATTTCAGAGCAACCCTTAGAGGAAATGTCAAAATACGACTTTATCGTAGTCGGCTCTGGCTCATCCGGTTCGGTTATAGCCAACCGTTTAACCGAAACTAACTGGACGGTTCTCTTACTTGAAGTCGGCGAAGAAGCGACCGCACTTACCGACATTCCAGTCATAGCACCCTTATTCCAATTCACTGATCTCAACTGGAACTATCTCATGGAAAAACAAGAGAATATGTGTCTAGGTACTGCACTACTACCAACCCAAACACACAAAAAACTTTTTTTTAAGGTTTGAAAGACCAGCGCATGGCATGGCCCCGTGGTCGCGGCTTAGGTGGCTCAACTCTCATCAATTACATGATCCATGTCCGTGGTAACCGTCGTGATTACAACCGATGGGCAAAAATGGGCAATCCGGGATGGTCGTATCGAGACATCTTCCAGTACTTCCTCAAATCGGAGGATTTTCTGGTCAAAAAACAAGATCCGGGTTACCACACAACTGGTGGTTATTTAGGGGTACAGGATGTACCATATCGTACCCCATCCGCCCATGCCTTTGTTCAAGCGGCCCAAGAAGCCGGTCATAAGTTCGTCGATTACAATGGTAAACGTCAAATGGGTGTATCATACGTCCACGCCACTACCAGAAATGGTAAAAGGTCAAGTGCAGAAGAAGCTTTTCTTAGACCCATCAAACACCGCCAAAACCTCAAAATCTCAACCAAAAGTCGAGTGACAAAAGTACTAATCGATCCTCAAACCCGACAAGCCCATGGTGTCGAATATATCAAAAATCGAAAGTACCACAAAGCTATAGCCTCAAAAGAGGTGATTTTATCAGCTGGTGCCTTCAATTCCCCTCAAATTTTGATGTTATCGGGAATTGGGCCCCAAAAACACCTCCAGGAGTTGGGAATACCCGTCTTGGAAGATCTACCAGTAGGCCAAAAAATGTACGACCACATAACCTTCCTTGGGTTGGTTTTTCAAGTTAATGAGTCGATTGTGAGTGACCAGAAGCTCCTAGAAACCCCCGAATCATTCCTAAAGTTGGTACTCAACGGTAGTGGACCTTTGACGACTCTTGGAGGAGTCGAAGCTCTTCTTTACTTCAAAACCAACGTCTCCAAAGACCCCGCCCCTTACCCCGACATGGAACTTATCTTCATTTCTGGAAGTATGAACACAGATCTCGGAAAATTCTACCGCAAGACTTTCCGCATCACCGACGAGGTTTACAACACTGTGTGGAAACCCCTAGAGCACAAATACACCTTCTCCGTCCTCCCTATGCTCGTCCATCCCAAATCCTACGGCCACTTAGAATTAAAATCAAGCAATCCGTTCCATTGGCCCCGTTTCTATGGCAATTACTTTACAGATCCCGACAATACCGACATTAAAACCTTCATTGCAGCTATCAGGGAAGTCCAGAGATTATCCAAAATGCCAACATGGCAAAAATATGGTATTAGACAAGTCACTACCAAAATCCCCGGTTGCCAAAACTGGGTTTTTGACAGTGATGATTACTGGGAGTGTGCTTTGAGACACGTGACAACAACTTTACACCATCAAGTGGCCACGTGTAAAATGGGCCCAAGAAATGATCCTGAAGCTGTGGTTGACCCTGAATTGAAAGTGTACGGGGTGAGGGGGTTGAGGGTTGCCGATACAAGCGTAATCCCGATACCTTTGACTGCGCATACAAATGTTCCTGCGTTTATGATTGGTGAAAAAGCGTCTGATTTGATTAAGGAGACATGGAGGGGGACATTTTAAGTTTTGTTGGTTGCATGACTGTGATTTGTTCTACTTTTGTATTGAATAAAATTAATTTATTTATTTCTCCTTTCATTTCCTCACCTGTCGTTTGTTATATAATGTCGAGCAAAGGTTACACTTTGTTTAATCAATGTCTTTTCATGTAAATGTCCTTAATCAGAAGAATTAAAAATCAATGATTTGCGATAAGTTGAACCTTCATCTGATTTTGTTTAGGGAAGGAGAGTAAAAGAGGCGACCCTGTACGAGCTTTATATAATTGAAAGTACGATTTGTTGCTTAGATTATTTGTTGTTGTGTTTGAAACGTGTTTGTGATAATTGAATAGTTGGTAGGTAGTGATAGTTCGTTAAATGTAGATAATTAGAAGAATAAAGAAACAATTAAGAATTATTTTACAACTAATTACTTGACTTGCCTTGAAAAAAAAATGCAAAGCTTTGTAAGACTGTAAAAAATAAACTGTAGAAGCAATAACGTTGGGCCTTAAAGCATCATTCTTTCATAAGTTTTTCAAAATTTTTGAGTAACTTTCAAAAGTTTCTTAAACATTTTTGGCAAACACAAATACTAATTTCAGTTTCTAAAAATTCTTTTTGAATGTAGACTTCTTGATTACAAATCTATAAGCTTTGTAAAACTGTAAAAAATAAACTGTAGAAGCAACAATGTTGGGCCTTACAGCATCATTCTTTCATAAGTTTTTCAAAATTTTTGAGTAACTTCTTCATAAGTTTCTTAAAAATTTTTGGCAAACACAAATACCAATTTCAGTTTAAAAAAATTGTTGATTACAAATCCACCCTTCATTTTTCAGTGGAATCTATTCCTGAAAAGTTAGTCTCATAGTGTTTAAAATCAAACAACCATAAAAATTTAACCATAGTAGTAAAAACTTGCCGTTTACAATACTATTGTTCATTTATTTCGGTTCATTAAAAAAATTTTTTTAAGCTTTTTGAAAATGTCCTTTTTTTGCAGAAAAAAATCACAAGTCTTATGTTTATAAATTGCGACCTTCTGACACTAAATGTTGTCCTTTTAAGCATAAAAGTTACCGTCCTTTCATAAAGTATTTAATTTTGACTTTTGATAAATTCTAGTTTTAAAATGCATATGATTCACTCACTCATTCAATAATCAAAACAACAGAAGTCCTTACCAAGTGCAGTGATCTACATAATGAATTCATTAGCATACTCAACCGGTATAAAATTATAATTAGATTAATTAAAACGCTGTCAAAACAGTTCATCCGCAAATTTCATCACGACACGCTTAAAAGATTCTCTTAACACGAATTACAAAAAAGACGAAATTTGAAAAACTGAGTTGTAGTCCTTGAACATTCCTTATAATATATTTAGACAGCTATAAGAGTTTGTGAATCTCCAGCAGTCTGTATAAAACCGGAAAAAGAAGAGTTAGTAAAAATTAATGTGAATGTTGTTAGGTGAGTTTAATAAAAATAATCCCTCATTCTTATGCAAAGTAAGAAGATTTACAAAGAATTAATCTAAATCAAGGTAACAATAAGTTTTATCACCTCGATTCTATTGCCTTTCACATTTGAAAACTTGCTTTTATCATGTGTAAACATGTAAATAACTTGCTTTTCTCTTCATGCAGATAATCCTTCAAAATGTTGACACTTTCAACCAAACTCCTCCTTCTGGGGGTAGTTAGTACCGTCCTCTCCTCCCCTTTCAAACTAACCGAACAATACATCGCAGAATTCAAAACTGGTATCGAATCCCTGAAAAAGCTCGCCCACGAACACCAATTCTCCGAAAAAAACTTTGATATCAATCTCCACAACGGTTCAAAACCAGTTCCAGGTACCATCACTTACACACAAACAAACCCAGTATTAATTTTCAAATTCCAGACGAAATCGAGTACGACTTTATCATAATCGGCGCTGGTGCCTCTGGTTCGGTTATCGCAAACCGATTAAGTGAACGCCCCGAATGGAAAGTTCTCCTATTGGAGGCTGGAGGACCCGAAACCCCTTACACTCGCATCCCCCGACTAGGACACTTCCTCCAAAATAGCGACTACAACTGGGCCTACACCACCACCCCTCAGAAAAACTGGTGCAAGGGTATGATCGATGGTAGTTGCGCTATTGCTGGAGGTAAGGCTCTAGGAGGTGGTACCGCAATAAATGGGATGATGTTCACTCGAGGACATCCCAAGGATTACGACAAATGGGCCGATTTGGGCAACCCGGGATGGTGCTACAACGACGTACTACCATATTTCAAAAAATTGGAAGATGCGGATTTGAAAGAATTCGACCATAAGTACCATAATCGAGGAGGACCCTTCCACATTGAACACCCACAACACCAAACCCATTTGACCCATGATGTGCTACAAGCGGGGAAGGAATTAGGACTTGAGACCATTGATTACAATGGAAAGGAACAAATTGGACTTGGAGTACTACAAATGAACTCCAAACATGGAGTACGACAAAGTACTGCCACAGCTTACTTAGAACCGGCTGAGAAAAGACAAAATTTATTTGTCAAACCTTTGAGTCACGTGACCAAAATTTTGATAGCCCCCCATACAAAAGAAGCAACTGGAGTTGAATACCTCCACAATGACAAACTCCACATTGCTAAAGCAACCAAAGAAATAATTTTATCAGCTGGAGCTCTCAATACTCCTCAAATTCTCATGTTATCAGGAATTGGTCCAAAAGAAGAATTGGAAAAGTTTGAAATACCGGTGGTTCATGAATTACCCGTTGGAAAGCACCTCAAAGACCATATAGGTTACTACGGCCTCGACTTAGTCTACAATGGTACCCAATCGAGTGAGGACCCCCATTATGACGAAGTCATCGATTATTTGAAAAATGGTAAAGGTCCATTAACCACAACCGGCTGTGAAGTCGTAGGTTACCTCCAAACAGAAGCCTCCAAAGACAAAATCAAGTACCCCGATATCGAACTATTTTTCTCCTCCCGCAAAATCACCTCAAAACCCTCCATAAACCCCTTCCGATTCAAACCCGAAATCATCGACTCCCTCTACAAACCCATCGATGGTAAAAAAATCGTCAACATTGGTGTCATGCTAACCCACCCCAAATCCATCGGTACTGTCACTCTCAAAGACAAAGATCCCCTCCACCACCCCTTAGTCGACCCGAACCAACTCTCCGACCCTGAAGACGAAGACCTCAACACCCTCCTCCACGGTATTCGCAAAGCTTTGGCTTTCACAAGTACCGAACCATTCAAAAAATTGCATTTAGAGGTCAATGAGCATCCAGTAGCGGGTTGTGAGGAGCATAAATGGGGAAGTGACGAGTACTGGAAGTGTGCGATAAAACATTTGAGTATCAGTTTGAGGCATGTGAGTGGTACTGCGAGGATGGGGCCAAAAACAGATAAAGATGCAGTAGTTGATCACGAGTTAAGGGTGCATGGGGTGCAAAAATTGAGGGTTGCAGATGCGAGTGTCATCCCAGTGAGTGTGACAGGACACACCATGGCCCCAGCTATTATGGTAGGAGAGAAGGCGGCTGATTTAATTAAAGAGAGTTGGAAGTAATTTGTGTATTTATATTTATAGTTATAGTGATGAAATAAATAATAATAAAAATTAGAATATTTAACAATTGTTTCATTAAAAAATTGAACGTGGTACTCAATCATAGGTAGTACCATTTTTATAAACGCAGATCTTTTTCATCAATATTTAAGTTTAGAAAACAAATTTTCATTTATTGGTACCACTAGAACTACACTTTTGCCCTAAAACTTCAAAACATATTATCGTATCAACAAGAAATTACTACCTAGGATTTAGGGATATTCGTAAATAGGTTGCCATAAATTTGGTTAGGTTGGTTTGTGGTGACAAACAAAAGATATCGTAACTAGTGTCAAAAATTTAGGTTAAGTCACCTGTCAGCTTGTATAGATAATTCAATTGATAGTTGACAGCAGGTTGACCGAAAACGTCAACCCGTCAACAACAAAGAGCAACCAACCCTAGGCATTCAAAATTACTTCTGAAAATTATTGTTACAAACAACATGAAAAACGTAATTTTCCTAAAAATTAAAATCCTAGGTGGTAATGTCTTGTTGACAAATCTGTGTAGCATAAATTACCTCTTTTTTTCTGTTAAGATGCTGATGACCCCTCGTCTTTAATAATAATTTATTCAAGGGTCAAATAACGGTACATTTTTATTATTATTTGCCAAAACACTCATATTGATGAGAACGTACTTTCCTCACTTGATTTTCCAGCCAGAAATCCCCATTATATTTTTTCTAAATTTTTACAGTTAAACACATTATAAAAAAAAATATTGGTTATTTAGAATCCGTCACAAATCAGTTTTAATGTTTCTGAGAATGATTCATAACAAAATGCCACTCAATTAGGATAAAATTAGTGGTTTCAACAACCTTTTATTACTAAGAAAATCATAGACAACAACACAGTGGAGTTTCCACAACCACCACGCATCAGTGGTACCAACCCTGACTGTGATACCAGACAATGCGTAATTACAGAATTTCCTTAATTTTTAATTAGACACGAACGATTAAAAATAGATCTTTTTGTAATAAAATTATACGCAGTTTTAATCAACAATGGAGCACAAGTTCCGTTTCACTTCACAAATTTCTGTAGTTTTTTAAATAATTTAATTAATTAGTGACTCGTCAGTGGTAAGAATTCTGAAAACAAAAGTGATTTCAAAGAATCCTGTTAATTAATAATGAGGTAATAAACAGAAAAATAACTATTAGTAATACCACAAAATAAGAAAAAATCATTTTTGGGTTAACTTTTTCCTTAAAAAAACTTTCAGAGAACTTCACAACGAAATAAAATCAAACTTCGTCGAAATTCTTTCTCTCCTTTCTTCCACCTAAAGGTCATACAACGACCCATCGTCAGATTCCTGTTAAAGCAAAGAGGATAAACCAGCACCTCTTCGCTACGCGGATTTCCCACAAGAAAAAAACAAAATCTTCATTTATAAACGCGTGTTGAGGCGTTCTTCGCATCATTCGGTAAAATGTTACGGTCGTGTGTTCTCTTCGTAATTTGTTCTTGTGCTTTAGCATCTCATTATGATACTTGGCCGTTTACACTAGCAGATAAATACATAGAAGAATTCAAAACCAATGTAGAAGAATTCAAAAAATTCGCACAGACTTATCACCACCATGAAGAAATTAAGTATGAAGTGGTAGAAGAGGATTTGACAGAAGCGACCAAACGTGAGTATTTTTTTAGAAACAATACAGGGTACGCCAGAACTCGCGTTCTAGAGATATGGTATGATACCAGGAACATGGAAAAAATGTTTCACTGGGGCGCAAGTTCTGACGCACCCTGTATAATTAAAATGAATGAAAATACAGGTGAAAACACATATGTTAAATACAGAGTAGTTATAAATGATTTTCATCTAGCCAGCTTTGGAATTTTTTTGCATGTAACTTTATTTGTGCCGCTCTACATTTTTGAAAGCTCTAGTTCTGTCATTAGTGTCACTTATTAATTAATAATAAATTGTTGTTAATTAAATTTTTATTGTTTCAACTAATTTCCAATAATAATTGATAATAATGTATACTTTGGAAGAAAACAAGTTTATAATTGAAGTCTATTTTCGAAATGGACGCTTAGTAAACGGTGATTTTTTAATTTTGAGTTACAACAAGTAGGTACCCCTATTTTCGTAAGGCGGCATTTTTTATTTTACATGGAAAATTCACAGCTGGCTAGATGAAAATCATTTATTACCACTCTGTATTTGGAACAAATTCCAGTTGTTTTAGATTTTCCTTTATAAAAGTTAGTACCATCAAGTACTACACCAAAAAACAAAAAACCGTAAAACATACAACAACTATTGTGATAATTAAGAGTCCAATTTTTTGATAAAGTCTAGCCATCATAAAACAGTAGTACCATTTCTCAAAAGTCTGGTACTTCCTGTCCAGTAATTATTTAAAAAATGAACCTCATGTTTAGTTCCATTTCTGATACAAGATAGAAAATTTTTGAAATCATCATTTGTTTTAAACCTAATTGGTTCTTTTATGATGGTACCACGTATTTACATAAATAAACCAATTTGTTATGCACCCATAAATTCCATTAATTTGCCCAAGGTTACATGCGTCCGATTTAATTACAGATGCGGCTCATTATGACTTCATCATAGTCGGCGGTGGTACTTCCGGTGCAATTTTGGCATCTCGCTTATCAGAAATCCCCGAATGGAAAATCCTACTATTGGAAGCCGGCGAACCCGAAACAATAGCAACCAAAGTCCCCAAAAATTGGGAATTACTGAAAAACACCCCCTATAATTGGGGATACAGTACCACCCCCCAAAACTACTCCTGCTTAGGTAACAAATTCAATTTTGTTTATCCCAAATCTAGACTAAATTTTGTTTATTAGGAATGGTTGACCATAAATGTGTTATCCCCACTGGCCGAGCCTTGGGCGGTACCACCGCTATTAACTCCATGGTATACACCCGTGGGAACCCCCGCGACTACGATTTGTGGTCCGACTTGGGAAATGAAGGATGGTGTTGGGCTGACGTTCTCCCTTATTTCAAAAAATTAGAAGATGCCCATTTTGCACCCTTCGATAAAAAGTACCACCATTTTGGAGGCCCCCAACACCTCGAACACCCTCAATATTTACGATTTTTGACCGATCATACCCTCGACGCGGCCAAAGAGCTAGGCTTACATCTTGTAGATTATAACGGGAAAAACCAAATTGGGATTAGTGTACCACAAGTGACCACCAAGTGTGGCAGAAGATTTAGTACCGCTGAAGCTTATCTCGAACATGCAGCAAAACGAGAAAACCTCATAGTCAAACCTTTGAGCCAAGTTTTAAAAGTTTTGATTAGTACTCACACTAAAGAGGCGCAAGGGGTTGTTTATTTACACGAAGGAAAAATTTTTGTAGCCAAAGCTGAAAAAGAAGTCGTCCTAGCTGCTGGTGCCTTAAACACTCCAAAAATTTTATTATTATCAGGGATTGGCCCTAAAGAAGATTGCGAGAAGCTTCATATTCATCATTTAGCTGACTTAAAAGTTGGTTATAACTTAAAAATAAGACCAAGTTTTGTCGGTTTGGACTTCCTCTACACTGGAGAAGAAGCCCAAGGCCATGACGAGTACCACGACATTCTCAAGTACCTCAAATACGGCAAAGGTCCTCTCACATCACCCGGAATCGAAGCTTTGGCGTTCCTCAAAACCAACATTTCTAAATCACCCTCAACGTACCCCGACATCGAATTAAAATTCCTCTCGCGGTACCACCCCCAACAAGATCTCTACTCTTGGATGAAACCCACTCCGAAACACTACGACTCACTCTGGAAGCCTCTCGAAGCCCACAATTGCCTCAAAATCATCGTCACACTCAACCATCCTAAATCTTCAGGAATTGTCAAACTCCACACATCAAATCCTCTCCACCCTCCAATCATAGAACCCCATTTCTTGTCAGATGAAGATGAAAAAGACTACCACACGATTTTAGCCGGTATTAAAAAAGCCCTCAAGTTTAGCCACACTGAAGCTTTCAAGAAAATTGGAATCAAATTGAACCATCATGGAGTCCATGGATGTGAGGAGACAGAGTTTGGTACTGATGCGTACTGGGAATGTGCGATTAAATATTTGGTGGTAGCCACGGAGGATGTGAGTGGTACTGCCAAAATGGGGCCCGAAAGTGACCATTATGCTGTTGTTGATAAGAAATTGAGGGTACATGGGATACATAATTTGAGGGTAGCCGATGCGAGTGTCATTCCGGTGACCATGAGTGGAAGTTTAGTGGGACCAACAATGGTAATTGGGGAAAAAGCAGCACACATTATTATGGAAGAATGGATAGAGCATTAGAGTAGTTTAATTTCACACCACTTGATCTCTGTACTTCTGCTGACCAATAAATTTTATATTATATTTTATATTATTTTTTTTTCTCACATTAGGTACTCAGTACTTAAAAATTTATCTTAATTAGTAAAACCACTAAAATACAGGGTGTTTCACATAATTCTAAGAGGCCTGCGCCTGTAAGATGCAATCAATAATACATATTCCGACACGAACTTGATTACAAATTTTGAAAAATTGGATAATCTTTTCTAGTTTGTCCACCCTTTAAAAAATTACAACGTTTTTAGTTAGTTAGTGATTAAGATAGATAAACTAAAATCACATTCATGCCGTCTCTTGATAGAACAAATGAAAATTGTTTCTGAAATACTGCAATTTATGACTATTAATAAAACAGTGATTAGTTTGACAACTACTATCATGGGTTTCCAAAAATTAAATAATTAAATGTGTATTTTTTGTATCTAGTGTTTTGTGAATTTTGTATATTTGGGTGCGTACATTAGGCGCAAGCCTCGTAAAGTTGTGTGAAACACCCTGTATAAACTATCAAAGATATTATAAATTTAAACTTAAGAAAAACAATAATCAAAATAATGTAATAATAATTAATGGATAAAACATTTTTGGTTTCAAAATTACCACAATAAATAACATGTTTATAGAACGTTTCAAAATGATTGACATCTTGTTAGACGTTGAGAATATAAATCAGGCTTTAATTTTATTTAGTTCCAAAGATTTACTAAAGTGAACATTCTCTCACGATACTTAAAAAAAAATGACATTTCAGTTGAATTCTGTCATATTTGTCCAAAATAAATATGCATGTTTTGATTTTGTGGTTTTAGAACATACAGGAAAGTGAGAGAAAAAAGGTGCAAAAATCTCTTAAAAACGACAAATGCAACAAATTGTGAAATAGACGTAACCTCAACCGTTGGCTGCTATAGTACAAAGATAAACAATATAAAACTGTGAAAGTAACCAACTCAAAACAAAAATGTTACATCATTTACAAATAGTAATATTTTTGAAAACATTATCTTAGTAATCTGCTAGAATTTTTTAAAAATAGTACTTATTTCTACAGCTTCCTGTAATGTCATACTGCAAGGTATGCAACCAACAAAAAAAGTATGTATTGCCAATGTTAGGTAGTATCATAATCAAACAAACAGTAATAATACTTTTTAGAGTACATGTGAATAAAAAAAAACAATTTGAAATTAAAGAATTTAAAAACAATAAAATTGTTCAGACCAAACCTAAAAATGAGCTAAATTTTCATGGCCAATAATAACTTACGAGTATTACATATTTTTATTACTTATTTATTTTTTGTGATTGGTTTATTTCCTTAAAATAAATTTTCAGTAGAGTTCAATTTTATATCTGTACCCTTGACTAATATCCAAAGACAGCTTTTTAGTCCAAGGGCAAAAAATTGCAAGTAACAAAATTTTATTTTCACACTTGACAATTTGGGGATTTATGAATAAAACACGATTTAAACTAAAGTCTTTTATTGAATACAAAAATTTTATAAAAATTTGACAATTTAAAATTAGGACAATAGTCATTTTGAGATCATCAACACACTTAACATATTAAAAAAAAACATAATTAAGACAAGGTTAGTAACTCTGTACCTTGAACACTGATCTTGCTATAAAAAGAAATTTAGTCTGTTTTATATGATCATCGTATATGTAAAAATGTTGCTTTCACTAATTCCAACAACATTTGTATTTTTTCTATTAAGTCCAGTCTCATCAAGTTATGATGACATCAACATCAACAAAATCACGGAACGATTCAGTACCATTTTCGGTACCACCAATCTAAATAGCGAAATCCCGGACCATAAAATCGGTAAGTACCAAAAATAATAATAAATCCCAAAATGACAAAAAACTTTCACAGCCGACGAAGTTTACGATTTTATTATTATCGGTTCGGGTTCAAGCGGCTCAGTCGTCGCAAGTCGACTTTCTGAAGTACCCTCATGGAAAATTCTCCTCCTCGAAGCCGGTAATGCTGCCAACATCCTCACAAAAATCCCCATAATGGCACCACTGTTCCAACTAACACCCTACAACTGGAACTACACCATGGAACCTGAACCCAATGTTTGTCAAGCCATGGAAGACCAAATCTGTGCCTGGCCACGTGGTAAAGCGTTAGGTGGTACCTCCGTCATCAACTACATGATCTATACACGTGGAAATCCCATAGATTATGAAAAATGGGCCGAGGTGAGCCCAGGATGGTCGTACCAAGACGTCCTCCCGTATTTCCTCAAATCGGAAAACTGTAACTTGGGTACTGCCTGTACCAGCGAGTACCATAACACAAGTGGGCCTCTATCAGTCGAGTACCCTTTCAAATCACCGATAACCGACGCTTTTCTCCAAGCTGGACAAGAATTAGGAGAGGAAATCGTCGATTACAACACACTTAAATACATGGGTTTTGGGCAACTCCAAGCAAATCAGAAATTTGGACGAAGACATAGTACTTTTGATGCCTTTATTGCCCCCATAATCACACGAAAAAACCTTCATATTATTACAGGAGCCCGAGTTACCAAAATTTTGATTGATCCAAACTCCCGGAAAACACAAGGAGTTATTTTCGAAAAAAGAGGCCAAAACTTCAAAATCCGAGCTTCCAAAGAGGTTATCCTTTCAGCGGGTGTATTCAACTCCCCACAACTCCTCATGTTATCAGGGATAGGACCCGAAAGACACCTCCAGGATTTGGGGATACCCCCAATTGTGAATTTACCAGTTGGACAAAACCTTTACGACCATTTAGCATTTTTAGGGGTTGCTTATACTATAAATGTCACAGTTGAGCCCCGAGAAGCCTTACTCAACCCTTTAGAAGGGTTGAATTGGTTTTTACGGGGGAAAGGGGTTTATACCAGTTTGGGAGGAGTCGAAGCTATAGCATATATCAACACTGGGTCAATTCCTAGGAGTAATTACCCCGACATTGAGCTAATTTTCGTCGGGACTGGTTCCCTCCAATCCGATTTTGGTCTAGTCGTAGCAAAAGAAATCCGTCTCAAACGCAACATCTACGACAAGGTTTTCAAACCGATTGAAAACACCCCAAGTTGGACAATTTTCCCCATGTTACTCCACCCCCAATCCAAGGGCTACCTCCAACTCAAATCAACTAACCCCTACGACCCTCCCATCCTCCACGGCAATTGTTTCACAGATCCTGGCGACCAAGACATCAAAACTCTCCTTGCATCAATCAGATATATCCAAACACTGGCCCAAACTCAATCTTTCCAAAAATTCGGTTCAAAACTCCACGATATTCCTCTCCCAACCTGCCAAAACCACATTTTCGATTCGGACGACTACTGGATTTGCGCCATTAAAAGCTTGAGTACGACTCTGCACCACCAAATTGGAACTTGCAGGATGGGTCAGTTGAGTGAGCCTCAAACCGTCGTTGATCCGAGGTTGAGAGTGAGAGGAATTGAGGGGTTGAGAGTCATCGACTCGAGTGTCATTCCGGTCACTCTGTCAGCCCATACGAATGCGCCGTCGATCATGGTTGGCGAAAAAGGAGCAGATTTGGTTAAAGAAGATTGGTATTCGATTTAACTTTTGTTGCAAGGTGAGAAAGTGGTCGCGGTCAAGGTTCGAAACGGAAGGTTGGTGCGGATTATGAAATGGTGGCGTAATGTGAAAAGTCTTGAATAAAATATGGAGTGGTCTTGAAAATTTCCCAAGCAGAAAATCCCATCATGAAAATGTATTTCAATTTGAATAAAAAAAACTTGACGAAATATGTATAATTCTTGCATATCCCTGACATTTAAGTAATTAAATTTAATTTAATTTTAATGCAAAAATTTCCATCAAACATATTTATGTATTTTAAATTTTAAGAAAAAAGCGCAATAATTATTTTCTGTGACACACCCATATTCCCATATAGTAATTATTTCTAATTAAAAAAAAATGGACATAACTAGATACATACAGGCTGTTCCAAAAGTCTGGAAACGATGTTATTCTGGCGAAACTATCACATTTTTTGGCTAATAAATTTATAGGTGAGCAATGGCTATAAAAATTCTATTCGAAAAAAATTTTGGATATTAATTATTTGTTTATACTTACGAGATAAACATAGTAACATTGTTTTTTTTTAAATGGAAACCTACCACATTTTTTTTCTTTAACAACGAGCTTGTTACAAGAATTGTTGCCATGCAAAATTTTTTTTGTTAAAAAAATGTTTGACTTACAAGAGTTAAAGAATTTTTTTGAGTAAACTATCAGTTTTTTTGAAATAAATTAATAAATGTTCAAAGGTTGTAAAGGAGCAATACCAAAATATTTTTTATCTTAATTAATTATAAAATGTATAAACATATTATTTATAAAATGTATAAACATATCTTTGTAAATCAATAAAAAACCGTTTTTATTTAAGAAAAAAAWTATTAGTATCATAATCTCAAAAGTTTAAACATTAATTAAAATAAAAATTTTTTGGCATCGCTCCTTTACAACCTTTAATCATTTATTAATTTATTTCCAAAAAAAACTGGTAGTTTACTCCAAAAAAATTCTTGAATTCTTGTAAGTCAAACATTTTCTTATCAAAAAAGTGTGAGGTTTACAAAAACAAAAATTGCACAGCAACAATTCTTGTAACAAACTCGTTGTCTAAAAAAAATTGTCGTAGGTTTCCATTTAAAAAAAAAGTTACTATGTTTATCTAGTAAGTATTACAAATAATTAATATTCAAAAAATTTTTTGAATAGCATTTTTATAGCCATTGCTCACCTATAAATTTATTTGCCAAAAAATTTGATAGTTTCGCTAGAATAATATCGACTTTTGGAACACCCTGTATTTTTATAAATGCTACATCTTGACAGTATTGTAACATTTGTGACGTCACTGGAATTTGAGTAGTGACGTTATCATTAATTTTTTTAAATGACAACCAACAATTTTGTTGACTGTTTTTGATAATAGCTACAAGTACATTCTTCTACCTTTTTAAAAAATATATTACCAAAAACAGAAAAAAAAAATGTTGGTAACATAGTTACTTAGATATCATTGACATAATAAATAATAGTATAAAGAAAATGTATCATTTACAAAAATAAATGACCCATAAAATTATGAATTTTCTGCGCTACTTTTGGTTCACTCTGTACAAACAAAACGTCTAAAGTCTGTCTATATTTGCTTGAATTTTATAGTTTTGACTTACCAAACTGGTTTATGAGGAATTTAATGAGGGTGGTTGTAAAGCTATTGTTACCAAATTGGTTAAGGTTTTTTTCGCTAACGGCCCAAAAGTTAAATGCTTCTATTGCACCCTAAAATTCAAACAAATATAGACAGACTTTATCTAAAACTAACAAGTACAAATATTCCTACTACAACTTGGTTAAAAAAACATTAGTCTGAAAGTTGTATTCACTTTTTCTGAAAAATTTTAACAAAAATAAAAGCTTTTTCATGATTCAGGCAGTTTTTTTATTCTGAATTCAAATTACTGTACCAACAAAGATACCTTTATTATCAATATACTGTATAATTTACAAATTAAAAAAAAATATAACCGTAATTTAAATAAACAAATGTACATTTTTTTAATTTTTAGTGAATCCTTGAATAAAGTTCAGATCTTTAAGCTAATTATAAATTTATCTTTTGGCTGTTAATTAAAAAATTCATTTCAATAAATTGCAAAAATATTTACACAGAATATGCATAATACATAAATTATGATAAAGCAAGTACTGCAAAAAACAGGAAGCCAACTAAACGAAAATAAAAGTAAAAATACAGCAAAAAATAAAACACCGGTGTCCCAAGTTTTAAAGCGGACAAAATAATTATTATTTCTAATAACGTATAAAAAGACTACAAACCATTTCTGAAAGAAAATCAGATTATTCGAATAAATACTTTAAGTGTATTATAAAATTCTTTAATTTTGCTTTTATTACTTTACTTTTTCAGATCAAATAAAAAAACATATTCATGGTGTGTCAGAACTCGCGCCCCAGAGAAAAATTTCAAGTAAGATAAGATACCAGAAACATGGAAAAAATGTTTAAAAAATTTTGACATTTGACATTTTTTTATGTCTATTTAATGATATTGATGATCTTGTATATGTTTTTTCATTTAGTGAAGGTACAAAAGTTTTGCGATAAAAGCCACAAATAACATTAAACAGAGTTACAATTTCCTCTTCTAATTCCCTGTAGCAAAAAAAATTGAAAAATTATTTTTCCAACAAAAATAAATACCTACAGTCAAAGTGCAAAATTTAAACTCTCCGAAACTCAGAAATTTTTATAGATAGGATTTTTTTAACATTTTTTCCATGTTCTCTGGAGCGCGAGTTCTGACGCATCCTGTATTCACCTATAATATTTTTTGAAAACATAAAAATACTTACAATAATTACAATTACAAGTCAAAATGTTAATTAAGGCCATTTGCTCAATATTTTATTTCAAGTACAATGTACTTGCTACGATTTTAATAAGAATTTCAGAAACATTAAAACTATTCCAAAAAATGTTTGATTGTTTTAGGAAATTCCTCCAAACCACAAAACCTTCCAAAATTTTATTAACCATGAAAAAATGAAGGACTTACCAACAATTACTGTAACAGTACATGTTATGTTATTGATAATTTTTGTTTTCTTGATATAAACGCATAAATAAAGGATAACAGCTCTTACATTTTTTACGTGAAAATCAAGTGACGGCAGACCTCCAGACAATTTAAAGAGGGGGTCCAGCCGAAAAGATTCAGTAGTCTTTTAAATTTAACAAAAACATTTTCAGACAGCAGCAGTGAAGAAAATTTAAAACTCTAGGTGAGTCATTTTAACAATTACAAAAATTAATAAGAACTTTGTCACTTCTAATAATTCAATTAAAAATACATTTACATAAAAATCTCAAATTGTTACTATACGATGTTTGGTCAAAAAAAAAATAAAAACAATCTCTCTGTCAGGTTCAAGGTTTAAATAAAATAGTAGGATAACCCGCGCAAAACCGGTCAAATTCTTTTCTGTCTGCTGTACCAACAACAAAATCACAATATTAATGTTCTTATTGCAATCACTCTGTATATTGACCTACCACAATTATCCCACTCTTGGTTCCGGACCAAAATTCATATGAAGGTCTTATTGTGAAATTGGTCTTGAAATTAAAATTTTCAATGTGTTATTTCTTCAGTAATGAATTAGATTTCAACAAAACAAGCATCAGAAAAAAGTTACTAGTAAATGTAAGTAAAATTCAGTTTAATTAAAAATTATTTATTGGTTAAAATTTTCCTTAAATAATAGACTGAATATTACTTAAACTTTAGCACAATTTACATTTTATCATATCTGGAAATATATGAAAATCTCAGAGCAAACTTGTTTTAGACAGAATTATTCCAGTATTACATAATTTTTACACATTTTTTTTTCTAGTAATAGTAAACAATTACATCCTTTTAGTAGCTCTAAAAAATCACTTAATAGTAATTGTTGCTAGAATGATAAACATACTGAAGTGCCACTCACAGTTCAGTAAAAACAATCGGCAAACCTGTACAATTTATGAAAAAAAAAACAGGTAAAGATTATTAATATTTCTCTTCATTAGACATGTATTTTCTGTTTTTGTTTATTTTGCAAAAACCGGACAGGAAAACTAGACAGAAAATATAAAACTTCAAGTGATATTTGACCCCCAGAGTTTAATCTCAAATTACTTTCTTTATTTTTAGTCTTGTTAAAAACTAATGTTGTTGATCTCACATTCCAGTCAATATTCAATCAAACAAAAATAAAATTTATTTTATTTTCCAGAAAAATGAAGCCCCACATATATTTTTTAATGACACTTTTCCTCTTCGCCAAAAGCGACGATTCTGAAAACCTACAGTACATCTACAACGAACTCAGCGCCACCTACGGCCAATACAACAACAAAACCTTCTTCCTCACCCCCGAACAGTGGGCAGAATGGACCCTCCCCCAAGACCCCGGCAAACGGGAAACCCCTAGTACGTACGCCTCCCCTCCACCCCCTCAAATAACAAAATAATTTCCAGAATCCGGTTACGATTTCATCATAGTCGGCGCTGGTTCATCCGGTGCTGTCATTGCCAACCGTCTCTCCGAAAACCCCAACTGGGAAGTCCTTCTCCTCGAAGCCGGTAAAGGCGAAAACTTCTTCAGTCGAATACCCCTTGTTTGCCCCACTCTATCCTTCACACATTACAACTGGGGCCATATCGCCCAACACCAACCCAACGTGTCATTCGGCTTCGTAAACAACCGAATGAAATGGCCAAGAGGCCGGGCTTTGGGCGGGACCTCTGTTATCAATTTTATGATTTACACACGAGGAAATAGACACGATTATGATAGATGGGCGGAGCAAGGCAACCCAGGGTGGTCCTACAAAGAAGTTCTCCCATATTTCATCAAATCGGAGAGATCCACGTTGAATAATCCCCACCCCGGCGTTCACGGGACGAATGGCTATTTAGGCGTGTCTGATATTTACCAATCAAGTCTCTTGAAGGCGTTTATCGAAGGCGGGACCGAACTCGGCCTGCCTTATTTCGATTATAACGCCAATGAAGTCTCGTTTGGAGTGTCACCAATACAGGCGACAGTGCAACGTGGCCGGAGACATACCACAGCTCGAGCCTTTCTCCATCCAATCAGAAACCGGAAAAACTTACACATACTTACTAGTGCTTACGTCACTAAAATTTTAATCGACTCAAACACTCGTGAAGCCCTTGGGGTTGAGTTCTCCCGATTTGGGAGAAAATATCGAGTGATGGCCGCCAAAGAGGTTGTATTATCGGCAGGGACATTTCATTCACCACAATTATTAATGTTGGCAGGCATTGGTCCACGTGACCATTTGGCCGAATTGGGGATTCCCCTCCTCCAAGATTTACCAGTGGGGCAAAACATCCACGACCATTTGACATACCCAGGGTTAAGTTTTATAATCAACAAACCGCTCTCCCTGTCTGTCCGCCATTTAATTAACCCCAAAAACATAATCGATTTTCTCTTCAATGGTACTGGTCCTTATACTAGTCTGGGCGGAGTCAGTGGGATTGGCTACATAAAAACGCACGAATCGCACGAAGTGGAGGACATCCCAGATATCGAATTATTATTCCTTGACGGATCTCTCAGTACCGACTATGGTTTATGGAACCGCCGATGGATCAACATGCGTGACGACATATACTACCCCGTCTTCGGCCCCACCCACAACATCCCCACTTGGACCATCTTCCCAATGTTGCTCCACCCCAAATCCACCGGCTTCCTCAAACTCCAATCGCGCAATCCCTACGACTACCCCCTCCTTTATGGTAACTACTACACAGACCCCGCCCAACAAGACATCAAAACAATGCTTGCTGGGATCCGTTACATCCAAAAACTCGCCAAAACTCAAGCATTCCAAGAAATTGGAACGCGGATAAACCCGAATCCAATTCCAGTTTGCGCACACTTGATTTTCGACAGCGATGAATACTGGATATGTGCCATAAGGGCCATAAGTGTGACATTACATCATCAAGTAGGCACGGCCAAAATGGGGCCGAAGGATGACCCAACGGCGGTGGTCGACCACAAATTGAAGGTGCATGGGGTCAAAGGGCTAAGGGTAGCCGATTGTAGTATCATTCCCTTTGCCCTTGGGGCGCACACAAATGCGCCAGCAATTATGGTGGGAGAAAAAGCGGCCGATTTGATCAAATCGGAGTGGGGGAAAGTGATGCGGTGAGGTTGGCAGCAGTGGAGATTTTGACAGATGAGTCAAATGAAGCGTTAAAGATAGTCGTTAAAGATAAAAAATGAAGTGTTAAAGATAAATGGACGTTGACCAAAGTAAAATTATACAAGTTGAAAATTACTTCAATTAAATATTTATAGTGATAAATTGTTTTATTTAATTCAGATTATGTTCATGTAAAATATTACCAAGATCTAACCAAAACAGAAGCAAGTCATATATTGTTGCCGACTGAAAAACACAACTTTTAAAAAAATTGAAATAATTTATGTAAGACCAAAAGTATTAATAATAATAATTCGTAATTCGTAAGTACAACTACTTTGATTCAAATTTATTAACCTACATTTTTCAAAACCAAGTTATCTGTGAAAATGTATTTTGGGTTGCGTCTGAAAATCGGAATAAATTTACACGAAAAATAAAAAAGAGAAAATAGATGATGTTTATGTTTTTATTTTAGACATGCTTATAATGACTAACTCAGTAAATAATTTTTGTATGAATCCAAGGTTGTTTCAGATAGGTACGCCCATTGTAAAACAACAACAGACAGGCATGCCAACCTAATACAAAATGTCAAAGGTCAAATAATAGAGCACTTAATTTTATTGCTTTAATACTCGCAGACAGGCAATAAATAAAGCAAATAAAGACCAAATAAAACTAGGATTAATAAAAAAAGCTTTTTTTGATTATGTGACACGTTCTTACCATATTAAAATGTTATTAGCAAATCTCTAAAATAGTTATAATGAGACAATAATTATTAAAACTGTGTAGATATTAGTATCCCACTATCAATAAATAATACTACAATTAAAAAGTTATTTTTATAGCCAGGAATTTTAATTTTCTTATCATTAAACGCTAATACGCCTTCAAAATACCCTAAAAAAAACAAAAAAAAAACACCATGTTAGTGCACCAAAAACCAAAAACGCTCTAAAACAGCCCCAGCCACCCTTGATCAAGCCACCCCATTTAACCTACCTGAAACAATGAGGGCTTCATTCGGTCCCACTGTATGAATATTTCCCATTTCTCCCTACACCTCACACCACTCACAGACACAAACCCTCCACAAAACCCCCTTAAATTTCAGGTTAAACACGAAAAAACTCCGCTTTATTTTATTAAGGAGCCGCACTCATGCTACGACCTACTGCCCAACGCAGGCGCACCAACTTTATTTAAACAATCCTAAAAGCAATTTCTCCCCAATTTTATAATCCACCACCGCTTGTCTCGTAGAAAAAGGGTTGAGAAACGTGCGCAGAGCAGCGTCGGTAGCGTCACGACGCCGTCGCTCAATTGACATTTGTGAGTCAGCCAATCGGACGTATGTCTGTGATTGTGGCAGCGGGGTGCTGTGATTAGTGGCATAGGTGGGGGTTTTTTCGAACTTTTACTGGAAAAAGGTACGAAAAATCGTTATAATTATGTTTCATTTATGTTTCGCAATCGTTCTAATTGTGTTTTAGTTGTATTAGGTGAGGTTTGGATGACCTAACCTCAATTTGTTAGTTTTGTTTTTATTTGACGTTTGAGCTTGGGGGCTCGTGTTTCAGGTACGATGGGCGACACCAGCGACTTAGACCGACAAATCGAACAGTTGAAAAGATGTGAAACTATTAAGGAATGTGAAGTTAAGGCGTTGTGTGCAAAAGCTAGGGAAATTCTTGTTGAAGAGAGCAATGTTCAAAGGGTTGACTCACCAGTTACAGTAAGAGCAGCCCCCGAAAGGGGTTACCAGATGTTTATTTAGGGCCTGTTTTAGGTTTGCGGTGACATACATGGCCAGTTTTATGATCTGAAGGAACTTTTCAAAGTAGGGGGCGACGTCCCTGAAACGAATTATTTATTCATGGGGGATTTTGTTGATCGTGGATTTTACAGTGTTGAAACGTTCCTGTTACTACTAGCCTTAAAAGTAATGAGAAAAACATGACGCAACAACCATTTTAAGACCTTTTTTAGGTTAGATACCCTGATCGCATCACTTTAATACGAGGCAATCACGAATCGCGTCAAATAACCCAAGTTTACGGTTTTTACGACGAGTGTTTACGCAAATACGGATCTATAACCGTTTGGAGATACTGCACTGAAATTTTCGATTACCTCTCACTTTCAGCTATCATTGATGGCAAAATTTTCTGTGTTCATGGGGGGCTATCACCCTCTATACAAACCCTAGACCAGATCAGAGTCATTGACCGGAAACAAGAAGTACCACACGACGGACCAATGTGCGACTTGTTATGGAGCGATCCTGAAGGTAAGCCCCCAAAAACCTCCACAAATAAATTTGAATAATTATGAAAAAATTTGGTGGCCAAATTGGCCACGAAAAATGTAAATTTATTTCCAACGTTGGTGCTAACAAATCAATGTTGTAGATACACAAGGTTGGGGCGTGTCGCCTCGCGGGGCGGGTTATTTGTTTGGTTCCGATGTCGTGGCCCAATTCAACGCCGCCAATGACATCGATATGATTTGTCGGGCGCATCAACTGGTCATGGAGGGCTACAAGTGGCACTTTAATGAGACTGTTCTGACAGTTTGGTCAGCTCCGAATTATTGTTACAGGTTAATTACCCGGATTTGTTAAATTTCGATTATTTTTTGTGTTTGCAGGTGTGGCAATGTTGCCGCCATTTTGGAACTGAATGAGCATCTGCAACGTGATTTTACGATTTTTGAAGCGGCGCCTCAAGAAACTCGAGGTGTACCATCGAAAAAACCACAAGCTGATTATTTTCTGTAATAGTTTAGTTGTTCATTTTTTAATTGTAATATACATATACTCTTGATCATTTATTAATTCATAAAAACATCATTTATAGTTACGTATTTCTTTATCGTCTGTCAATCATCTAAAGACAGTTTTTTGTTTGGTTTCAATTTTTACTTTTTTGATGGCTACAAAATTCGAAACTGTACTTATAGTGAATTTATTTATTTAAAACGATTTATTGTACCATTTGCAGACTGCCAAAATACAGTTTTTTGTAAAGAGTTTGGTTTCATTTTCAATATTCCAAAAATAAAAAGCGGCCATTTTGTGGCGATAAATTTCAAAACAATTTATAAGCGTTCAGCAATCATGAACATTTCTGTGTTAAGACACTTAATAAACATTATTTTACAAGATTTTGTAAATGCAATTTGTAATCTAGATTAATTTACTGTTAAACCAATTTTTGTTAATTTGAAAATTCGCTGTTTGGCGAATTCGCAGTTTGTGGACGCTTGGTTTGACAACCAAGGCATCATCACCTCAATATTGTTATTTCTTTTTTTGTGCTTTTTTCGTGTACAAAAAAACAACAAATTGGTAAGTTAACCCTGAAAAGACACCTTTTTAAACTTCTTAACCTTTTCTGTATTTCCAGTGTATGAATTGCAACAAAAAACGCGTAAACAATGACCGACGAAAGACTCCACATTGTAAGTTAACACCAAATCCCCCCGAAATTGGTTTTAATTTTGCACTTTTTAGGATTGGGGTAACGACAAGTTACATCGCACCCAGAAACAAGTCGAGAGAAATCCCTACGACCTCGAATCATGGTCGATTTTGCTGCGAGAGGTCCAAACCAAGCACATTTCGGAAGTGCGCCCCCTTTACGAGCACCTCATCGACATATTCCCCAGTGCGTCCCGCTACTGGCGCATCTACATCGAGCACGAGGTGATTAGAGCCCCCTTGCCGGACCTAACCTCACTTTGAGTTTCTTTTACAGATGAAGTCGCGGAATTTCGAAAGAGTAGAAAAGGTAGGAAAAACAATTTCAAATTGTAAAGACGCAAACGAAATAAAAAACATGACGCTAGACTTGTTTTAGTACTTTTCAACCCTTGCATTTGTCGAGAGCATTTGTTAATGAATTGGGGAATATTTTGTGTCTTTTTCTCCCTCTCCAGGTATCCAATCCTCTCAAAATAAAATTTTGATAAACGAGAATTTGTTTTTTTGTTGCGGCAATATTCTCCTTTCGTTAACCAATGTTTGGTGGATTTTTTCTAAATTTTTCCTTGTTCCAACAGTTGTTTCAAAGGTGTTTGATGAAGATCTTAAATATTGAATTGTGGAAACTTTATCTCGGATATGTTAAAGAAACCAAGGCTTCACTCCCGACCTATAAGTACGTAAAACCCCCATCTAGCTTTCTTCCCTTGTTTTTATTCAATCTTTAGGGAGAAAATGGCACAAGCGTACGATTTCGCCTTGGACAAGATCGGAATGGACATCCACTCGTACTCGATTTGGAACGAATACGTGAATTTTTTAAAAGGGGTGGAAGCCGTGGGGTCGTATGCTGAAAACCAGAAAATCTCAGCGGTGCGGAAAGTCTACCAAAGGGGCATTAATAACCCCATGACCGGGATGGAAACCTTCTGGAAAGACTACATAGCCTTCGAACAAGTAACACCCCCAAAAAGTGAAAAAAAATCGTTTCACACCAACATTTCAGGCTATCAACCCCATTATTGCTGAAAAAATGAGCATTGAGAGGAGTCGAGACTACATGAACGCCCGCAGAGTCGCCAAAGAACTGGAAGTACAAATCCGGGGGATTAACAGGAATGCCCCCAGTGTTCCCCCGAACGGAAGTCCGGAAGAGCGAAAACAAGTCAGTTACTTGAGATTTGATTTGTAATTCTCGTTGGTCATGAAAAAAACTTTTCTCAGGTCGAGCTGTGGCAGAAGTACATCGCATGGGAGAAGAGCAACCCCCTGCGTACCGAAGACACGGCCCTCTTGACCAAACGCGTGGTCTTCGCCCTCGAGCAATGCCTACTGTGTCTCGGCCACCACCCCGACATTTGGTACCAAGCCGCCCAATTTCTCGAGTACAGTTGCAAAATTCTTGCTGAAAAAGGAGTACTAATTTTTTGGCGTTAATTGGACTTCATAATTTGGATAAAATGGTTTTAGGACGTCAACGCTTCGAAGTTATTTAGCGAAGAGGCTGCGAATATGTTCGAAAGGGCAACGAGTTCACTTTTAAACAAAAATATGCTACTTTATTTCGCCTACGCTGACTATGAAGAAGGGCGCTTGAAATATGAGAAAGTCCACCAGATTTACCAGAAGTATCTTGAAATTCAAGATATCGACCCGACACTTGTACCAATATAACAACAAAAAATTCGGTGTTTTCATTGTTGGTTTTAGGCTTACATCCAATACATGAAGTTTGCCAGAAGGGCCGAAGGAATAAAATCGGCGCGGTCTGTTTTCAAAAGGGCCCGCGAAGACAATCGATCCAAGTATCACATTTTTGTTTGCGCCGCCTTGATGGAATATTATTGTAGCAAAGACAAAAACATCGCGTTTCGTATATTTGAATTGGGGTTGAAAAAATTCGGGGATATACCCGAATATATCACGTGTTATATCGATTATTTGTCACACTTGAACGAAGATAATAACACGCGAGTGTTATTCGAGCGCGTATTATCATCCGGAAGTTTAGAACCGGAAAAATCCGTGTACGACATTTTTGACATTTCTCACGACCAACTGACGAAACAAATTCACTTTTCAGAGATATTTGGAACCGTTTCCTGGAATTCGAGTGCAATATCGGGGATTTACAGAGTATTGTCAAAGTTGAAAAAAGACGATCGGAAGTTCTATCAAAAATTAAAGAATTTGAAGGCAAAGAAACGGCCCAATTGGTCGACAGGTACAAATTTTTAGATTTGTATCCCTGCACTGCCACGGAATTAAAAAGTATAGGGTGAGTAAACTGTTATTACCACCACAAATACTAATTTCTTTTTCGCCAGATATACAGAAGTGATAAACATAACAGGGGCGGGTCGTAACCACATTTTACAGTCGATAATCAACAGTGACGGCGACGCCCCCTTGCCCCTCCCCGACTACTCGCAAATGATCCCCTACAAGCCCAAATCCAACCCCCTCCCCGGCGAGCATCCTGTCCCCGGTACGTATCACTTTTCTCCGAGCCAACGCGGTAACCAAATTTTTTCCAGGCGGTGCATTTCCCCACCCTCCGGTGGCGGCGCACCTGTGCACCCTCCTGCCGCCCCCCGCGTGTTTCCGGGGCCCTTTTGTCAATGTGGACCTTCTCATGGATATTTTCAACCGGATCCAGTTACCGGACTCACCCCCTCAACCGTCGGAAAATGGCGGCGATGTGAGACTTTTCGATTTGGCGAAATCCGTTCATTGGATCGTGGAAGAAGGGGGCGGAGTCGGGATTAAGAGGAAGAAGAGGTTGGGATTGGCTATGGATGGGTCAGATGATGAGGATTTGCCGCTGCCGCCGACCAATGATATTTACAGACAGAGGCAACAAAAGCGTGTCAAATAATTTGTGGTTTTGTCCATTGTGACTTGATTAATTATAAAATAAATTGATTAGGATAATTGTGGAAACTGATTTTTTGAGCCCACGCGGGAACCAAATTTTTGTCATTGTACTGTCAAAATTTGTTACTTTAATCCTGACCAAAATGTGAATAAAACCTAATATTTCACATAAGCAAAACTTTACTTGTTACGAAAATAAGATAAATAATTAATTATAGCTCCCTCAAGGTTTTTCTTTCGAAATACCTCTGCAAAGCGGCATCAAACACCTCCCCCACTGTTCTTTTCTTCCAAATATCAATTTTGGGTTTTTTGGGAGGAGGTTCAGGTGTTTGTTCTGGTTTTTCTTCTTTTTCCTCTTTGATTTCCTCTTTCTTCTCTTCCACTTTTTCCTCCTCGACTTTCTTTTCAGTTTCTTCCTCGCTGTCTGACGAATCTATACTAAAATCGGAATCAGCGTCTAGATTCGAAGGGAGATGTTCTTTCTTCACTTCTGTTTCTTCCTCCTTTTCGCTGTTTTCCGATTGTGAGTCTGAACTGTGACGTTTCCTGTATTTTCTTTTACTTGGTTTATCTTCTATCGTTTCTTCTTCTTTATGATCTTCTATCGTTTCTTCTTTCTTATGATCTTCTATCGTTTCTTGTTTCTTATCTTCTTTCTTCCCCTCATAATTCACTTTCTGGTCATACAAATGGCGGTAAAACCCGTCCAAGTTCCCCTGTTTCGTCACGTCCCCAATCGATTCCAAATATTCCTCCCTTCTTTCTAGTTCTTCCATTTCTTTCATTTCTTCCAATTTCTTCTTGTAACTACTTGTGACAAAAGCTTCTTTATCTTTGAATTCATCACCTTCCGTCTCCCTTTCTTTCTGTACTTGTCTTTCAATACGTCTTTCATTCTCTTTCTTCCTTCTATCAGCAGCAGCAAGCAATTTATTTATGTATTTAGGTTTCCTGTCTAGATCTTTTCTACTCAATTTTGATTCCTTGCGTTTCTTGTCCATTTCGTCGTAAATTTCGTCATATTGGAACACGGTGGGATCTTCCTCAACTGCACGATTTTGCAAAATTTTATCTTGCTTTTTGAGGGATTTTTTGAGCCCCGTGGGGACTGATTCCTCCTCATCGGACTCATCGAAAATTGACGGACGCTGAATAACTGCCCTGTCTTTGTCTTTATTTGGGACGATTAAACCATATCTAATGAGAAATGAACAATTACAATTTTATTCAAGAAAGTTTAAAAAAACTTACTGTTTTGACATTGTGACGTTTGGAGGTTAGAATACAATCGATCAAACCAAATCAAATTAAATAGCACAGAGCACACAATTAGTATTTAGCAATCTATCAACACAAAAATGATAAATTAAATAAAAGAATTTTTTTCTATCAAATAATTTATTTCCAACAAAACCAACTTAACAATCCCAAATCCCCCAACAGAATACAATCGGTCAAACCAATTAATTAAATACAAAGTGATTAATTAATTAACACCGATGTGACCACAGTAATTAACAATTTATCAATAATGCATTAAATAAAACAACCTGTTTCTGTCACACTTTTATTTTCAACAAAACCAACTTAACAATCCCAAATCCCCCAACTCGGTACTTTACTCAAAAATCCTGGGTAAAATATCCCCACATCTGGCGGAGATTTTCAATTTGGCGTGTTTGTCAGCCCTTGTGGGCCCTATATTCACTATGGCTACATCCTTTTTTTCCTCAACTGCCTGTAAAATAATCCTATACCCGGAAAAGACACTCAAACTTGAACCTAAGACTAGAATTGAATCACTTTGGGTCACATTTTGTCTGACTTTGTCCACCCGCTCTTTGGGTACGTTATCACCGAAAAAAGTAATGTCGGGTTTGAGAACACCCTGGCAGTGGTCGCAAAATGGTGGCTTGAAATTTTGTACTTTCTCCTAGAAAATGCTATAAGAAATAAATTCAAGCCAAAGAATGTCGTACTTGTGAAATTTCAACGTCGCCGTCTGGCCTTATCATTTGCGAGGTCTCGCGCAAATCGGGGTTTCCCTCAATTAATTTTTCCTGGATTTTATGTCTATCGAAAGTGCTGCCACACGTCAAGCAAATTACCCTAAATGCCGTCCCATGCAACTCGATCACGTTTCCAGAACCGGCTTTAAAATGCAAACTGTCCACATTCTGGGTCACCACACACCCTACTTTTCCCACACTTTCTAGAAATTGGACTATATAATGTGTTATGTTTGGCTGAGTTTGCGAGAATTTGGGCCACCCTATATAGTTGCGAGCCCAGTATCTTTGTCTTGCTTTTACCGATTTTAAAAATTCCTGATATTGAATTGGCTTGTGATTGGTCCGAGCATATAGGCCCACATCTTCGGACCGATAATCGGGGATTCCTAGAAAAGAAATAGCGCTAAATTTGACAAAATGGGTTACTGACCTGACTCAGTCGAAATCCCTGCCCCAGTAAGAACTAGGATTTTCTCGTGATCGTTGACAAAATTTCTGAGGGATTGGACGTCAGTACTAGGGGCTGGCGAGTGTTTTGGGATGAAGTCACTCAAAAGGGGGGCCCGTTTTAGTAAAAAAGGGAGTTGTTTGCTCAGATTTGACATGGTGGAGTGTTAAAACTGTCTCATTTCAACGAAATGTTCGCAAAGATATGACAAACACTGGGAAACATGTAAATTAAAGAGATGGAATCTAAAAAAGTTAGGTTAAATTAAACGTCAAACTATATACGTATTGTTGGTTGCCTAACACCAGAATTTGGAATGTTTTTGTATATTTAAAAAAACAAATTACCATATTTTTGAAACTCTGATTGTTATTAATTGTTTTCACAATTTTATACTTTGTTTCATAATACGGTAAATTTTAAAGACTTAAATTTAAGTTTTTCTTACTTATAGGAATTCGTGTATTCTATCGTTCGCCTAATAACTCCAAGATGACACTTCATTTTTAAACAAATAAAAATGGCTGCCACCGCAGTGCAACAAACAAACGTAACTGATTATCTTTCGAAAAAACAGAAAGAGAGCCCCAAAGACCTTGCCACAGAATGGGCCGAAATCGAGGAACTGCACAACAAAAAGTAAGTCGCTGTAACCCCATTTTTAATACAAAAAATAGTCATTTTGAAAACTTTAGATTATGGCATCAACTGACCTTAAAACTCCTCAAATTCATCAAAAAACCCGAACTCCAGAAGGGCGATAATCTTGTTCAACTCTACAACAACTTTATCCAAACTTTTGAGAACAAGTAAGTCATTCTGGGTGCCCTAACCTCACTTTTGATTCCGGCATGATTCAGGATAAATCCTTTGTCTTTGGTCGAAATCGCGGCTGTTGTTGTTGAACAGCTCAAAGATCCCAAAGAGGCGATTAGCTTCTTGGAAAAGACCGAAACTAAGGTCAAGATAAATCCCGACGCTCAGAATTTGTGCAAAGTCTTGGCGGGGCAAATCCAACTCGACAAATTGAACGATTTAGACGCAACCAAGAAAGTGATTGAGGAAGTTGAAGCGACTTTAGATAACGCAGATGGTGTCACAGCCGTCCATGGCCGGTTTTATCTCCTAGCGTCGCAATACTACAGGTAGTAGACAAAATTTGTATGTAACCAATGTTTGAATTTTTGCTAGAATTCAAGGCGACCACGCCCAGTACTACCGCACGGCGTTACGATACTTAGGCTGCATTGATCTAGACACCCTCACTGATGAGGTCAAGCACCAACATGCATTTTTCCTCGGCTTGGCAGCCCTCTTGGGTGAAGGGGTCTACAACTTAGGCGAATTATTAGCTCACCCTGTATTAGAGTCACTCAAATCCACCGAAACTGGCTGGCTTGTTGAGCTTTTGTTCGCTTTTAATGCCGGTGATATTAATAAATATGAACAGATGAGGTCACATTGGGGGGCTATTGCCGATTTGGCCGCTCAGGAGTTGTTCTTGAGACAGAAAATTTCACTTTTGTGTCTCATGGAGGTGAGGCTAACTAATATCCTCGTTTTCATATTAATGTGCATCGAAGTAAAAAGTGATCATTTTAGGGTGGCAACCATGCGAAAGGTCAAACAATCCTAACCTCAATCTTTCTTAAAAATTATTTTTTCAAATAGGTAGCAAAAAATAATTAAATTTAACAACGTAATTAACATAGGGTTGCAAACTTAAAGATTTTTGTCATTACTGATGTAATTAAATTTGTTCTGAATGAAATTAATGACATGGGTTTAGACTTCTATAACCTACTTGATGCACATTAATACGGTGCGATCAAAAAGTCTTTCTATCAAGTAGGCGTCCTAGTTGAGGACGTATGTTGCATGGCAGTTCGTATGTTATCTAGATGTCAAAAAATTATTTTATAAAAATTAAAACATTGAGCCAATTAAATTAAATTATTCTATGAAACGACTCAAAATATCCTAAAATGAGGTTTTGTTGGTGTTTATTCATAAAAATCGTTCACCATGGTTTCCTGTTATAATTTACATAAAAATTATTTTGACATTTGTCATTGTGACAAATTTTATTTTATTTTTTATTTTATCTTCCACAGACACACGTTTTAAATTTCTACGCTTGCTTGATAGACAGACTTCTTGATCTCACTGTATAAAGAGTATAATAGGAAAAGTGGACATTAATAATTTTTTTGACAGATGACATTTAAAAGGCCTTCACATAATAGACAGTTGACGTTTAATGAAATTGCAAAAGAGACTAAACTGCCGGTCAATGAAGTCGAGGTTTTAGTTATGAAAGCCCTGTCGCAAGGTTTGGTCAAAGGTGCTATTGATCAGGTGAGTTTAAGGTTTTGACGGGAAAACGGTCTAAACTTTAATTTTGACAATTTTCTAAAGAATAATCAATTTTTCCGAGTTTTAGTATTTTTTATCAAGGGTTCTAAAAATAAATTCTAGGTTTTATGTCTAGGTTGTGCTAGCTTTTAGGTTTCATTAAGTTTTTTAAACAATTTTTTTGAACCGTTCAGTTTTTAGAGTGGTCCAAGTTTATTGACTATTTTGATCTACGTTTAAAATTATTTGTATTTTTCTATAATTTTTTTTTTGGTTTAGGTTTCACATGCTCGGTTTTATGTCTATGTATTATTAGGTTTTAAGTTGTAACAAACTTTTAGAACCGTTCAGTTTAAGATTAGCCCAAGTTTGACTATTAGTAGTTACAATTTTCATTGATTTTTTTGTTTTGTTTACAACTTTTAAGCCCCTACACATATAGGTTGCAACAAACTTGTCTAGGTTTTAAATATTCAAAGGTTTGAGAATGAAGTACTATTACTTTAAAAAACTTATCGAGGTTTTATGTCCAAGATCTGGTGATGTACCAAAGTTTTCTGTGTAGGTTTTGTCTAAATAGGTTTGAATTTTTTTATAGGTTGTAATATGTATACAGGGTGCAGCAGAACTCTCGCCCCAGAGAAAAGTGACATATAAGGTAAGATACCAGGAACATGGAAAAAATGTTATCTACAGATTTGTTTACCACCTATGATTTGAATTTTTAGGAAAATTACGTTTTTCATGTTGTTTGTAACTAGAATTTTCAGACGTAATTTTGAATGCCTAGTGTTGGTTGCAGTTGGAGACAAAATACTTTGGTCGTCAATGTCACTTGAGTGACATTAAATTGTAAAGCATGCTTTAGGACTGTTAACCTTATTTTTAGCTACTGTCAATCATAGTTGACAAGTTGTACATATTTTTGGTAGAAAGATATAATAGCTGTCATTAATTTGAAATTGTCATTCATTAAAGCTTGAATCACATTTAAGTGTCAGAAAAGTGACGACCAAAGTATTCTGTCTCCAACTGTACCCCTTGTTGTTGACGGGTTGACGTTTTCTGTCAACCTGCTGTCAACTATCAATTGAGTTATCTATACAAACTGACAGGTGACTTAACCTAAATTTTTGACACTAGTTACGATATCTTTTGTTTGTCACTAAAAACCAAGCTAACCAAATCTATGGCAACCTATTCATGAATATCCCTAAATCCTAGGGAGTAATTTATTGTTGATACGATAATATAAAAATTTCGAAGTTATGAGAGTTTAAATTTTACACTTTGACTCTATTTATTTCTGTTGTAAAAATAATTTTCGAAGTTTTTTTGCTACAGGCTATTAGAAGATGCAACAAGGAAGCTGTATACATTTTTTCTGTGTTCCTGGTATCTTCCTTGAAATTTTTCTCTGGGGCGCGAGTTCTGGCACACCCGGTATAGTTGTCTAGGTTTCTCGAGCTCGCTTTTATGTCTACTTTGTACTAAGTTTTAAGTTGTGACAAACTTTTAGAACAGTTTGTTTGAACCGTTCAGTTTTCAGATTGGTTCAAGTTTATTGACATTGTTAGTTTTTTTGTGACAACTTATAAGCCTACTTAGATTGCAATAAACTTGCCTAGGTTTCACATGTTCAAAGGTTTAAGAATAATGTACTGTTACTTTAAAAATGTGTCTAGGCTTTATGTCCAAGATCTGACAAAGTAACAGTTTGTAGTTTGTCTAGGTTTTGCCAGGTTTAAGTCTAGTTTTTTTAGTTTTCAATAAACCTTAAATTCGTGTAACCTCCCAAGTTTTTTAATTTTAGGTTGCAGGCACCGTTAACATGACCTGGGTGCAACCTAGGGTGCTGGACCGTTCTCAGATCTCCTCAATGATCGAAAGGCTTAACGAGTGGTGCATTCACGTCAATAGCATGGAACAACTATTAGAAGAAAAAGCAAACGAAATATTAACTTTGTAATAACAATTTTTTTTCAAATAAAAAATATCTGTAACAAATGTATTACTTTACACCACAATTTCGGGTGGATCTAAATAGTTAACTAGAAAACAACAAATCCTCCAGTACTTATTCAACTGTTCTAAACTACAAATCATTGTCGGGAAAGTCCCTTTCAAGATTTGAAAACCTTTAAGACATCCCACAATGCGTTGGATGTGTACTTGGAGATCAATTCGCGCAGCCTTGGCCTTATTCAAGGCTTCGCAATTACAAATTTTGCTCTTTTGACACGTTTCGATAATGTCTTTATCGCTAACATGTGTTGCAAACAAATTCGATAAATTCTCGATGTATCCATCTGGCGAAATCTCAATCAAAGCCTTAGTTCTCCCATACAATTTTTTCCCTCCCTCCGCTTCAAAAAAAGTCTCGAAACATTGAATAATCACCCGGTTATTCGCCCCCGGCTTCCCCGGGAACAAATCCACCAGAAGTTTGAACCAAAACGAGCAAATTTTATGAACTTGTATGAGAGAAATGTTACATCTGTGTGCCAAATCCTGGAGTTGCAAGCCGAGGCGCAGCCGAGTGAGCACTAATATGACCTGTTCGTCCATGTTGAATTGGTGACGAAAATCCGACGAGAGATACGTCGTCCGGACTTGGTCCAGGAATTTGAAGAAAGAGTCCCGACTGGGGAACCCCGTGTAGAATTTGAGGGAATCCTCGTTCTCGAGAATGCTTTTTAAACTAGAGCCGGTTTTAGGCGGGCTGCGGAACAGCTTGGAAAGGAGGTCGTGATTGATGGCCTTGAGACGCTTGATCTGCGGAGTAGGGAATTAGCGGAATTACGGGGAATTACAGGGATTACCTCTTCGTTGTGGTCTGTCAGCGTCTCAATGTGGCGTTTCCTAAATTCCTGGTTTTCTTGCAACAGCTTTTCGTGGCTGTCTTTGAGATACTCGACGTAATCGAGAGTAAGGGCGTAATTGTGGTCATAACAATCCGGTTTGAATTTCGGCGGATTTATTTTTTTCTCTTTAATACAGAGTGGTTTGACGGGAGAAATGGGATAAACCTCCTCTCGGGCCACTACAAGTTCGTCACTCGTGTATACTTTCCATTCATCACCTGGAATACCTTTTTAGGAATTACTGAAGAATTTTATGTAATTATTACAAATATTGCGGACTTTTTTAACCGCAGCCAACCTCTCGCGGACTCTATTAACCGAAATTCGCAAAAAGGGGAAGTAGACTATACTCCTGTCTGAATAATCCCTAATCCCGGACAAATTATAATGGCGGCTACAAATAAACTCAGACCGCAGTCGCATTATATTTGTATTTTTTTGGATGGAGTTTAAATAAGTCAATATTGTATTCAGCCATTGGGGCCTTACTGCATAATAAGCCACGTGTCTTAATTGATTTACATCCCTGCAACAGGGGATGCAACATTTTATATTAGTCTGTTCCTTAGCCATCTAAAAGTCCAAATATTGACGACTGGAAAGGAATTAAAACACTAACTGTGTCCCAGAACCGATTTTATGTCATTTCTTACTGTTTTTTGCTGGTTTCTGGGACAAAAATATTAATCAAACGTCATTTAATGAGAGGTTAAGTTTAATTTGCTTTCTGCCGCCAGATGTCGTCAGGAAAATTTTTCAAGTCACAGAAGTAACAAGTCGAGATCGCTGAACACCCCCATTAGAAAAGTATTCTAAAAAAAATATACACTTGTTGTGTTAATGTAAAAGAAATTTAGTGCAATTTACACTTGCTTTCATTGTTGTTTTTTTGTTAAAAAAGTTAAATTAGAATTTTTTTGTCCTTAACACTGAATTAACAAATTGTAAGATAGCCGGTTTTCGAATATTTAAAACGCATTTTTGATCTTGTTTTAGACGTAAATTAAAAATTAAAGCTTGAAACTAAATTCTATTATAAAATTGCAGTCGTTTTTTTGTCAGTTACTGTGTTACCTAAAAAATTACTTTAATAATTTTGTTATTCCAAACATTTATGAATATTGATAACGCCAGTTTTTTGTTGTCGGACTTGTCTTTTTATTGTTCAATTCACTGATTTTGAGAAACAAAGAAAATAAGTGAAGTTACATCATTGTTCCATTTTAAATTTACCGCGAACTGAATTAATCAAAACCCTGTGCTTTAACAACAATCAGTCACTTGTATTTATTTGTAATCTATTTTCTTTTGAGTGGTTTACATAACAATTAGTTGTGAGTCACCTTGTGATATGTTTTCGTTGTGATAACGGATTTTCTCCAATTTTTCACGTTATCAGTTGTTGTTTTGGATGCGCAGTAGAGGAAGTTATTTGCGATCGATTGTTTTGTGTCATAACAAGCAAAAGCGACCAAAGTGAACAAACGTATCGAAACCTTGTCAACGACCCAAATTCCTGTGTCATCAACTCTCAAAATGAAATTCCAATATAAAGAAGAGCACCCATTCGAAAAGAGAAAGTCCGAGGGCGAAAAAATCCGCCGAAAATACCCCGACAGAGTCCCTGTAAGTATTTGCGTCATTGCATCCAAACAAAGAAACCTTACTACTAGAGCCCCAAACTGGGGCCTAACCCCCCATTCCTAACCCATTTTCCATCGATTTCGCCACACGTCGTCATTTGTTTTGTTTTTACAAAAATGGCGTATCAAGGTCACGTGATGTGAATTGTTTTCGTAATCAGGTGATCGTCGAGAAAGCCCCCAGGGCCAGAATTGGAGATTTGGACAAGAAAAAGTATTTGGTTCCGTCTGATTTGACTGTGGGGCAGTTTTACTTTTTGATTAGGAAGAGGATTCATTTGAGGCCCGAGGATGCGTTGTTTTTCTTTGTAAATAACGTCATTCCACCAACATCTGCCACCATGGGCTCGCTTTATCAGGTTGGTAGCACTGGTTTATTTTCGAGGCGATTTATTTTGGGGTTTTAGGAGCACCACGAAGAGGACTTTTTCTTATACATTGCTTACTCTGATGAAAACGTTTACGGAAGTGAGGAGCTCTAATTTAGCAACAAATTGATTTTTATAAATCCCTGATTAAAATAAAGCACCGGTAAAAGTTTAACATTTATTTCATATGTATCATAAGGCTTTTTGTTTGTCTCAAGTGACTTTTTTCTAATTGTGATAGTCGTATTGATTATTTTTATCTTCTGATAGGGGCTGAATATTCTAACATTTTTTTTTAACTTGAGTGTTACTGAGATGCTGCTACGGAAGCAAGACGTTTCATCACAAATTTTATAAATTGATATTTAATTTATGATGGAATTTCTAAAGTATTAGATTAGGTATAAAAAATGTAGTTATATAAATAAAAATATTTAAAATCCAAAAATATTTTAATTTGTTACATAATTAACAGGTAGTTTCTGTACCGTTTTGGTATTCTTAATTAACAACTGAAATAAAATAATGGACCTCAATTTGTTTACTTTAGTTACTTATTTTTTTATCCACAATCACTCTATAAAGAGACTTTATTCCACACTTGATGCGTATAAAGTACCACTTTATCCACTAGTGGAATAAAGTAACTTTATTCCACTGTTAGTAACCAGCGCACCGCGTAACAGCTTACTACGTTTAACCGAAAGCACATTTGGCGTGACGTTTAAATGTCAGTTTAATTTTTAATTAAGTTTGGAATAGTTTGGGCCTGTGATTGTGGATAAAACGTTATATTGCAGTCGTGTGTTAGTCGCGTTTTATCCACTTAAGAAAATGAACCGCTCAAACTGACATTCTTGCGTGGATAAAACGCTCTCTAACACATTCCTAAATAAATAACTATTGTCTTGAAGCATTTAAATTAAAATAATTTGAATTATTTATGGTGGTTTTTGCGTTGTTGGGTTTTCCAACTAGTGAACCTTTTTGTGGTAAAAAATCTTCCTTAACTTGCTGTTTATTACACATAAAATTAAATAATTGCATTTACTCTTATTTTTGTTTCATAAAATGCAGGATTTACCGTAGAAATGCAGATTTTACCGTAGATTAACTTATTTCATTTTTATGTTGGTAGTAACAAAATCACTAGCAGCGCCATCTCCTTTCACCGCAACATCTGCAAAGGTGAGTGTCTTTGAAGTGAATTTTTATAATAATCTTCACTCATCGCCCATTTTTTCTAATTTTTTTGACCCAAAATTGGTTTTAAAACAATTAATGACTCGATTAAAATTAATTTCTAGTGTTATTTCAGTGAAGTTGTGCCAAAAAAACATTTTGTGAGGTTATTTGTAAAAGTGTCAAAACACCGTGTTATATCCCTAAAAGTGATGATTTTATTGCCTTAGGACACTTCTGAAGAATCTTGTGTCGATATAACGTGAATCTGAGTTAATTTTTGCACTATTTGTTACAATAACCTCAACTTTTGACAATCACACGTTGCGCTTATAACCCCCATTATTTTTTCAGATGGCACCGACAGCGAAGGCTGCAAAGCAAGAAAAGAAGCCGGACGATAAGAAAAAATCGTCCAAACCTCGTAATTACGACCTAGGCAATGGCGTAATGCGATTTTCCCGCACCCGCATGTACCACAAGAAAGCCCTTTACAAGTTCATGGGCAAGAAAGTGAAACCTACTAAGAAGCCCGCGAAGCCCACTTTTGTCACTAAGCAAATTGGGGGTGACAAAAACGGCAAGGAACGCAAAGTTTTTCTTAAAAAACGCCGCAATTATTACCCCACTCAGGACAAGATCCGCAAACACCCGGCAAAGAAGACTTTCAAGCAACATAAACGCCATTTGCGTTCGACTCTTCTCCCCGGGACTGTGTGTATCCTTCTCGCGGGCTCTCACAAGGGCAAAAGGGTCGTGTTTTTGAAACAGTTGCATTCGGGGCTGTTGCTGGTGACGGGCCCAATGAAGATCAACTCGTGTCCCTTGAGACGGATCAGTCAGAGATATGTCATAGCCACGCAGACGAAAATTGATATCAGCAATGTGAAAATCCCCGAAAATATCAATGACGAGTATTTCCGGCGCCAGAGGGAGAAGAGGGCCAAGAAGGAGGAAGGGGACATCTTCCAGGCCAAGAAGGAAGCGTACAAAGTGAGCGATCAGAGAAAAGCTGATCAAAAAGTAGTCGACAAGCAAATTTTTGAAGCTATTAAGAAGCACCCTGATAGGAAAGTTCTGTTGGCTTACTTGTCGGCTATGTTCGGGCTGAGGTCATCGCAGTACCCACACAGAATGCAGTTCTAGATTAAGTACCATGTTTTATTGATTTAACTGTAAAAATATGACTATTCAATAAAAGATGGTTTTCTATTCCGACTATAAAAAATATCAAACTTTGAAAAAGCGCGCTAAAAGCTCAACTATTCACTCTAGTGTTTTTTTATTTGTTGAGTTTGTCCACCTGGAATTTTTTAAATAAAATTAAAGAAGTAAATTTTACGCACTAACAATGTAACAAGTTTTATAAGCACGAACTACGACCCTTTTGTTTTTGATTGATTATTCACTAAATTAAAATTTTGAGGAAATTTAACAAAGATGGTGTTTTCGTCGCCGTTACGTTGGCAGCGCTTTTGACACTTGTTCGATTTTTAAAATTTTGAAGCTTTTGTGTTTGATCAATATTTCGACATAAAATCCATTAAATTAATTACTAATTAAATTAGCAATGGACAAAGAGACCGGAACTGAGAAGAATCCCGATTCATCGATGGCAAAACCATCAAATTGCCCTGAAATCACAATAAAGGAATTTCTCGACTTTCTGAAGACAGCCTACCAAGTCCCAATTAATTAAATTAAATTTCCCATTGTAATTCACCAATTTTAGGTGCAAGACACGTTAGAGAACCTTCTGCTAGCTAACGGAATGACTGAAGCCGTTGATTGGTTGAAATTAAAAGAAAATGAATTGGTGAAACCCAAGGAAAGTGAAACAGACTCAAAATCAAAAACTGAGGAGAGACGAGGTAACTAAATTGACAATAAACGCCCATTTTGAATGATTTTGAGACAGATTTGATGAGGCGAAAAAGTGACTCTTCTACTGATAGCAACGATACCATTAAAAGAAAATTGAGCGAGGTGTTATCAGAGGGGTTGTTGGATTCTGTTTTGCCCTATTTGGTGCCTTCGTCGAGTCAGCAGGCGTCAAGAAGGAGCAGTATGGTAAAAGTGCCTTCAGGTAAAAACTATCTCATGTGGGACAAAAATTAGGCGTTTGTTACAGAAAAGACGAGCCAAGCGGCGGTTTCTGCCACGTCTGTCACAAAGAAGAAGAGTGGAGAGATTGCAAAAAGCGCAGTCCTTAAGACCGAGTAAGTAATTATTTATTTATCTCAATTATAAATTAGAGCCGGCAACCTACTACACACTGGTGTTTTTTTGGTTGTCTATATTTTTAGAAAATACTTATAATTTTATTTGTTTTAAAAACAAAAAGTGTACAAAATGTTTTAATAATCTGTTGTTTAAATGTGGTATAATTGTTAGTATAATTTTTGTTTATATTTTATTAAAGCAGTTTCACACTTGACTAACCGAGTGGGAAAAAATTTGACAGTCGTTTCCAACCTCACTTTTTTGTTGTTTGTGTATGTTTGAAACCATGTCAAGCACGAAAGGGGCCCTTTTCGTATGTCTCGGTAACAAAGTTTAAGTTTTTGAGAGTTTATTTGAGTTTTGATCAATTTAGGTAACATTTGTCGGTCCCCAATTGCCGAAGCAGTCTTTTTGCATTTAATCAAAGAAAGGGGCACTAGCGATCAGTGGAAAGTGGATAGTGCGGGTCTTGGGGGTTGGCATTCCGGTAATTTACCCGATTCACGCGCTAGAGCTACGTTAAAAAAACATCAAATTGAGTACAATAACACTGCACGTCAAGTAAAAAATGTTTTATTTCTATTTTATTTTCTATTACAAAGAGTTGTAGATAACTCCTGAGGATTATTACGAGTATGATTACATTTTCGGTATGGATAAAAATAATATTTCCGGGTTGAAAAGGGACGCACCGTCGGATTCAAAAGCTAAAATTTTGTTATTGGGGGATTTTGACCCTGAAGGTGATAACATTATCAGGGATCCATATTACGTAATGGGATTTTAAGGAGTGTTCTTGTTTTTTATAAACTAAATTGTAGGATTCCGGGTCTGAAGGGTTTGAGAAGTGTTATCAACAGTGTTGGAGGTCTTGTAAGGCCTTTTTAGATAAAGTACAGAACGGAGAAATTTAGACAATTAGTTATTAAAAATTTGTCTTGAGTAGAGTGTTTAAATGTTGAAACCTACCTTGTCCCACCCAAAATTGACTCATTTTTTCCAAATAGTTCGGAAGTGGAGATCCACGTGTGCGACGAAGTGAAAAACATGAAAAAAGACTTCGTTTGCAACCAGAAGCTCCTTGTGGAAAAAATGGGTTACTTTGCTGAAGTGACCACTGGGCAGCGCCTTGAAGACATGGACATTTCCGTGCATTGTGACATCGGTATTTTCGAGTGGTTGATGAAATGGGTGAAGAAAGACTCCTTACTCGAGGAAGATTGGCCCCAATTGGACCCCCAATGCGTTGTCCCCATTCTCGTTTCTGCTGCTTTCCTCCAAATGGAACCTCTCCAAAACGACTGTCTTTTATACTGCCACCAACACATGAACGAGATTCTCCGAACATCCACGAACCTGTCGTGTCTTAACGATTCGATTTTGACACGCCTTGCGGCTATGTACACCAATAGCGAGGTCGAAGCGATCAAAGACCGCAAAGATAAGATCCAATCGCGGATCTTCACGAAATTAATTCAGTCGTTGGCGGAGCCTGAAGCGGAAAGCATGCGTGGTCATTGGTCGTCGCTGGCGAGGGTGTATCGATGTGGGCGGTGCCAACAGTTGATTGGTCCTTCGGTCGCTACACGTATACCTTGTGCCCCGCCTTGTATGCAGTTACAATGCGACGGGTCTATAATAAGCCAACATGTCAGAGATCCTTCATGGAACATAAACGATTATATTTTGAAATTGTACAAAAATTTGAAAACTTGGAGAAAAGTTTATTGGAGATTATGGGGTGACTCCCACTTTTTGTATTGTTTGATGTGTAAACGGTACTTCCCCGCACACCAAATCGGTTGGTGTCGTCACCACCCAGATCCGCCCCAATATTTCACTCTCGACGCCCAGAAAGCCCCACTCCCAGTCGGGAGGTACCCCTGTTGTGGCGAGAGGGCTTATCGTTTTCAGTTATTACAGGATTACTCCGGGTGTCAATTCCGGGAACACACAGTGAGCGCCAAAGATGTCCGAGATTCGGCGATTTTGACACTTTTGGAGAATTTCCGGGGATTGATAGAGGAGGAGCCTCCACAGTTAATGTTTCCGGAACGTTTAACTCGATTGGTTGCACGTGACCCAGCCGGCGATAGCAAGAAGTTGGTATGCAAAGAGAATTTCTGGTGGGAGGGGTTTCAGATTGTCCCGCCCCGGCCCAAACTTGGACTATTGGGCCAGTTTGCGAGTCGAGGAGGGGAAGAGGCGGTGCCACAGGAGGAGTCGAGTGAAGGAACAGAGGAGAGTACGTCGGATAGTGATGATAGTGACAGTGAGGGAAGTGCGGAAAGTAATCCACCACCAATGCCAGTGAAGGTAAAACTGGAGGGGGATTTTGATTGTATTTTATTAGCTTGATGTTTAGAATCTAAAGAAGAAAAGAAATAAGCGGGAAAGTAGACTGTGGCAGCATAATTTGTCAGCGAGAAGTAACCAAGATATACAGAGAGCGTTTGAGGAGAATGCAGTTAAGGAAATTACAGCTATGTTGAATCGGCGGACGGTCACCATTTCGGAAGGCGGGGCAAAAAGTGGGAGGTTCTCGCGGAATGTCACGCCCATTGGTGGGTTTTCCGTAGAAAATTCTTTTTTGTTAATTGTCAAACTATTTTTTGTTAGGTGGAGTTTGGGTGCGACTGGAGTCCGAATGGAAGGAAACCCATTGTGCAAGTAATAATCAGCAAAAAGCACGTAGTATTTTCACCGGTAGAGTTCGTCCAAAGCAGACTAAAATGTGAAAAGTACCTTTTGTAAACGTTGTTTTCGTTTTCGTTGTATTTAATTAAATTCGATTTGAAATAAGTTTTCCGCAAATGATTCACTCTGTAGAGTAGTTCTAAAAAACGTTAGAAGTAGATCCAATGAACCAATATTACCAGGTTGAGAACTATTGCCACACAAAAGTTTCTAAATATATGACAGTAATCAAACATAACCTCACTAAAATGTCATGCTGTTTTTGCGATTATTGAATGTAGGTAGTAAAAATGGTGAAAAAACGCTATAATTGGAAGTCACGACAGGTTGTTAACACTGTTGTCGACAATTCTGCAACAGAAAAGGTAGATTTTTATTAAAATTGTATCCCCATTTTCATATAAACTTGTTAAGATTCAATTAGATTTGCAAGTGGAGGGCCACTACGATCAAAGCAATGAGTTGGTGCTGCCTTCAAAGAAACGCAAGACGAAAATCAAAGATGCTAAACAAAAAGTAACCAAAATCCTCTCAAAGAAGCACAGAAAGAAACTCGAAAAAATTGTTGAGAAAAAAAAGAAAAAAGAGAACGTGAGTTGTACAAAACTTGGAGTTAATTTGATTAAATACATGGAATTTGTAGCGGGCATCCCTTCTTGAAGCCTTATCGAAAGTCCAAGCAACACCTGAAGAGTTAACCAAACTCACTTCAATCGCTACCGTACAAACAAAGGGGCTAAAACGGCACTTCCTTGAGGAACAAAATGGGGACAAACCTAAGAAGCCTAAACGAGACTTGCAGATAATTTCGGGCGAAGTCAAATTGAATAGTTTATCAGGGGCCAAACGACGCCATTTGCTAGAACAAGAAGTCGAAGTTAAAACAAATGGGGATCCCAATGTGGTGGGGTTTGAGTCTTCAGACTCGGGCAATGATAGTGAACCCGAACCGGAACTAGAACCACCTAGGCTAGAACCCAGCGCACCCTCTAAAATTGAACCAACAGAAACAAAACCAAAAATTCCAGTCAAGAAACTTGAATCAAAACCTGCAGTTTTCGTGGACGTAATCCGCGACGAGGAAATCCAGAAAAGTCGCCTCAAACTCCCGATTTTGGCCGAGGAGCAACAAATCATGGAAACCATTAACGAAAATCCGGTTGTGATAATCGCTGGTGAGACAGGAAGCGGAAAAACCACTCAAGTCCCTCAGTTTTTGTACGAAGCAGGCTATGCGTTGAAGAAACAAATTGTAGTGACTGAACCTCGAAGAGTTGCAGCGATTGCAATGTCGAAACGAGTGGTTCAAGAAATGAATTTAAGTTCAAGGGAAGTGTCTTATTTAATTCGTTTCGAAGGTAACGCCACTGAAGACACTAAAATAAAATTTATGACAGATGGGGTGTTACTAAAGGAGGTCCAAAATGATTTTCTTTTGTCGCAATATTCAGTTGTTATTCTCGATGAGGCTCACGAGAGGTCAGTCTACACTGATATTTTAATAGGGCTCTTGTCGCGTATTGTGCCCCTTAGAAAAAAGCGTGGGGACCCCCTGAAACTCATCATCATGTCGGCAACACTCCGAGTTGAGGATTTTACAAAAAATAAAAGACTTTTCAAAACAATTCCTCCAGTGATAAACGTCGATAGTCGGCAATTTCCGGTCACAATTCACTTCAATAAACGAACAAATGACGATTATTTGAGTGAAAGTTTCAGTAAAGTCGTTAAAATTCACACGAAACTCCCCGAGGGCGGAGTTTTAGTGTTTCTGACTGGCCAACAGGAGGTCAACGCTCTTGTGAAAAAACTCCGGGCGAAATTCCCTCTCAAAGTCAAGATCAGTGAAGAGGCGGAGCCGGTTAAGAAACTCAAACAGAAGAAAGTTTACGCCCCTGAAGTGAATCTCGATGATTACAACAATCCGGATTGGTCGAGTGAGAGCGAAGAGGAGGAGTCGGAACGTCCCCTTCACCATGCCCCGCCTTTGTGGGTGTTACCCCTATATTCGATGCTACCAACTCACAAACAAAACGAAGTGTTTCAAGCGCCTCCTCCTGGATGTCGGTTGTGTGTCATTAGTACCAACGTAGCGGAGACAAGTCTCACTATACCTAATGTAAAATATGTTGTGGATTCGGGCCGGACTAAAGTGAAATTGTATGATAAAGTCACCGGTGTGAGTAGTTATGTGGTCACGTGGACTAGTAAAGCTTCGGCCAATCAGAGAGCCGGGAGGGCGGGGCGTACAGCACCGGGACATTGTTACCGCCTCTATTCCAGCGCTGTTTTTAACGATACGTTTAAAGAGTTTAGTGTGCCTGAAATTCAGCAAAAACCAGTCGATGATTTATATTTACAAATGAAATGTATGAATATCGATAAAGTAGTAAACTTCCCATTTCCAACAGCCCCCGATTTGTTACAATTGAAGACGGCCGAACACCGATTGGAGATTCTAGGGGCGTTGCAAAAGGGACAAGTCACACCTTTAGGGCGGGCCATTGCCAAGTTCCCTGTATTACCAAGGTTCGGGAAAATGTTAGCTTTGAGTCACCAACAAGATTTACTCCCTTATACGATTTGTCTGGTGGCAGCACTGTCAGTCCAGGAAGTGTTACAAGAAAACGAAAGCGAAATGAAAACGAAATGGGCGGCGCTTCGTCGCCGGTGGGCGGGGACCGGCAATTCGCTCCTATTAGGCGACAGTATGGTGCTACTCCGTGCAGTGGGCGCGGCCGAATTTGCCAATAGTCAAGGCCGATTGGAGAAATTTTGTCACGAGAACGGTTTACGACACAAGGCGGTGCTAGAAATCCGGAAGCTCCGCCTACAATTAACCAATGAAATCAAAGTTAACCTACCGGACGCCGATATTGTGGTGGACCCGACATTGGCTCCGCCTAGTGACCTTCAAGCCAAGCTTTTACGACAGATACTTCTCGCCGGAATGGGGGACCAAATCGCGAAAAAAATCGAAAGCGAAGATAAGAAATTCAAATATGGCTACCATGCGAACAATATGGAGGATCCGGTGTTCTTACATTCGGGGTCCGTGTTGCGAAAAAGCCCCCCCGAGTTCGTGATTTACCACGAAATTTATGAAACTAATAAAATATACATGAGAGGGGTGACGGCTATCGAACCGGAATGGTTGCCAGTTTATGTGCCCAGTTTGTGCAATTTGAGTGAACCTCTCGGCGAGCCCCAACCCCAATATAAAAATGGGAAGGTGTATTGTACTGTGAATGGAACGTTTGGAAGTCAAGGGTGGAGTCTACCAAACGTCGAAATTGAACATCCAAGAACTATAAATTATTACAAGTGGTTTGGCCGGTTTTTATTGGAGGGTTTAGTATTTGCGAAATTAGAAAAATATAAAAGTGTGTTGCTGAGTCAACCGGCGATCATGGTCAAAAGCTGGGCGAAATTGCAGCCGAGGACTGACGCCATTTTGAAAGCTTTGCTGTCAAAAGAGGCGATTTCGAAACGGCGATTGGAGGAGATTTGGAAGGACACGCCCAAATGTGAGTTGACACTCCTTGATTGGGTGTGGCTTATAGTTTTGTTTCAGTTTTATTGGAGGAGTATTTGAGGTGGGTGCCGCAGTCGGCCTACGGAGAGGTAAGCATGATGTGGCCTCCTTTAGATTAATTACAATTTTTATTGATATTTCACTATACATTGGAATGTTATTAAGTAGGTTTTAAAAATAAAAAATTCAACTTTTGTAAGCTTTGAAAACCTCGACTAAAACCGCCTGTTCTTGCCTTTTCACACTTTTCATATCCAATATTTTATAAAAATCGTTTAATTGGCAATCGGGTAACAACTTTTTGTATTGTTCGACGAAAGCTTTCGATGGGTCGACTGGTGTCATAACGACCTTGAGAATCATCTCGGCTTTTGTCATACCCTTAGTGACCACTTTGGTGTACGATGCCGGCGCTTGGCGGTTGATTTGTGACGAAATCGATGGTAAATTTAACAAAACCGTTTTCAACATGTGCGTATCAAGGAGCAACTGTTCGGCCCCTTCAGTATTTATCGGTTTACACTTGTAGATGTTCTGGATGAATTTAGGGATGAATGAATTGGCGAATTTTATGCAAAACTGAGTGAAGTATTTGCGAGTGTGGGATAAATTATCGCGAATTATAGGAATAGTAGTCTTGAAATGTGTAGTAATAGCCGTGATGTAGGGACTTTGATCGCCCACGGTGTCCACATTCTGCCACTGAATCTGAAAAATGAGAAAATAGTAGGGGAGGAGTCAAGCCAAAGAGGCGGAGCTTATACCTTACTCATAGCTGTCAAAGCCGGCTCGCAAGCGTTTTCCAAGTCTTGCACCAGGATTTGAATACTGTTCGAAATGACCCTAGAAGCACACAGTTACAGTCCTACCAACTTAAATTTTGACCTTAGCTTCCGTAATCAACGAAGGAAGTTTCCGTGGCTATTTCTGTTTCCGCGAGAGAGAGAGAGAGGAAAACCAATCGGACAGTTACTATGGTAATATCCTGGTTGCTATGGTAATGTTCTGGTTGCTATGGTAATGCTCTGTCAGAACGGAAGATTTTTAAAACAAAGGCAGTGTTGTCAGGTCTGGTGATTTTTATACTAATTTAATGATTTGGTGAAAATTTTTGTAAAAATTCTGATGATTTTTTAGAAACGTGACTGTAGTTAGAGCAGAACATTAATGTATTTTAATTTTCTTTTAATTGAGTATTCGCCTAAAATTAATTTTTATATCAATACCTTTTTATTAATTATTGATACAGGGTGCGCCAAAACTCGCGCCCTAGAGAAAATTTTCAAGTAAGGTAAGATACCAGGAACATGAAAAAATGTTTAAAAAATTTTGACATTTATTTTTTGACATTTTACATTTTTTTATATCTATTTAATGATACTGATGATCTTGTATATGTTTTTTCGTGTTCCTGGTATCTTACCTTATTTTTCCCTGGGGCGCGAGTTCTGGCGTACCTGTATAGTAAATTCAGTCAAAAATAATAACACTGTTTTTTGTATTTTCTTGAGCATTTTGCACGTTTTTTTTTTAGCCATGCAGAAACTCAAATGCTAAATGTTCTCAAAAACAAGTTGAAGAATCGAGAAATAGTTTTGTTTTTCTAAATCATATTTCACTCAACAAGGTAAAAAAAAATGCCTAAAATGGGTCAAAAAGTACATTACTTTGTCCATTTCTGAGCGTTTTAGTATATTTTAGCCAAAATTTTTAACATATTTCGCAAAATTTCGTTAAAAAGAAACCGAAAATTTATTAAATTAGGCCAAAACTAGTGTTATTTTTAGAGTGTTTTAGCACGTTTTTAAAATACATTCAATTTTTGCTAAAACAGGATATTGTCAAAACATGCTTAAACACAACAAAAATAAATCTAAATTGATGTTATTTCGTTTATTTCATTCAATTTAGCCCTTTTTGAGTGAAATTTTGTCAAAAAAATAGGACCAAAAAGACAAAATATGGTCGAAAATGGTGTTAATTGCAAGATTTTGCTAAAACAAACGAAAAAAACATCAAATTAAGTCATTATTTTTGCTTTTATCAAGTGTTTTAGAATGTTTTTCAAGTAAAAACGTAAATATCGGGTGATTGTAAAACATTTGATATCAATTTGGCAACCTTGACTTTCAAATTCAAACGTCAAACTTTTATAGGCAATTGTCATTCATTTGCGACGGACGACTGCTGATTTAGTCGTCACTTATATAACAAATTTAGAAAAATTAACACTAATTCAGTGTTGCCAATAGATTTTTTTGTCACCCGGTACTTCGCAAAACTTAATTAAAAACTACTCAAATAAATATAGAATAAGAGTAAACAACATAACGTTACCTATTTTTGCGTTTTTCGAGTGTTTAAGCACGTCAGATTTCTCAATTGAATTCACCAGATCTAAGCTGAAATTTTACACGTATTTTCACCAAAATACAAGATTATATGATTTAAATTTTTTTAATACTGTCGAAGATTCACGTTTTATGCAAAAAAGTTGAAAATAGGTGTAAATCTGGTAATTTTTCATCTCAGATCTGGTGAATTCAATTGTTTTGAGCTGGCAACACTGCTTAATTTGGAAACTATGGCAACAAGAGAGTTATTAGAAGGAACTAACATGATACCGATAAAAAAAAAAAATTAGAGTAGGCGTCGATTAAGTTCTACAGTTGGCAACACATTGGCTGGGAATCTGGGCTGGAAATGACCATTCACCGTTTTCGTCTTGTACAGCATTTTTGTAATAACTTGCAACAATAAAAATTTTCTGCTCTAAAGTGAACATTATTTCACTCAAAATAAATAAAAGACAAACTTATCAAAGTTTGACATTTAATCACCGCCTACTCTAATTTTATTTATTTTTTTCGCACGGTACATTGAAGTAGGCTCACGGCCAACTATGGTGGAGGGTAACTTCCTTCAGTGATCAAGAAAGCTGTGCTTGGCTTACTTGTGAAAGTTGTCTTGTTCTTTCGACAAGTCGATTTGGTCGGCCAACGCCGGCTCGATTTTCTCTTTGAGTTTATCACTCAACTGTTGAGTGGTTTCTAGACAATACTCGGCTGTTGATAAAATACAACAAATCTTCGCCAACTCGTCTTTAGTAAACCTCGTTATTTCGCCCTCTTTTAAGAGTGATGAAAAGTTGTGTATAATCCCCGAGGTTGATATTTTTTGCAAGTCACGAGTGAGCAACTGGACACTTGTTCCAATACTTTGACTCTCGATTTTGGGTAAATTATTTTGTAGAATCCTCTCGGAGTATTCGTGTAAATACTTTTGAAACGTTTTAGTGAGACTTAACATCGATTGTCCGTTGTCTAATTGCGTGCATTGAATCATACTTTTTTTGTAAAAAACGAACAAATCGGGACATGAGGGGAGGATTGCGGCTTGGGTGTCGGTGGCTTCCGTCGGTTGGCTCTGTTTGGAGTCTTGGACGAACCGTTCCATCAAGTCAGCGAGATTCCGGTCGATGCTTTCAATGTAGATTTCCAAATGTGGGATAAAACAGGTTCCTATAAGGCCGGTAAAAGGGGGTTTTGACCCGAAATCAGGCTCACTCTCATCGTCCCTCAACGTAACTCCTGTGAAACGCCTCGAGAGTAAATTCTCAAAAGTTGAGGTTTTCTGAATCGCATACAGCAGTAACTTGACATCGATTTCGCTCTTGCGTTTCGCCATGATTTTGACAAGTTCCTCTCGTGTATTGAGACAAAACTGGACGGCAATGCGTTCGGAAACCTCCCAATTTTGCGGGAATAAATTCCCTAGACGGTCCTCAAATTCGAGTAAATGTCGCTTAATCCACGCATATCTCTTATCAATTTTATCCAACCAGGCGGTGTCTTCCGTTTCTTGAAACAAATGGTTGTATTCCTGCAACTGTAAATTGACAAACCACTTCAACAGATCTTTTTTGACTTTGGGGTCAAGTGTGGAGACCACGAGACACGCTTGTGCGAGTTGTTTGTTGGGGATTGTGGTCTTGTTGGTCCCCGAAAAGGCCTCCTTGAAATCGTGTGTGATTTGCTCGGCCAACTCGACGTGGATCGACTTGACTTGATCGCTCAAACTCTTGATTTGGGGGATATCCGAGTAGGTTTCAAAGTGGGTCATGACCTCGCTTATGGCCTGCAAGGGCAGGGCTATCTCCCCGTAGAGTCGTCTCTGCGTTAGGAGCTTCAAAGTGTCGACGCCCCCCACAAGCATGTGGAGGTGATTCAAGGTGGTAATCGCCAAAGTTAGGTTGCGTTTCGCACAGTCGAGTTGTTTAATATCGCGAGTGATTTCGCGGACCATCTCCTCGGACTTTTCCGCTTTCTCTTTGATAGTCTTAATGTGGCTGAATAACTGTTTGATGACTCTTTGGGCTTCGTCGAGGGACTGGCGCCCCTCTTGACTGGCCGTGATTTGGCCACGGACCACCGTGCTTATCTCATTGTCGATCGACTGGATTTTATTTTCCATCCGAGTGACGACTTCATCGATATTTGAGAGGGACTGTTCCGTGGGGAACAGCGAGTTGATATAGTCAATACTGTTGAAATCGGGCTCGTCTAGAGGGTCCTTACTGGGTAAAACCTCGGAAATCGCCTTCTGGACCTCGGGGGTGAAGTTAATGAACAAATCGGGGCTCTCGTCCTCGAGAATTTCTTCCATTTTGAGGTTAGGTTTACTGTCACCACAAACGACACAACAGACTTCTAGTACATTGTCACAGCCCCCGTTCGCACACTAACAACACAACGAAGCACCACCAATACTGACACTTACCCGTTATTATCTATTTTAGGATTAATAAATTTTTTTTAAATGTTTGAGGTTAGTGACATCTGTCACTTGTCAAATTAATCACAGTTGGGGTCATTGAACTCTGATAAAAAATGTCAATAAAAGCCGATTTTAAACAATTATTGAAGCCTTATTACCTCTTCAACATCATATTAAGTCTCTCTTACGTCATTTTGAAGCGTACACCCGGCGTTTGCAATTATTTGTTCCACGTGGAAGAATGCGAATTCGATGGGGTGAGTCCGCTCAAATTCTCTCAAAATCAATTAAAACTTCAATTTCAGCGCGAAACCGAAATACTCTTCTTTCTCATCATTGTAATTATGATCAGGACCCGAAAATCCGGTAGTGTGTCAATGATCAATTATTTATCGTCCAGTTTCGTCTACACTAAAATAGCGAATTTGATTTTGTGGTTCAATGCTGATTTTTTGATGGGTATCATCTACGGAATCATTTTTATCTGTAGGTGATTTTGTGGGTCAATGGGGCGAATTTAATTGGTTAGTTTCAGTGGGGGCGTTGCTATTTCCTGAACCCACCTACTCCGGCCCTGACAATGTCATTTATTTCCGGGGGCTGCAAGGCTTGGATGAGGAGTTGTCACGAAGTCGGGATGGCTACTGGTTGGTGACTTTTTACACCGTTTGGAACCCCGCTTGTGTGAATTTCGCCCCGATTTTCGCAAAATTAAGCACCGAGTATGTTTTGGAGAACCTCAAATTTGGGAAAATCGATGTGGGGCGATACCCCGATGCCGCACAGAAGTATCACGTAAATGATAGTAGTTTAAGTAAGCAGTTGCCCACGACAATTCTATTTAAAGAAGGAAAAGAGGTGGTGAGGAGGCCGGCTATTGATTCAAAAGGCAACATCATGAAATTCTTTTTCTCAAGTGAGAACATTAAAGGGGCTTTCAATCTCAATAATCTGTACGAGGAGTGCAAGAGTGCGATTAAAAACAAGAAAAAACACGTGAAGAACGAATAATTGTTGATTTATTTATGTTTCTAGTGCCATAGTAATAAATTGTTAATAAGACAACAGCATGGCTTTGGCCACTTCTGAAGCCTTTTCCTTTCCCATAAGTTTATCGACTAGAGTTAGGGCAAAAACAAAGGCTGTTCCAGGCCCTTGACTTGTAATTAAAGTCCCATCGACGACCACTGGTTCTTTTTTGTATTTATATTGACCCCCGTCCACCATCTGCGCTTCCATGGCTGGGTACGACGTTAGGGTTTTCCCCACATAAACCCCATGTGCCTTCAACGCCGTCGGTGCTAAAATCAGATTTTTTAACAACAATTTACTAAAAAAATTAATTAAACCTGCACAAATCGCCCCCGTGAGTCGCCCTGCCGCCTCCTGCTCCTTAATTAACTGTCCTACTTTCTGAGACGAGGCTAAAGCCTTAGCCCCTCCTAGCCCTCCAGGTAAAACAATTGCATCAAAAGGGCCTTTGACTTCAGAAATTGAAATGTCGGGTTTGAGGTTGACGCCACGGCTACAGGTGACGATGTTGGAGTCAGGCAGACCTGCCACTGTTACGTCCACCTGAAAATAAGTGTAAAAAAAGTGGTGTTTTAATTGTGGGTTTGTTTACGCCGCCTCTGCGAAGTACGTCAATTGCGATGACAGCTTCCATTTCTTCGGCGCCACCGGCGAGAAAAACGAGCGCTTTTTTACTCATATTTGAGCAATAGCGGAATCCTAATGTGTGTAGCGGAGCCCTAATTGTTTGACATATGACATGGGGTGACATTGGAGTAGGTCATTTGAATCCAAATCTAGGGATTTTATTCTTCTAACGCTGTTGAACATGAAAAATGTTGTTTTACTGGTTGCATACTTTTTGGGCGTCATCTTAAAATATCTTGCAAAAGATGTTTCTTATTATAATTTGTCTTGATCCAGACCAGGCATCAACACTATTTTGAATTAACATTGAACGAAAAACATCTGTACTTATCTTTAATTAACTAATTGATTATTAGAATTTTTGTACAAAATCAAGAGAAACATTAACTTTCTTTTCACTGAATCAGAATAATGAAGATTACAAAAAATGTTTTTCCTTGGCAGTTTTTCCGTAAAATGAAAAATAAATTAATTTTTTTTCTAATTCATTCCGGAGACATACTGTATGTTTTTTTATAATTATGTAGTAAAGGCGCAAAAATTTTGCCAATAAAGACACAAATAATATTAAACAGAGTTATAATTTAGGATACAGCTTCCTTATTTCCTTCATGTTATTAGAGAAACATCAGCAAGAAAAAGACTAAGTATTGTGCGAATTTAATTTTTTCCAGAATAAGTGATTAATTAATTTTTTTGTTTTGTTTCAGAAACTCCAATGACTAGTAAGTGCGTCTTGTGTTTTTTCGAGTGCCTAATAGACATTTATGTAGTGCGCAATATTTAAAATTTCGTGTGATTTGTGTTTGGCAATGAGAAAAGTCTTCGGGGGAATGGAGGAAGCAATCATGATACAAAGATCTGGATTAAAGACAAAAAAAGACAACAATACCTTTTATTTTTTTTAATCACATTTAAATTTTATTGAACTTTATCAACTAATTTTATAACACATTAAACTGATTTTGTGTTTCTTTATTTTCAGTAGGTTCGTAATAAAGCAGAGGCGAATTGCTACAATGAGTAGTAGAAGATGTCATAAATTCGGTGCATTTTATTTATTTTATTTTTATTTTTATTTTTTGTATATCGCCAAGTAAAATGTGTGAATTTGTGATTTTTGAGTGCAACATCAGTAAGTATTTATTAAATTATGAACAAAAATTAATTGTGTTTTAGACAAAGTATGTTATTTTCCAAATTCTGTTTGGTACCACTGCACTAACTGTCAATCCTGTCAACATCATTAAATTGTATTTTGTCACACTGTTTGCTTAATTTTTTTTTAAGGTATGACAAACTGATTGATTTTGTTTAATTAGAGTTGCAACAAATAAATTAATTATTCTTGATTAGTAAACCTAGTGACTTAGTTTTGCAGGGTTGGCAACGGAATTTGACGTTTGCCACACCTATTTGTTTACCTACCCAAATGTGTCATACCTTTATTTATTGTTTTAATTGTTAAAAATTACTCAAAAACCATGAATTACGGCAAGAAATCGCCAACGACTGGCACCCCTTCGGTCTATTCACACGTCACAACACGCAGCAGTGCGAATTTAAGAAGTAGCCGGAGTATAAAATCGTTGAAAATCCCATGGTACAGAAGGCCTATCATAACCGAGTCTTATATTTTGGACGTCCAGAGATCTTCTCTATTAATCGGAGTGTTTTCTTTGGTAAATAGTTTGTCCCCATGTTTAAATTGTAATAATTTTTTAAATTATTTGTTATAGTTATTGTCTATCTTCACTGTTATCACAAGTTGCTTTGATCTCTATTGCTATTCAATGGCAGTCCCAGGATCCGTCCACACCGGCTATTACGTTATTTCATATCAATTTATTTACGTGGGAAACCGTCATGGTAAGTCCACCATTTCATTCACACATTTGTCCTCAATTTGTTGTTTTAGTCCGCAATGCTCTTGTTATGTTCGCTGCTTTTTCCATTCTTCTGGCAATTGGCGTGTTTGTGACCAGCATTATGCTTATAATTGCCCTGCGAAAGGTAATTTTATCAAACTTCTATTTGTTATTGTTCGTACTTGTGGCAGTGGCGGGTAGGTGGCGCTAGTTGTAACTGTTTTCGGGTGTTGTACGTACAGTCGGGTATATAAGCGATAGGGTGAATTTGAAGCCTCACTCTGGTTTCCCTTCAATGCGAATAAATCTTTCGCCTTTTACTAAAGATTTCCGTGGAGGGGAACAATACAAATGAGTCTATGAAAATTTCTTGACTGCCCGGCGAAAGCTGGGCGCCTAAATTAATCAAAGCGTACTTTTTACCCAATTTGTTTTGTTGTGGGTTGGTATGTTATAATAATTGCAGCCTTAAATTTTTGCATCTTCAGAAATGTTGTTCGTTGCCTAGCAACCATACAAAGACCTGCCCTGACTTTGTCAAGTTTAATACACTGTGATTGGTCCATCGACCACGTTGCCAAACAACCGTATTGTTATTGCACGTTGCCTGGCAAAACAACATACAAAAATGCAAATTGCCAACATTACATTAAGGACAAAACACTAATTAAATACACATTTTTTTGTTTAATTAAGGAATATGAAAAAAAGATGGTGCCTTGGTTGTACGCTTTTGGGATTTTCACAATTTTCCGCCTGTTGGCGTACCTGTTTTTCTCCATCGTGAACGACATGATTTTCGCTTACAACGTCCTTATGTGTCTTCTTTGGACCGTGTTTTTGGCGATAAGCATCTACGGTTGGATCCTCGTGTACTCCCTCTACATCGAATTGTCAGATTTGAGTCGACTTGAGGATTTGGCGCATTTGCGGGTAAGTGATTTCGATAATTTTAAAATAATTTATTTTGTGCATGCTTGCGATAGATAACAAGGTACAATTTAGGTAAGCGTTTGGTTGTTGTCGATTTGTGGCTAAAGTACTTTTTGTTTTGTTAAGATGGGAACAATGCAGTCTCTGAATGCATCGACAGTCCCCTCCCTGGCGGGCTCTCGGCCGACGACACCCCACAGTACGGTCTCGACGATGCCAGTAGGATGAGTTATGGGATTCCCAGCTCGTTTTCGTTCGGGACTACGGTGTCCACCATATCGTAATCTATCCGTCCACAGTTTTATATTTTTTTATTGTAATCACTTGGATTAATACATTGTTTTAATTTTCAAATTCGAGGATTTCGTAGTAGTCGCCCACTTTCAATGCCACTCCCTTGTCTGATATAATTTCCTCAGGAAGGTCATCATTTTCGCCCCCTACCTCGTCCTCTCCTCCAAGAAGTTGAATCCTTTCATAGATTTGTGTCCTTGATTCTTCCCCATTTTTGAGCAACTCTGATTGGGCTTTAATTCGATTTTCTAGCAATTTTATCGTGTTGTCCAAAGTTTCAACAACTGAATACGATTCAGGAAACGCCAATTTATCAAGGAAATACTCTCCAGTGTGTGTGATAACCCCATTAACGTAGATATTCTTCCCTAAAGGTATCAACGACTGGTGCTCCACTTTCTTGCCCAAATCGCGCACATTTTCGGTTGTTATTTTCAACTGGTCCAAATGATTGGTAATAGAGTCAATGGTTTGTTCACTTTTCGTCAAATCTTCTTTCAAATGTTTAATAAATCGGCTTCGACTTGATAAAATTTGGTCAGCGAAATTCACCGCCATTTTTAGGTTATGTTGACATATGTCACTTCTACCACTACCAACATTTTAGATAAAAATTATCATTTTTTTTACAAGTAAAAAGTTGGTTGCCTAATTTACAGAAACTCAAAAATTAATTAAATCAATGTATATTTTGTAAAAATCAATTTATAAAGCAAAAAAAGGATTAATTGGGCTTTTCATTGTCGGAGTCTTTAGTAAAGGCTTTGACGGTTTTTTGTTGGCATCATATGGGATTTGCGGTGAACTCAAAATTTGGGCATGGTGCTCTTGGACATCTTGTGACCTATTCAACTTGGTATTAATTTTAACCTTCTTGACTGGAGTCGAGTTAGCAAACGGGTTTTTGATCAGTATTGTAGGCAAACTCAATCTTTTACTTTTCAAGCTTTTTTCCACCTCTTCAGTTGTATGATTGGAATCCTCCCATTTATTTTTGGGAAATAATCCCTCTTGTGACTCTTCAAGGTTTTGAGAGGTATCAGGTTGGGTGTTGGGCTCCTTTTGAACGGCTTTAGTAACCAACCAAGTCCCGGAATTACGTTTAAAAATCGATTCAACTTGTAGTTTTGTTTCTTCTTTAGCTTGTTTCTCTGGAGGGCTTTCAGGTTTATCACCCAATTTACGTTTCATTTTCATAACACGTACTAAGTCATCTTGGAATTTTTCCCGTAGTTGTTCATCAATTTTGATTTTTTTTCCTCCCCTCAACTCGACTGTGTCGTTCTGTGGCTTCCGTTTCCGATTTTTCGTACCTTTAATTTTCTTGTCAAACTTAACTAACCTATTTACCGCTTTTCTGATATTTGTATCGTAATCGTCAGACGCTAACTTAACTTTTTTCACACCTAGTGGGTAAGTCCCTGAAGCTAATTTCCTAAAACTAAATTAACTCAAATGTGGTTCAATTCATCCCCATTGTTACCTACTGTTCAGCTAATTCACTTAGACATTTCCTCGATTTGGAGTTAGTCTCTTTCGCAAACCTACACTCTAGTAAAGCCTTCGACATAGCTTTTGGGTGAAATTTCAACTGGGGTAAATTCACGTTGACTTTTCCCGCTCTTGGGTCATAAACTGTCTCCTCTTCGCCCTCAGGAGCCTCCTCATCGTCTGATACTTCAACTTTTTGCATAGCATCAATGGTCCCTGGAAACCTCAAAGCGCGCCAAGCTTTGTATTTCTCGTCATATTCCAAACCCAAATCCGACTGTCTTATCAAATATACAAAAATGTGTTTTCTGATATGGTCAATGATTCTAGGATCGTCACTAAATGCCAACTGTCTTATAAAAGGGGCTAAAAGTTCAGTCATCAGCTGAGGCGGCAAATTCCCTTCCGAGACTTTAGATAACTCCTCGAGATAAATTTCTACAAAATGCATAAGTAGCCCCATTGGTTTTTGTCGCTGGGGGTCCAGAATCGTCTCTGAGAGAGTCTCAGAGAACTTGTGGGCTGAATCGCGGCCCCAGTTTTGGTTTTTCAAGATGAAAAAGGCCTGTCTGAGAAGTCGACGCACAAACTAAAATTTGTGTTTTATTTCTGCTATTCTTGTAACCCCACTTACCATCAAAAACTTGTCAAGTCGGAGTTGGTCAATCCCAAACCATTCATTCATTAAAATCGTCATTCCGCACTTGTAGAACAAGACAGCCCCCTCGACGGGTAACGCATGAACCAAACTTGCGATATTTTCGGCACATTCTTCCTAAATTTCGAATTTTAAGCCAAATCAAGCCAAATTACACCATTACTTACTTGAACCAAAGGCTTGTCTGACATCCACATGGAATAAAATAGACCTTTCCAAAGTCGTAAAAAATCATCTTCTGTGAAAGCTGCAAGAAAAGTATGACCAAAAAGCTGCAAATCTCTAAACAACTCACGAATTGCTGTCGACCTGTTTTGGAACCACTTTCTCAAACTTTTCAGTGCTCTATCTCGTGCTGTTTTATTATTTCCGGCCAAAACTCGGGCGAGTTTCAGCTCTTGGGCCACCAATAGCACCTTTTTGGCTTGTTTTTTATTATTTTTTGGCGGTTTCTTTGCATTTTCACGTGTCTTGGATGTCATACTCGTTTCAAGCACCGCCATTTTTGCACAACGCGAAACACCAACCTTTAAGAGAAAAAATCACTAGATTAATTTAAATTTTTATTTTGCATTGAGCCCCCTCACACAGTTTCAATTTTTCAAGAACAGTAACATAATTAGTAATTTGATTTTTGTCCAATTCCAAATTAACAAGTTCGTGTGGGTCCTCAATTAAATCGTATGCTTCGATAAAGCCATCTTCAAACAAGCAAAATTTGATTTTTTTCACACTTGAAATGTCCAAAACACATCTGTAGGTGTTGTTTCTCGCATCCTGGCACTTGCACCACGCTTCTGGCACACATTCCGATAACTGGTCAGTGGGGCCCCACGGACATGTGCTATCAATGGAACTCGCACTGCCTTCGCCCCAATATTCAACTAAAATATACTCGTTATGAAATGATTCATTTTTAAATAAAAATTCTTTAAAAGAATGTCCATCTGACTCAAATGTGAGTCCTGCTAAATCTAAAATTGTTGAGAATATGTCTACTGCTGAGACAGGAATGTCGGATATAGTTTTTCTGTGAATTTTCGGACCTCTTATCATAAAAGGGACATGAATGTCACTCTCATAAGGTTGTCTTTTGTCCCATGGTTGCGTAAATTGACCTTAAATTGATTTTTAACAAAAAAAACTAATTTTTAGAAATTGCACCAATATGAAACCCATTATCTGACGTAACTATAAAGTACGTATTATCCAAAACTCGAATTTCTTGCAGTTTCGTAACGAGGGCCCCCACCATATCATCAACAGCTTGAAGCGTCCTGATTCTACTTCTATAAATCTGGTCCAAAATTTGATCGTTTTGGGGCAAACTTGTGGGGGGCATCCCCACAATCCAGTGTTTCTATAATTAAATAATTATTTGGAGTTTTTTTCAGTGAAATACATTAACTGGTGTTGAATTAAATGGAACTGTTTTGATGGTTTCCAAAGTGGGGAATAAACCACGATGGCGGGGGGCTGGTGTAAAAGGTGCGTGACATGCCGGAGGTGCCAACATCATAAAAAAATTTATCTTGTCTGACTGACTTAAAAAATCTAAAGCGTATTTTGTGATTTTATCAGTGAGGTAATCTGTCTCGAAGTGGTGGCCACTGCCGTTGATAGACAGGGTGTAATTGTAATATTTGGAGTTTCCTTTAAGTCCTAACCACCAGTCGTAACCCGGGGGTACATGTTGAACCCCATTATACGATTCCCCATACTTAAAAATAGTGAATAAAAAATGATTAAATTTCTTGTTTTGATAAAACCTGGTTTAGGTATTTTCCGGCATAGAAAGTTTTGTAATTCTTTTGTGCCTTGAGAATTGACGCAATTGTGTTTTTTTCGTACTGTTGTTGCCACTTCAAGCTAGAGCAACCCCCGGAGAGTGAGTTGTTAAAAACTTCAATATTGTGGGGGTATTTTCCCGTCAAAATCGTACCGCGACTGGGGCAACAAATGGGCGAATTGACATACTAAAACAATACCATAATTCAATTGTATTAAAATTGTTTCACTTACATAATTCGTAAAAGTAAGCCCTTCATTAGCTACCAACTCAACAGTTTCATTTAAAAAATCCTACAAAAAGCTTAAAATCGCCCCCTTGTCAAATCTGAAGCCTTACCAAGCTTCTCAATGTTAAATCTTGATCGTCAGTTAAAACAAACACAAAATTGGGCAAAGCCCGGGACTGGTTTATAAGAAAGACGCAAAACAACCACAACATGTTTATTTTTTATTTACAACTAATATACACGCACTTAAGTTGGTTGTGGTGTTAGTAACTCCACCCCATGGAATTCTTGCGCGATTCTTATTCCTAAAGCGAAGAAACCGATGCTTTTCACTAGAGCCCTGCAAAACACACATAACCTCACTTTAGTACAACATGGTTTAAAACTCACCATTTGAAGTCGTCGTGGTATACGCCTTTCAGGAATGCTGTAAATGAATTTTGCTTAACCATTGTTGCTCAATTGCCACAAGAAATCGACAAAAACAACTTTTTTTTTCTTTGGAAAAAATTATTGACAATTGACAATTTCGTGACAAAACTACCAACTTAACGAAACTAGGAGCTAAAGCAAGGACGAGATCACAAATTATTCGGTGATTCCCTTTTCTCGGATTAAATTGTTTATATGCAGACTAACACTGTTAAAATATTTCATTTTAATTATATTTTCCTTCGCTTTGTTTATTTCATTGGTCTCGAAACACTTGTTAATTTCGTCTGCGATTTTAGCAAGTTCTGAGTCGTTTTTCAGTTTCAGTTTCTTCAATTTATCGTCAGAATCAGCATTTTCGACCTTAAATAACTGTAAAATTACCATATCAACGCATTTTCATCTTACTTCTTCATTTAATTTCATTATTTCCATTAAAAATTCTGGATCTTCCACTCGTTGATCTTCTTCAATCACCCCTCCTTTAAGATGTAATAAGTGTATTGCACGTTTAAGAGGTGTTTGTAAGGTGTTGTAAGCTTTATTAACAAGAGATGAAAATTCAGCTGAAATATCCTTCTCAGTGTCTGACCTAAATTATCAACAATATTAATAAATAAACAAATGTATCCCCCTTAAAACACATATTACTTGTTTGAAAACTTATCGGGGTGTAAAACACTCTGCATTTGACGGTATTTCGACGTGAGAAGCTTCTGATCAATAGCAAATTTTTCCTCAAGTTCAAATACTTTAAAATAATTGTCTTTCTCTGGAGGAGATTGTATAAAACTGCACTGTTCACAAAAGAGTTCACCAGGGTTTTTGCGTTCGATTCCACACTGCCAACACTTTATTGCTTTGTGTTTAAATCGTTTGGGGCACAGATTGAGGTTATGTGGGGGTGGTTGTAATGTTGGCACAACGGGATGGTGTCTGTAAGTATGGTAAAAAGTTCTGGGTAATTGTCGCAATAAGAGAGTGCGTAAGGACATTTTAATATCGTCTTAGGCACTTTGTGACATTTGAGGTTAAGCTCTCATTCTTATTAATGGGCATGCGCGTAGTTTGTAGCGCTATTTTTGAATAATACACTTAAAAAAGCTATTGTACCGGTCATTGACCCCACTACCAACAGTAAAAATGTCCCTAGATAGACAAAGGGGTGCTTTAAGCTTAATTAAGGTATTGGAAAAATAAAAATGCATAATTGTCGAGCGTTTATTTAAAAGATTCAACAATTATGAGTTAGACAATACTGATTGGTTCTTAATTTACAAAATTCAGTCCAATCGAGTCTTATTTACACTATGTACAAATTTTGGCACTATTATTCTTTTATAACTTATCTTTTTTCATGGTAAAATCTATCACTTTACAAATATCGCATTCGGCTTCGGCGTTACACGAGCAATCCTCGTCACATTTCTTCAGTCCTTCACACAACTTGAAGTTTTTAAACTGTTTCAACTCCCGTTTGACCGTATTGAAATCATCGACAAGACAAGTCTCCTTATTAACTAATTGTTATCCCTTTTGTCACATGAACACGTCTTGGAGTTCGGGATCTTTGTTCAGTTTCGCCGCCATTTCGTCTTCAAAAGTCACCATTTTCTCCTTCTGCTTGTTCCCCATTTTCCTCGGAACTCTCACCGTTAGGGGGAGAAAATTCCCAGTGATGGGGGTATCCCCCGTGGCTATCGACAAGTCGAACTCGCTGACACTCCTCGGGACGAAATACTCGATGAGGGGCTCCGCTCCTGCTGACCTCCTCGCGGGAGTATTTCGGTTGAAGTTGCTTTTTCGCGGGAGACTGTTGTGCTGGAGCATGGGGGGGATCTTGTTGACTACGGGGGGTTTCTTGATGGGGGCCGCCCCTTCGGTTAGGGGCCTTTGTCAGGACGTCCCCGTGGGGCACTCCTCATCGCGCACTTTGAGCATTTTATTGCGAGTGCAAGTGGCCCCAATGTACCGCAAGAGGTTGATGACCTCGTCTTGCACAAGACTGAAGCACATGGCCACGAGGGCCATCCCAGTGAGGATGTAGGCCGAGCAGGCGCACAAGGAAATTTCCTCGGCGTTTTGGCCCGGGAGGAGGTCCCCAAAGCCGATAGTCCCCAATGATGTGAAGCAAAAATAGGAGCCTTCTAAAAGGGACCAGTTTTCAAGTCGGTGGAACAGCACAGCCCCCGAGCAGATGTAAGCCAGGACGATGATGAGACAGAGGGTTACGGGGACTCTGACGGGGTTTGCGCACGAACATGGGGGCTTCTGGCTGCCGATTCCGCAGAGTTTGCCGTAAAGGCGGCGGAAACTCCGGGCGAGGAGGTCGCCAGTGGTCGACAAGTAGAGTAACATGAGGGGGATTCCCACCAATGCGTACAAGATGGTGACTAGTTTCCCCCAGGATGTACGAGGAGAAACGGAACCATAGCCTGCGAAACAAAAATCAATCTGGAGTTATAACAATTAGTCAAGTTCGAATTCGACAAAAACTCGATTAAACTTAATTGAATGCTGCACTAGGGGATAGAAATTCGGATTTGGTTATTAATTGGTTTACGCTTTTGCCATATACAATGCGAGACTTTGGAGAAAAGTTGAGCTTTGGAGGAGATCTAATTAAGGTGATTTGAGGTCGGGGTTAATACAGCGATTGACTGGGAAGGACGGATTTGCATTTTCTTAACCCAGATAAGACTTAATCGAAGATTTCTATCGGTGAAATTTGTTTGGGTGTCCCGGGATCAAAAATTATGTTTTTTTCGTGTTATTGCCGGGTTGACAAAGTTAACAGACAATTTATAAATTTTTATAACAAATTTCTATAGTCATTCAAATTTGTCTTATAGTAGAGTTCTACGGCACATTTTAATTTATTTTTGTTTCTATTAAATAGAGTCTAACTGCAATGTTTATGTGTCTTAATTCCCTCACAACAAGAGAACAAAAAATGAGTTTTATTCTGTTCTAGAACAATAAACAAAATCAGAAACACTAAAAATTAAATTAATTAAATAATCTGCAACGTCCAAAAAAGTAAATAAATGCTTTGCTGGACGCTATTAACAAAATTGCACAGGTTTATTAAAAAATGTTGGATTACCAGTTACTATATGAAACCAAACTCGAAAAAAGTTTAAAATTAAAACAATAGAAATATTTATTGAAACAAAAATCTTTACCTTCATGTTTGAATACAAAGATATGTATACGTTTCAATATAATTCAAAAAACAATAAAAAATGAGATGAGTGGGGGTGAGACTCTCATAAATTAATCTAATAGTAGATTATATGCGAGATGGAAAATGTGTCATAACTTCGAGGGCTCAGATATCCAATTGCATAGAGTCCAAAGGGTAATGAGTAGGAATGATATTTACAACAAGCTTTGTATACCTACTATTTTATTCACAATCACATTTATAATAAAATAATAAAATATCTGCTTTTCTGTTAAATTTGATACCACTAAGCTTTGTATACTATTTTATTCACAGTCATCCTCCTTAAAGAACAGAAAGCCAATAAAAATGTATTAAATTGAAATCTTAACAGTTCGGACTTATGAGTTTTTGGATTGGGAAGTGGCCATTTCCCAACCTGAACTGTCAAATTACATGTCAACTGATAGGGAAGTGATCACTTTCCGACTTAAACTTTATATTTCATACCAGCAGTTAAATGACGTTGAAACGTCATACTTTCCAACTTTTTACTTGCAAGGTGATTTGATTCTTATTTTATTCATTTCCCGTCGTAGTTCCATTTTAATAAAAAATTATATAAATTCTAAAACTGAAGCAAACGAAAGATTAAGATTTATCGATACTCCTCGACTTTATTCGATCAAATGAAGGTTCGTTGCCTTCTGTTCATATTTTATTTCTACTAAAATTTAGTGTAATAAATATAATTATGAGTTTATGATGTGAGTCCCCAAATTTTGAGATTTTTGCATTATTTTAACTATTCTTTCAAACAATAAGCGTTTTGATTTATTTTTTAAAATATCAGTACAATCTAGGTATTTATTTATTTAAAACTGTCTTAATAGTATATTATATCACAAGATAGAGAGGAGATTTTCTATAACCGAGATGTTTATTATTCGAGCCGTGTAGCATCGAGGGAAATAATAAATGCCATTCTATAAAAATCTTCTCTACCATGATATATAATATTTTTTTACCACTAGCACATTTATTACTCAGAAATATAAGAGTTACAAATACAGGGTGCGCCAGAACTCGCACCCCAAAGAAAATTTTCAAGTAAGGTAAGATACCAGGTACATGAAAAAATGCATAACATTTTGACATTTATTTTTTGACATTTGACACTTTTTTATTTCTATTTAAGGATACTGATGAACTTGTATATGTTTTTTTTTTACAATTATTTAGTAAAGGGACAAATAACATTGAACAGATTACAATTTAGGATACAGCTTCCTTGTTTCTTCTTTTATTAGCCTATAGCAAAAAACTTGGAAAATTATTTTTCCAACAGAAATAAATAGAGTCATAACTTCGAAATTTTTGTAAATATTTTTTTTTAACATTTTTTCCATGTTCCTGGTACATTACCTTATATAACCCTGTATAACCTTATTTAATGAGTATGTCACCTCAGGCGTAACATGTCGTAATTGAAAACTATTATTTTTGTTGTAATTAATTATTTATCTGAGTTATTAACTTATGTTGAAAACATTATTATATTTATATTTTTACTTCTGCATCCATTAAAGGAATTTTCTAACTTCGTAATATGAGAAATATTTGTTAAAATAACATAGAAACTGCAAAGAAAAAGGAAAAAGTTGCTCTATCGGTAGTATTTCAACATGAAATAATAAGCCCCTATTTGTTGTTTTAACAGTATTGACAAAAACAGAAAAATTAGAGGTGGGGTTATTACAATAATTATAAATTATTATAATATAATGTCATTTGATTTTGCATTAATTTCGTCTCAAAATACTTGTAATGATATATTCGCATCACTGCAATACTTCGGTATTTACCCACTTCTAATCCGTTATTGCCCTCGGTTAATAATGAAAATAATTATTGATCACTATAGGAAAAAAAACAACTTTACAATCTCTCGAGAAACTAAATAATGTTACCTTTTACAATCATTAGTAGTGAAAAAATATATACCGTGTTATAAAAAATTATTGTATGAGTTGGTATTATTACATCTAAAGATTTTTTTTAATGTTTAGAAATAAAATCTGCCATTGACACAAAAAATCTTATTCAAAGTTTAAAATTTATAAACACATTTTGAACGAGATGACGCTATCTGAGTCCGTCGCATGCTGTTTGTTCTCCTATACATCTCTTACCTTTTACAGAGCTTTACGACCATGTTTACAGAAACGCCATCAAGATTCAAGTAAACATGTCTTTACCGTTATCAAAAAATGTAAAAGCTTTGGTGTGCAATACTAAAAATGCGATTTTTAATATTAACCCGGCGCCTCCACCAAATTCCACACAGCGAAGTGAAAACGTGATTAGACCGATCTTGCGGTATGGGGGTTGCATTGTTTGACACATACACACACGTTGCAGCCCCAATAATGCCGCTTTAGATCGAATTCGTCGGAATTTACATCTGTTAGCAATGCGTTAGAATGTGGGGGTGGGTGGTGGTCCACCCTCAGCGCGTTTGTTCACGTGTCATTTACGAAATATCTGATTGATGACCGAAAATGTTTACAGTAGTTAGGCGACGATATAATTTTATTTTTTTACTACTACCTGTAAAAAATACCATTATTTAGTTTGTCGAGAGATTTGCTTTTATCTCCTAGTAGTCGATAATCATTTTCATTATAAACCAAGAGCAATAATGTTTTAAAAGTAAGTAAATGTGGATGCGATGCTAGAGGTTATTTCTTTGATACAGAGTGTGTCATCACTCGCGCCCAAAGAAATTTTAAGTAAGATAAGATACCAGGAACATAAAAAAAATGTTCAAAAAATTTTGTCAAAAAATTTTGACATTTATTTTTTGTCATTTGACGATTGATTGATTTGTTATGTCTATTTAATGATACTGATGATTTATAATTATTTAGTTAAGGTACACAAATTTTGCCAATAAAATCCACAACTAACTTTAATTTAAACAATTTAAACAAACTCTCATAACTTCGAAATTTTTTTAGATAGAATTTTTTAAACATTTTTTCCATGTTCTTGGTATTGTACCTTACATAGCATTTTTCTCTGGAGGGCGAGTTCTGGCGCACCCTGTATTTCTAAAATATTATTTTTGGAAACTAATGCCATCACAAGTACTAACGGAAGTAATACTACATGAAATTAATGCAAAATTAAATAAAAAAGACTTAAATGTCTTCATTAAAAATTCTAATACTTCTTTCTGTTTGTATCAAAACTGTCAAAACATCAGATGGGTTTATTTCATGTTGAAATCCTACGGGTAGTAGGACAAATTTTAACACTTTTTACCTCTTTTTTGCAGTTTCATTTTTATTTTAACAAATATATCAAATTATGAAGTTAGAAAATTCCTTTAATAGTTGCAGAAGTACAAAAATGACATAACCTCATTTACGATAAGAAAAAAATAATACTTCCAATTAAAGTTAATAACTCAGACAAGTAATTAATTATTGTAGATAATAGTAAATTAACAAAAATAATAGTTGTAAATTGCAACATGTTACGTCTGGGGCAACATATCCATTAAGTAAGGTTATACAGGCTGCGCCAGAACTCGCGCCCCAGAGAAAAATGTCATGTAAGATAAGATACCAGGAACATGTAAAAAATGTTAAAAAAATTCTATCTATAAAAATTAGGAAGTTATGAGATTTTAAATTTTGCACTTTGACTTTATTTATTTCTGTTGGAAAAATAACTTTCCAAGTTTTTTCGCTACAGGCTATTAGAAGAGGAAACAAGAAAGCTGTATCCTGAAATCTGTTTAATGTTATTTGTGGCTTTTATTGGCAAAAATGTTGTGCTTTACTAAATAATTATTAAAAAACTTATACAAGATCATCAGTATGATTAAATAGACATAAAAAAATGTCAAATGTCAAAAAATAAATGTCAAAATATTTTGACAGATAGAGTTTTTTTAAACATTTTTTCCATGTTCCTCTTAACCTATGTTACTTGAAAATTTTCTCTGGGGCGCGAGTTCGGCGCACCCTGCATAAGGTTATATTTTTCACCGTTGTATTTCTGGGTAATAAATATGCTTGTAATGAAAAAAATATTATATAAAATACGGTAGAGAAGATTTATTATTTCCCTTGTTATGTTGCGCATCTTGGAAAATACACAGCTCGGCTATAAAAATCTCTTCTCTACCTTGTGATATAATATACTATTTTATGCAATATTTTGGTCATCACTGGCCATCATAGACTGTCGTTTTTAAGT